TAGCGGCAGATGTGCCACCTAAACACCGTTTAGCTTTCAGTTTGCTGGCCACTCAGCGCTTATCACGGCTCGTCGTCAGGCATCGCTGCGTATGCGTATTGCTTCTAATAGACGCAAATATATTACGCATACGCCTGTGAATCGAGCAAATGGCTAGTTAAACTAATTACCCATAAGCGGGATCATAAATTAAATGGTTACTTGAGCAAATTGCTCTATTACTTTCCGGAGCACTTGTGATGTCAAGAGGTCTTAAATCTTATCCCTAGCCCCCGAATTGTTTATATTTTGTGTATTTTATTTGCGGGTTAACAAAACAGTTAACGAGGTCAGTTCCCTCGTGAGTCAGTAGATGACTTTTGCTTTCGTCGCGATCGCCCAATCCAACACAAGATCAAGATCAATGAGGAAGTGAGTGGGCAGAATACATTATGTGACCGGGATTTTCCCATGTGCGGTGGGAATACAAACGATAGTGATTCATCTGTATCTCCAGTCTGGCTGAGTTTTACTCAAAGACTCCCGCTCCGTGTCAAGAATGCGAATTGAACTTGAATTTGAAAGCGTTTACGATTAACCTTGAGTGACTTTATAGCCTACACTCACCCAAAAAATGGAGTACAATATATGGTTATTGAATCCAAAAGTTGTATATTTCTTAACTTATAAAACAAGTTCAGATATTCAAATCTATAGAGAAAACAGTTAAATAAAACATTTAAGATATGCAATATTTCTATTTTTAAAACAACTAAAAATCGCAATGTAAGCGTTAAATATTTATATTTTTCTTTACCAGTGTATGTATCTCGGTGGCCTTATATGTTTTTTTTTATTCATTTGCCTTTCTTTGAAATGCCAGCAAAATGTTAATTAAAGCGCGGCTTGAGCTTTAGCTTTAGCTCGATACATTCATTGTTTAGACCTTATTTTTTGGCAGCTTTGGATTGTTGGTCTTTTAAGAACCGCACAATGGGTGCGGCTTACATTTGCCTAGACCTTGAAAGTCAAAGTTATTGATTGTGAGTGATTTATCTGAAAAGCATTCACCCCAACAGACCTTCGTATCTTTTGGGTAGACCTATATCTACTACACATGTATCTGGTAGTTCGTTCGCACACTGTAGAAGGTAAAGTGAAAACCGAAAATTTCACCGGTCGCCGTGGCACAGCAATAACAACTATAAATGCTTTCCATTAAATTCTTGGCACATTAATAAGTGTTTCGCGCCATATAGCCATTGGCCCCCGTTTATTATTTAAAGCCACGACTGCAAATGCGACTTGGACTCGGCTTTTGTTTTTGAACGTGAGACAAAACTGATTAGCGACTTTTCCACAACACAATGAGGCATTATGTGGGCCCGAGCACTTGACTCCAAACATGCTCATTGTGAGGGGTGTATATCGTATATACTATGTATATATACCATATATAGTACAGGTGTACATGCACTGCACACATAGAGCTTGTCATGCCCTTGTTAAAAAGCCAGTTTTGAAACTCGTACAAAAAATAATCGCAATTTGAATGCTGTCGGTGTGTGTCTACACGAAACACACACTCGCACTTACATATTTGACAGACAAACTCTAATTGATTCGATCAATGCGAAAGGTATGTAGATTGCAGTCGTTTAATTTCTGCGGACCACTTCGCCAGATTGCTGAATCACCCACTTCAAAAGTTGCGTAGAATTCTCATAACTAGCCAATGCCTGTAAATTGATAAGATTCGACTTGACTTTGGATTTTCCCAAGTTTAAAGCGTAATCAGACCAAGAAGCAGGCCGATATCTGCTTGTTTGTCTCCCATTATCAGCCATTAAGCGTGCTAGGTTTATTATTTCCAGGTTGTTTTGTAGCACACGCCAACTATTGGCTTTTGACCCCGGCAAAAGGAGTTCAAAGGAGGTGAAGGGTTCTGGTCAAGGTGGTCAACCAATTTTCATGCACTGCACCAGTCTTGACCGGACATCGCGTGCCAGAACCTGAGTAAACTGGGTTACCAACTTGCCCATTGTGCGCAGTTCCACTTAGCCCCTGTATTAGACCCTTTGCCACCCAGAAAGTAAACTTGTCGAAGGAACCATTAAATTAAGGGTTGGTACTGAATTTCCAGGTCGAGTCCATGCATAGGGAAAAAGATTGATCAACATTTGCCCAAAGAACCTGATTGGCACCTGTCGAAAGGGGTCCTAAATTAATGTTTAATCTGGTGATGGACAACAGGTCATAAAGTATTTTATGGGTAGTGTGCTATTAACTAATTTTAGCCCACTGCTTGGTAATCATAAGGAAACACAATGACAAAGGTGTTTACTCTTCGCTCAAAGCTAGTTTTATATACCAGCTTTAGTGCTTACCTATCAAATTAGTCACAGTATCTTAAATATTTGGTATAATAAATAAATTATCAAAAAAGCAGATTAAGCTCCTTGAAAATGTTATTTATTTATTTCCTTGTCTCCTTTAAATAAAGATTTGTACTTAAATTGTGGGTGAAATCAAAAAGTTAGGTTTAATATTAATATTCGAAAAAATAGTTTAATACAATAAGTGGTTTAGAATCAATAAAAAGTTTTTTACAAAACCACTACACAATTTGCATACAATATTTCGGCGATTGAACCCATCCCCAAAAGTTCTTCGAAACAGGCTAACTTTAAACTAAGTGCAAAATAATTGACTGAGATCTGAACAGGTGTTCGCAGTAAAAACCTTGTAGAATGTGTAAACTGGCCTTAACGAACAGAATATTGATTCGCGGTATGCACATAAAACCTCCATTAGATGACATCATAGGACATCGCAGATCGGGGAAATTGTGGCGCAGTGAGGCCAAAACAAAAACTGTACCACTTGTCGTCGTTAATTATAAGTATTCCGGAGTAAAGTGAGCAGCTTCGTTCGTAGAAAGTGACTGTCACCGTTGATTTATCAGCAGTCGAATTGCGTAAGGCACTGCACTCGTGGCCGCGAGTGTGCCAATTTCTTGGGCACGTCTCGAGATAACCCCCGACCGAATACTTTTATACTTCGTTTTGTTTTCACTACTTTTCGGTTTTTCTATTTTTCCGCCTCGCATTGTTTACATCACCAACTTTTTCGCGCAGGCGCGACGCTTGACATCACTCACTGTTTTACTATTCGTTCGCTGCTTAATTAATTAACCATTGCCATTGTGCTAGAAGACACTTGCATTGCGTCTTGCCATTGAAATGTGTGTGCGAAAAAAAATAAATCTATGCAAGATTCGGATGAGAGGGGGTTACGGGGGGGAGGGGGCCTGTGATCTCAGCATCATTAAAATTACTGAAACCGGTTTTACTGTACATGCGACACAGTTCAAGTTGATGAAAAGAAAAACAAAAACACAGCAGCAACATTGGAATTTTGAAGAAACAGATAAGGGAATCGGTACAAGTTATATATCCCATTGACATTGCCTATTAACCACTGCAACTTAAGGCTAAACTTAAGGCTGTGCTTCAAGTTGAACTTCACTTTCGATGGGCATGTTGCATGTTACATGTTGCACATTGCATGTGGCACTCATCGCTCATGTGGGCACACCTGCGCCCAGTAGAACTCCGTCGCCATTCATTGCGAATAACTCAAAACCCGTTTGTCAAAGCACGCACTAACCTAAAATCGCTGTCAACAATATTCGAAAATCACTCGAGCCTCGTTAGCTCTTTTTCTCGTCTAAATCAACCGCTGCTTGGATTTAGCAAACCGAACACAACGAAATGCCGCCAACGACTGAAAAAGAGCTGCAAAAATACAAGTGTTTTGGTCATGTATCGATAGTAGAGGTAGAGCCAGTCCAGCGATAGACTGAAGCTCGAAACACTGAGCTTTCTACGTCCAACAGAAAAACTGGTTTAAACTATTTTGTTATTTTAATATAATATAGTTTTAAAAAATACTTTTTAAAAGACCTTTTAAAGCGAAATGTTTTCAAAATGTTTAGCGAAGTATTCAAAACCAGGCTTTATCAAAAAATACATATATATGTTATAAACAGTTTAAAATTAGTGTCATTAAAAGTTATTGGCATGTTTGTTTATAATAAGCAAAGGGGTTTAAAAAAAAATGGTGGATTGGATTCAAAATGTATTACTCATACGTACTGTTGCCTTTATTCAACAAATTTATTCTGACATTACGTGTCGTCTTAGTATTTTTTACGGAAGCGTTGAGACCATTGCGCAACTAAAACTTAAAATAATATGTTATAACATAAGAATATATTGCACATTTATTTATACATTGAATTTTAAATGTATATCTGGTACCATCATGGTATTGTAAGAAATACAATAACGTATAATACGGACCATAATTTGGAATAAATAAGCCAAAAATTTTCGGCTGGACAATTTAAATCGTATCGAGACAGCTCTTTGGACTTTTTTAAACGCTTGATCGTCTCTTTCGGCGACGTTTTTTGGGGGCTGAAGTTTGGGACTCCGGAAACTCTAGGCTTAGCTGCATAGCCTCAATCTGCTGGCTAAGATTTCCCATGTCGTAGATGTCCGAAGGCTGCGATCTAGCCACGTCAGAGAGCACATGATGCCAGGACCATTCCGGATGGGGCACATCCGCACCTAATTCTTTGCGCTTAAGAGCTTCCATACTAAAATTTCGAATTTACTGACGTGTGTGAGTTTTGGATTCTGGTTGTCTAATTTTTACGAGTTATTTTAATCTCCAAATTGTTTGTTGTTTCTTCTTCAGTGTAAATGTTTCAAGTGTAATGCCTTAGATCTCCTAGGGAACTATTCTAAAAAAATTTTAAATACAGCAATTGTTATTGCTTACCAAAAGCATATATAATGTCTATGGCTAAAATAATGGTTTCACTTTGGTGGTATTTTATTGTTTTATTAAACTATTTAACTATTTGTTCAAATGCAGTTTGAATTTACCGCACAAATGTTACCTTTTTCGTTTGTGAAGAACTTTCCATCCCTGGCCCAAGGAATTTTTTGCACCTTCGTGTACGGTCACATTATCGGCTGACAATTGAAAAATTGGGAGAAAAAACTTTAATTGGGCCGGAAAATGTGCTCAAAATTCGTTATTTTCGCCTCCCTATTGGCCCTGGTCACCAGTGAGGTGGTCATTGGCCAGGATGAACTGGTGGACGAGGTCTCCGGCCTGTACACCATTGAAGGCCGTGTTTCCCCGCCCGATTCCATTCTGCCCCCGGTTCAAGGTGGTCGAGGTGCTCCCATGAACAAGGATGCGCCCAAGTGGCAAACAGAGATCACCCTCTCCATCAACGACGGCGAGTTCAAGGGATTCGTGCGCGAGGATGGCCAGTTCATGATCAGCGGAGTGCCCTCCGGCAGCTATATCCTGGATGTCCACCATCCGGATGTGTTCTATGAGCCTGTGAGTCGAGTAATCGTATCTATACATCATATGGCTAAATCCAATAATACCCCTCTTTCAGGTGCGCGTCGAGATCAATCCCAAGGGAAAGTTCCGCGCACGCAAAGTGAACTTTGTCCAGCCGGCGCAAATCATGCAGGTGCCCTATCCACTGCGAGTTAAGCCACTGATGCCGTTCAAATACTTCCAAACCAGGGAGCAGTGGAAGGTGAGTCTTGTACTCGAAGACCTAAAGTTTTTATAGCTAACCCTTGATTGTAACCCACAGATTACCGACTTCCTGTTCAGCCCCATGGTTCTGATGATGGTGCTTCCCCTGCTGCTCATGCTGGTCCTGCCCAAGATGATCAACGATCCCGAGACCAAGAAGGAGATCGATAATCTGCAGTTCCCAAAGGTAAAACTCATGACTCTTGTACACAACTGCTGTATATTAAAGTTTGTACCCTGGTCCACAGATGGGCAACGACATGCCCGAGATAAGCGAAATGCTGACCTCCCTGCTGACGGGCAAGCAGCCCGAGCCCAAGGAAAAGAAACCCGCTCCGGTCGCCAGGCAGACCAAGAAGCGCAAGGAGTAGTAGCTCGCCATTAGCCCTAATCTTGTATAGAGCCACAGGGCTCAGAAAGTCAAAGTCATTTCGAGTAAATAGTAAATTTTCATTATAAGCAGCCACAGCCACTTTATTTGAGAAACCCAACCGTCTTTGGTCGCTTGGGCCCGACGCGCTCTTGCTCCAGCTTTAACATCTTGGTGAGCAGCTGGTCCAGGTGTTCGCCAATGGACAGGCCCAGCTGGAGGCAGTTGCGCATGGTGTCCCTGTGCATGGCTCCACCGCCTGTCAAGTGGGTACCCGAAAGGAATGGCTCTCCATTGCGCATGGATACGGACACCACCACACTGACAGTGCTGCAGACTTCCTCCTCCGCCGAAGGATCAACGAGGCAATAGTCACCGATCTTGCAGACAGTGACCAGAAGCGGAACAGTCTCGATGCCGATGCGGGTGCAGTCATACGGGTTGTCCGATATGATAAGGTCTGTGATGCCGGCATCCAACAGGGTGGCCGTCACCCGGGGCAACTTGGTGTTGAATAGAGCCGCCTTGGCGGCCAGCGAGACGGCATCATGCAGATTGCCACCGCATTCCAGGATCTGCAAGTTTAAATATTATAAGAATGGAAAACTAAGACAATTATTTTAGTCTCACCAAGATATCTATGTAGAGCTTCCAGCACTGCTGACCAGGGATAAGGCACAAGGTGCGATAGTCAAAGGCCAGTGGGGATTCGTAGGCATTCTGTAGGGACAGGACCAGCTCCTGGGCAAGATCCGATCCTCCTCGTCCCTCAAACTCTGGCGTGGCATTGGCGGAACTGGAAGAGGTTTAGATGTGAATGGTGAACATAGGCAAATGTAAGTGCTCCATTACCAATCCACAAAGAACTCTAGTTTGCCAAATTCCGGCGTCAGTGGATTGGGCACATCGATCTCTGTTTTTACACCCACCAGGATGTCTGTGTTGGCCAGGCGCAGGCGAGCAGAGCCACTGGCATTGCTGACCAGTCCGGTTTCCAGTTCCATGGGGCGGTAATCCCGGCGAGAACGTCCGTCGCAGCGAAAGTCATCCTAAAAAGGAGTTACTCAAGGGAAATTCATAATGCACCGAAAACTTACCTCTACGCCGTGCAGTATGTAGGTTTTTTCAGCCTCACTCAGTGCAACATAAGCCATTTATAGCTTATTTTAATAAAGAACAATTCGTTTACAAAAAATCAAAACAAATTCAACATGTGCAATGAGCCAGTGTGACCAGTTGGTTTATTTTGTTCTATAATCGATAGGAAATTATCGGCTTCTGGTAATCGATAGTTCGCGCACTAGCCAACACTTGCATCAAGTTAACTTGCAACACTTGTCAAAAACAAGCCAGTCATTTCGAGCGGCTTTTCCACAAAAAGGAATTGTAAATTGAATTGTAACAAATTTAAGCATTCAAATGGGTCCCGACTTCGACTTTACCGATACGCCCGTCAGCACTGGCGTGAGTATGCCCGAAATTAGCCATAAAACAACCCATTAAGAGCCTAATCCTCCAGACCACCATCATGGCCGTGGAGTTCGACGGTGGAGTGGTCATTGGAGCCGATTCCCGCACCAGCTCCGGCGCCTATGTGGCTAACCGAGTCACCGACAAGCTGACCCGCATCACGGACAAGGTCTACTGCTGCCGCAGCGGCTCCGCCGCCGACACCCAGGCCATCGCCGACATTGTGGCCTACTCGCTGAACTACCACGAGAACCAAACCAGCAAGGAGGCCCTCGTCTTCGAAGCCGCCTCCGAGTTCCGCAACTACTGCTACAGCTATCGCGACTCCCTGCTTGCCGGCATCATCGTGGCTGGCTGGGACTCGCAGCGCGGCGGCCAGGTGTACAGCATCCCGTTGGGCGGCATGCTGACTCGCGAGTCCTGCACCATCGGCGGCTCCGGCTCCAGCTTCATCTACGGCTTCGTGAGGGAGCACTACCAACCCAACATGCAGAAGGAGGACTGCGTGACTTTCGTCAAGAAGGGTGGGTACTCCATTTTATAGCCTTGCCGAAGGCATTGTGTCTAGTTTATCTAGTTGTTCGTTTTACGTAAACTGATCTCTCAGACTTTGAAGTAACTAAAACTTTCCCAAAAGTCTCCTTTCTTGGACGACTTTTAATGTATACGAATATACTTCGACAAATAGTTATGGTTAACTAAACAACAATGTCATATACAAAGCTGCCTTAGCTTCATTGTTTTTATATTTTTAAAAAATCTTTTCAATTTTTGAGCTCTAATATTCTATGCTTTTTGAGCTTGAACATTGTTTCTGCTTAGCAGATCTTAAGAAAATTCCCAGTTAAGAAATCAAAATAATACAAGTCCAATCCTCTCCAACAGCTGTCCAGCACGCCATTTACCACGACGGCAGCTCCGGCGGAGTGGTGCGCATTGGCATCATCAACAAGGATGGCATCGAGCGCCGCATTTTCTACAACACAGAATCGGGCGCCTCCGAGGTCTCCAGCACACCCAGCTTTGTGTCCTCGGAATAGTTAGTTTACTTTTCCAAATAAGATCGATTCGGAGGTTGAGTTGCAAACTCTCCTCATCATGGTAATAAACTTGGTTTTTGTAATATGGATACTTGATTAATTTGTATTTTGGCTCTTGTTGTGGCAGTACAAAAGTTAAGTCTCTAGGGGCTAAATGGTAATAAATAATCGAAAACCTTAACCTAAAATGCATAGTCATACAAATAGTGCTGTTCCTGACACTGGTCTTTGCTCACAACCCGGATAACTACTGCGGCGAGTCCGGAATGTTCCGTTCCAGAAGGGAAACAATTCCGCCGCCTATCACATTACATTCAATACCGAACACCCGCCCCCGCTTAAACGCTAATCCCAAGAACCTTTTCACGAATTGAGCTTGGTCACCTCTTCGGGTGCGTCCACAGACTGCGTCTCCATGGACTTGGTGGTGGCACGTCGCTGCCTGCGGTGGCGATAGAAAATCTCCGGGGTCCAAACCAGAACCACTAGCAGCAGAATCGCCCCCTGGACGTACAGGCATATGACGTAGGAGTCGGCGTAGTCGCGCACCCAGCCCAACAGCTGACCCACTGTGATTACGATCACTCCCTTGGACATCATGCTCAGTCCCAATCCGCCGGCCAGCTTCTCCGAGCGACAGTGCGCCGATATGGTGAGATTGTTGTTGATCACAGTGGCCGATTTCATCATGCCCGTCAGCACTGACATGGAGATGATCACGGGCAGCGCTTGATTCTCGGCCAGCACACAGCGGGCGACGAAGAGTCCAGCGATGCCGATCAGGAAGACCACTCGGTATGGGATTCTCAGCTGATCCGTGATAATGGGCAACAGTAGGCGGCACACAATATCGGCTCCTGCCACCACAGACATGCAGAAGGCCACCATCTGGCTGTTCAGACCCGCCGTTTGTCCCAGGAAGCCAGGAAAGATCATGGTGAAGTTAATGGTTGCCGTGTATACAAGAGCCATGCCCACAATGATGCTCCAGAAGACCAGATCCTTGAGCAGCTCCAGATCCATGGCCTGCACCAAACGCTGGCCCATCCGGCTGCACAGGGTATCAGTCTTGGGCGGGCTAGTCTCGCTCTTGCTTTGGTTAGAAGGAACAATGACCACTTGGAGGGCAGTGGACTGAGTCTTTTCGCCATCCGCCTCGGCCAGTAGACGAATGTGTCTGCGATTGTTGTGTTTGGCAGGCGGATTTAGAGGTTTCAGGAACGCGGCACCAAATAGCTGCAAGTAAATAAGATTAGCATGGGTTTAAAATGTAATAGCAAACTAAATACTCACTCCAGTTAGTGATAAGGTGGACATGGCCAGGACTGCATAGCGAAATCCGTGATTCTCTAGGAGATAACGCACCAGGTGTGGAATTAGGACTTGTCCAAGTCCAGCTCCTGCGAGGGAAACACCCACAGCGCGTCCACGCTTGCTGGTAAAGTAGGAGTTTATGGCCATGAAAGTGGAGGGCGATATGAGGCCCAAGCCAAAGCCCACAAATAAGCTATAGCCCACGATGAAGTGCCAGCTCTCGGTGGCAAAGGCGCAAAGAGCAAGGCCCAAGGAGACCAGCACGCAGCCTGTGGTGGCCACATTGCGGGGTTTGAAGCTCTTAATAGCCGGTCCAATGAACAGGCCGGAGAAGTTGAGGGCCAGGCTGTTCAGATTGGTGATCAGGGCTGCCGTGAAGGTGTCCCCCTGCATTTGCTGCAGTTCGCCCACAAATAGCTGGCCAAAGACAGATAAAATGGACTGGTTGGTCATCTGGTGGAGGATAATGTTTTATTATGCTGCTTCCATAAAGGGTATAAAAGGCTACTCACATTGATCAAGGCAACGGCGGCCACCACAATCCATCCGTAGCCGCCATCGGGTACAACTCGACTCATCTGCACATCCATGTCAGTGCTCTCCGGACTGCTCGACGAGATTAAGCTGGCTGCAAAACAAAAACAGGTGAGCAGAGATAAGTGAGCTGTTAAAACGTCGTCTTTAGTTTATGGTGTCTCCCTCAGGTGTGGAAATGTGCGTCTAGCAGATAAGCCAGTTGTGTCGCACTTACACATCTGTGACGAGGTAAACGGCTCGTCTGGACGATTCCTCCAAACTGCGTGGCCATTTCGCCAACCACGTATTAACAAATTAAGCCGAATTAAAGCCTAAATTAAAATAAATTAATCCCAAAGTCGCAACACTTTGAGTCAGTATGACCTTAACGTGAATGCCATAAGATGCAGCACTCAAAAAAAAACTGCGCATTAATACTGCACGTGATTAAAGACTTTATTATCGAAAGGGATTTAATTGAACTAAGTACTGAGTTGAATATTAGGTAAGCCCACTTGTTTAATAGCGAATAAAATGCTAATAAAAACAATGAGAACAAAACTACCAACAGTGCTGTGAGCTATTTGAACACCCAAACAATGGTAGCACTGTTCGCGGTCGGTATATCGATAACCGTTAGTGATGGCACCGATCAGCTGTGCATCGGCCAATTTTAATTCGTAAAATAAAACGCATTTTAAACAATATACTGCATTTTCTGCGTCTCTTTTGATACAAATGCCTTGTTTTCTGTGCACGCAGCGTTCGGAAAACGCAGTTGGCAACATAGAGTTCGCCTCGGAGGAAGCTAAGTCTCTAGGTCTGCAATGCATCATAGAGTTGCACTTCTGGCTAAAGGTAAACAAAAGAATGCTCTCTTTTGTGGATTGAATTTATTATTAAAACTTTAGATTCCTGAGCCGGGCAGTGGGTATGTGTGCGGCGCCTGCTGGGAGCATCTACTGCTCTTCCACAACTTCTACTTAAGCGTCAAGCAGGCCCATAAGGCGCTGGAGCAAACTGCTGTGGAGGAGACATCTCCGCCAGAATTGAATCCCCCTGGACAAATCGTAAAGAGCGAAGGAGGGGAGAGTGTGGCCGCTGCCGTGAAGCGTCGACGTGGACGTCCCAGAAAAACCGAGGCCGCTTCTAAGGATGCCAGCGAGGAATTAAAGTCTGTGCTGGAGCAGATAAACCTGAACGAGATCAAAATCGAGTTCCCGGAGGCCGATCTTACCATTGCCGATGTGCTGGAGGATCAAGAGAATCCAGAGGCGTTCGTAAGCGGGGGCGAAGAGGAAGATGATCCAGAGGCTTTGGAGGAGCCCCAGCCAAAGATTAAGCGAAAGGGTCGCGGGCGCCCAAGGGGACGTGGTAGGGTGCGAATGGCGGAAAGACCCCGGGCATCCGGCCTACCTAATATTCAGAAATCACAGGAGTTCAACAACTATATCCAGGAGCACTACAAGGTCCTTTGCCACATCTGCAACCTGCCCATGGAGGGCTTTTCCCAGATGCTGGTGCATGTGCGGCGGGAACACAAGCAGCGCGGCTACGCGATGTGCTGCAACCGCAAGTTCTGGAAGCGGGGCGTCCTTGTGGACCACCTGCGCCGCCACCAGGACCCCGAGTTGTTCAAGTGTTCCATCTGCGCACGCGTCATGGGCCACCGCCGCAGTCTGGAGCTGCACATGCGCATGCACGAGATCAAGACGCGCGGACGGCTCTATCAATGCGACCACTGTCCCAAGAGCTTCTACAGCTCCGTGGTCTGCGAGCGCCACAAGCTGACGCACATTCCGCGGGAGCAGTGGCAGGTGAAGTGCACCAACTGCGAGAAGACGTGAGTGGTCAAGAGATATTTGTATTCTTCAAAGTATTCCTAAAGTCCTATTCTGCAGCTTCACCACCCAGTACTCAATGCAGCAGCATGTAAAACTGGTCCATTTAAATTTATATGCCAAGATCTGTGATGTCTGTGGAAAGTCCATTCGAGGACGCGAAGCCTTGGCCCGCCACATGGAGGAGCACACAGGCATGCCGCAGGCAGCCATTAAGTGCCACCTCTGTGACTCCATGTTGACCACAAAGTACGGACTAGCCCGCCACATAAAAATGATGCACACAGCCGAGAACCTACAGCCCATGCAGTGCGAGCTCTGCCTTAAAATCTCGCCCAGCCTGCAGGCGCATCAGCACCACATCAAGTACACCCACAACACGGCTCGAAGCCATCAGTGTCCGATGTGCGAAAAGGCCTTCAAGCGGCCCAACGAGCTGAAGGTATTCCTTGCAGAATTATATCCTCTTTGATCAGTAATTAACAAGCTGCCTTTTGCAGGAACACATGACCACCCACACAGGAGAGGTGCTGTACACCTGCCCCCACTGCCCGCAGACCTTTAATTCGAACGCCAACATGCATGCCCACCGCAAGAAGGTGCACCGCAAGGAGTGGGAGGAGAACCGCCACAAGCGAATACATCGACCTCGCAAATCCGACACAATCATAGCCGTGAGCGTACGCAAGACCACGGAGGCCAGGCAGGATGGGGGAGGGACAGGAGCTACAGATAGCCCTGGAGCAGAGTGCTAGCCCTAGATGACCCTTTGACCCAATAAAATCCAAATGAGACACTGTACGAGCTGTTGTTGTGATCGGAGCGACGAGCGGGGTAAACAATTTGTAAGATCTTTAATTGAAAACCCTGCTTCGATAGGATCAACCGGCTGTAACCGGTTTGTCCATCTGCACCCTGATCATCTCGAACTGGTAACGGACATCGGAGCCGTCGTTATCAGCGATTAAGGTCGAAGCTGGTAATTTATATAGACGCATATAGCACATGGTTCAGTTTTAATATTCTTATTTTGACGACGATCAAGCCGCGATGCCAGGCAGACGGACAAACCGGTTTGAGTCGGTTGGAAAAGTGGATTTACTCCTTATCAGCGGATTGGCATTATCATCATCAGTTCAAAGGTACCACCAATCGGCGTGTGTGTTTATACACATTTCTAGTCTTCTGCGGAATCCTCACTCTGTATCTGTGCCATAGAAATGACGAGACAAATTCTAATGGTTTGTTTTTCATTCTGTGGTAACATCTATTTACCAATGGAATATTTTGCAAGCCATTTATGTTATCGAGGTACATCTGCCACGATCTCTGACCTTTTTTTTGTACCTCCCCTACTTTAATGGTGCTTCCCATGGGTTCCAGTGATTCCCAGGCCAATAATCTTTGATTATTTATTTTTATGGGAAGCTATTAATTGTAATCTAGGAGTCATTAAATCTGGAGACTCAACGAAAAAACAGTTTGTGATTCCCTGCCTATTTTTACATGCAATTCTTTATATATTTTTTCGATTTAAATAAGTTATTCATAACTTTTGGTTGCACAACTAATTAAAAACGAAAAAGGGTATGGTTTTAAACCTTAAGGAACCGTTTTTTTTTAAGTACAGAAAGAGATTTCGATTATGTTTTATGTTTGTGAATAGGTTGTAATATAAGATATTCCTTTCACTTGGTTTTGTTTTTACACATTTTTCCATTGCACAACTTCATTTAAATCTACACTAAGAAAGATAATTCGATCTAGATTGACACTTACTTGCTGTAATTAGGCAATCTAAATATTCTCAGAGTGACTGGCGTCAAATCTGTTTACTTTCAAGACTTTATTTGTTTAATTTCACACTATCACTGTGCCACTCGGGCTCTTCTAGATTTGATGCTTATCGCGCGACGAGCAAATATTGTTTAAACAGAAAGCCAGTCCCGACCGCCTTATATTAGTGAATGGAATAAAAAAAAAACAATACCAAACGGGCTATTTCCTGTTTATATGGCGGGACTTCAATTTGGCAATCCGGCTTGGCGCCAAACAATCGATGACTATCGATAGCTAGTAATGAGGAAATCACAGTTATGGATTAAAAACGCTTTGGTCATAAATATATTTAATTGTATCTATTTAGTCCAATCATATTCTTTTAATTAATAACACAAAACAGAAGATTGGTCAGAGCAAAGAAGTTTGGAACCAAATTGTTTTAATTAAGCTTATTTAAGTTGTCGCAATGAATTGACGTTTATATCCATTCCCCTGGAAAAGCTTTCAACTACGCCCCTGCCTGCTCCCAACTGCTCAGCTGTTGCAGTTGTCTCTTTCGCACGGCCAACCGTGAACGTGTCAACTCAACGCTTTTGTTTTCCCCCGATTTTTCCTTAATTTTGGCCATAATACGGACGAGATGGTGGACGACAGCACCCGGAAAACGCTGAGCAACATTCCGCTGCTGCAGATTCGTGCTGGACCCAGGGAAAAAGATGTGTGGGTGCAGCGGCTGAAGGAGGAGTACCAGGCCCTGATCAAGGTATGCATTTCCAGATAAGCAGTGTTCCCTTGGAGATTCCATTGGCTCTTCCCGTTTCCAGTACGTGGAGAACAACAAGCAGTCTGGAAGCGATTGGTTCCGATTGGAGTCCAACAAGGAGGGCACCAAGTGGTTCGGCAAGTGCTGGTACATGCACAATCTGCTCAAGTACGAATTCGACGTGGAGTTCGACATTCCAGTGACATATCCCACCACAGCTCCAGAGATTGCCCTTCCGGAGCTGGATGGCAAGACGGCCAAGATGTACCGGGGTGGTAAGATCTGCCTGACGGATCACTTCAAGCCCCTGTGGGCCCGGAATGTGCCCAAGTTCGGAATCGCCCACGCCATGGCACTGGGTGTAAGTACTCTTGCCATGCTCCTTACTGTAGATCTCTCATGGTTAACTCTTCCCCACAGCTTGCTCCTTGGCTGGCCGTTGAGATTCCGGACCTCATCGAAAAGGGCATCATCACCTACAAGGAGAAGTAGCTAAACTAAACTATTATACACTAATTACTGGCCACAAAACAATGAACAAAGTTTGATATGAAAGTCATTTGCGTTTATTAGTCAAAAGTCAAATTGGAAAAGATCATTCTCGGCGTTCCTCCATCGTCGTCGCGTATCCTAGGTGTCTATGTGGTAAGAATTTCATTTGGTTGATTCGGTTTGATCAGTGAGCTTGCTCCTCGTCCTCCTCGTCGTTCCCCTAGTTCATGTGATTGTTGTGGTTGTTGCGCTGCGAGGACTGGCGCCAAGTGTCGGACCAAATTGAGCTGGGCGAGGTGAAGGGATCGTACTGCGTGGGCAGTACGCTAATCTCGCCGGGATTAGCTGCAGTTCCAGTTCCATTTCCAGTTGCTGCTTCCGGTTCTTGTGCAAGGTTGTGCGTGTGCGTCTGGCGTGCATTCTGCTCCAGTCCTGGTGGAGGACGCATCACACCCAAGCTGCTGGATGGTGCTGCGTCCGGCCAGGTGGAGTATCCCAAAGGCGACCAGTTGGTGGCCCAGTTGCTCGGCTCCGTCATGTTGGCCAAGAGCAAGAGCTTCTCCTGCTGCCTCTGCTGGATCTCCAGTCTCTGAGCCTGCTGTAGGAGTAGCTGCTGCTGCATGATCAACTCGCTGCGCTCCCACTGCTGCCTTTCCCGCTCCCGTTGCTCAAAGATGGCTAATGGAGGACAGAAAATAAACCATCAGAAATTGTTATCCTCTTTAGACCTGCCACTACTCACCATCTGCCGTTGGATAATCCACCTCTGCTGCATTGGCAAACAACGAATTACTGGCCGTGGCCGAAAGAGGCTCCCACAGCGAAGTCACTGCCGGCGGGGTGGCTGTCTTGCGGCTGTCACCAATGGGTCCCAGGTCACTCGAAGACGATCCCTGGCTCCAGCCAAAGCCGTTCTCAGCTGGCTTGGTCTGCAGCGCATCCCGGAACGAGACGCGGCTGTTCGTCTCCCACGGTGAGCTGATGCATTTGAGGGCCTCTGGCGAAGCTGGTGGCGAGGCACTGTTTGCCGACTGCCCAAAGTTAAGTTTCTGGCGCTGCTTCCGCTCCGGCTTCTTGAATCCCCCCGCGGGTCCCGAGCCATTTGTCATCTTCGGATCCTTTCGGCGCTCCCTCTCCCGCTCCCTTCCCGGTGTCTTGCCCATTTTCTTGGCCGATCCATTCTGCTCCTTGAGAACGCGCGGCTCAGGTGCTTTGTTGGGCTTGGGCGATATGTTCTCCTGCTGCGGTGGACTCGATTTGGCTTGAGGCTTCGTGTCGTGTACCTCCACAGTAGGTGTCGAGGGTTCCGGCTTGGGTTTGGCTGTCCCGAGGACCACGGCAGATGTTGGTTTCACCTTCTTCTGGGGCCGAACTTGAACTGGGACGGGAACTGGCTGTGGTGGCGATGGCGTTGAGGACTTCTTTGCGGGCTTTGCTGGTTCCGGCAGTGGAGGAACAGCTGCAGGAGGAGTGCTGACTGGAGTGCTCACCAGCGTCTTTGGTTTGGGTTTATGCAGATGCTTGCTCAGCGCATTAATGTCCATGCTCCATGGCGACCAGGAGGAGGCCTTTGACTTTGACTTAGTTGTGGCGTTTTGGACACTCCGCTTGCGTAGTTCCTTAAGCTGGCCATTGCGGGCCTTCTGCTGCTGCTGCTGCACTGCCTCCGCCTTGGCCGCCGCCTCCTCGGCCTGCAGCTTGACAATATTCCGCAGATTAAACGTGGGCTGCAGTGGTCCCTTGTTCCTGGCCGCATCGTAGGCACTCTGCTGTGCCATTATGGCTTTCGCGTCGAAGACAGCCGCCACCAGAACCAGGCCAAAGCTGGCCAGGAGCACTGCCAGAGCGGCGTTCTTCAGGGAGGACTCCCAGCCAGGTCTCACCAGACGGGAGGCGCACAGTTCCACACTTTCCGCTGGCATTTGTGCCAGGAGTTGGTAGCTGATGTCGTAGGTGAGGTTCGTGAGCAGCGTCAGCGAGCGCTTGACCCGCGAGGCAGTGAAGTCCGTGCTGAAGGCGATCTCCACCTTACGGGTCTCATTCTCGGCCAGATCAAAGCCCTCGCAGTCCATGACTTTGAAGCCAAAGTCCTCACACGGCAGCGAGCCAATGAGGAAGCCTTCGATCCTCATGGGGATAACACCAGAGTTTCGGGCTGTGAAGCTCCGAGTGGCTACCACTGCTCCGTTTCCGGCCTGGCAGCCCTGGAACTGATCGGTGGCTAGCTCAAAGAGCAGCGGCGAGGCGGATCCCGGCCGACGGTTCCCAAAACGGAACTGCGATTGCACGGCACGGGCCTGCAGCCACACGGCCTCGTACAGTGTAAGGTTGCTCCTCACGTGCAGCAGGGTGCAGTACTTTTCCGGCGCCTGGGCACTAAACGTGATGGGGATGTTGAGACTGGCGCCTCCGGGCAGCAGGATGGGATCCCCGGCCTCTGGCAGGGAGAAAACCTCCCTGTCCGTGAGATAGCAGCTCGTGGAGCTCACGTCGATCACCTCGTGCGGCAGTGACAGCTGGGTACGGCGCGCAAAAGCCGGATCCGACAGGAAGTAGTCGAGCAGCAGCGGATGCTGGGAGGGATTCGTCAGCGTGATCCATTGGCGCTGCACCTGGCCAACCTCTATGGCCGGCGTGGGCGGGATCGGCTGGAATTGCACCAGCTTCGGCCACTCGATGGTGATGGCGAAGTCCAGCTCCAGGGGCGGCAGCTCCTCGCTGTGTAGTGTGAGGGACATGGATGACATTTGGCGGCGCAACTGCCTGAAGAGTTCCGTGCGCTGCCGCAACTCCACTCCGTCATAGAGGAGATTATTGTTGATGACGCCACCGCTTCCATCGCCGCCGCCGCCTGGGACGCTGGGGAAAATGGCTAGATCATTCGTGGATTCCTTGATGTAGCACTGATTGCGACACACAGCCGCCGGCTCAAAGTAGATGCGTCCCACCTTGGTCAGCGTCTGCGGCGCAATCGTAGTGCCCTTCGCGTTGAAGTCCTTGAATCGCAGGCCCACCGGCAGGGCGAAGGATATGCTCTTCACGTGCACCGGGTGCGTGAAACTGGAGCGGATGCTCAGCACGGCGGTGCACATCTTGCCCGGAAAGCAGTTCTTGAAGTTGAGCTGCTCCTGCTCAATCTCCAACTGGCCCACCGAGGCCTCGAACTTGACGCGCACGCGGATCACCTCGTGCGGCGTCCAGACCTTGAGGGTTCCGAACGTGGCTTCCGCCTCGTACGTCTGGATGGCCACCTTGAATACGGCACTCTCGCCGGCGCCCACCTCGGAGCATAGATGCCAGGGCCTGCTCTCGTTCTCCAGCTCCTCGTGTTCCGTGGACCGACAGCCCAGGAAGGTGCTCTGCGAGTAGACGGTCTTTGGGTGCTTGAAGAACCAGTTGGTTATCTTCACGGACACAGGGTTATCGTTGCGCAGGATCACGAATCCGTCGCGCGACATCTCGGCGAATGGCACAGTGCCCAGATCGAGCTCCAGGTTGTACGCCTCTTCCTCCTTGGAAGACTCGTGGGAAATGTTAAGCACAAATGGCTGCGTGGACACGTGTAGGCGTCCACTGCATGAGACCAGGGGAAGTTTAAAGACCGTGACGTTCGTCTCAATCCTCAGGTAGGATTGGAACGGCACCTGGTCGTTTAGAAGATTTAGGCGCAGCAGCTCCACGGATTCACCTGGCTGCAGCAGTATCCTGGGATCGCCCACTAGGGTTACCTCTAAAATGGATTCGTCCACCGGTTTGCTGAGACTCACGTTGAACAGGGTGAGGGGCATGGCGAAGTTGTTGCGCACCACCAACGATCGCTTCCTCTCCAGCGGTGCACCCTCACCGCCCTCCGGCGAAGTGGTCACAAACTTTGTGACATTCCCGTCGAAGGAGAGCCCTCCGTGAAAGATTTCCGCCCGCACCAGCACCGTGAATGGCTGATTCGCCTCCGCACTGGAACTGGAACCTGAGCTGGACTGGTTACTGCTGATCACCAGCAGATCATTGATGGTCTCGCTACCCTCGAACAGTCGGGCGTCCAACACGATGCTCGTGTTGTTGGCGTCGAACGAGAGGCCGGGAATCTGGCGCAGGTAGCTGCCGAAGAGCAGGCGGCTCTCATCGTTCCGCACATCCAGCTTGAACTGCAGGGCATCCGGAGCGTTTAACGTGGCCACTCGGCCAAAGTCCGCCAGCGGATTGCGGGCGTAGGGCGAGTGCCGCGGCAGAATCTCGAACTCGACGGGAATGACTAGGACGTTCTCCTGGCCAAGATCCAGCTCCTGCTCGGCGATCTTGATGCGTATGTAGGCGCTGTGATTGCCAGCAGTGCGGCCATGGAAGGAGATCCTAATGACCGGCTTCAACGTGTGTGGCGGAATCTCCCACAGATTTTGTGGGCCCTCCGAGCCACCGCTGGGCAGCTCCAACTGGAACTCGCCGCCGCTGCTGTATATCTGGGGATAGATGGTGATAAGCACTGACTCCACATGATGTTAAGGTATCCCTACCTCGAGTATCTGCAGCGGCCGTTCGTGCGGATTGTACATGTGGATCTCTGGCGTTAGCGTGGCATTCATGGGCGCCTTGATCCCCACCAGCGGCTTCAGCCGGTACGGACACTCACTGCCCTCGCCCCGCACCGCCAACTCGGCCTGGCCGAAGGAGGTGTGGATGAGCACGTCGCCGGCCATGGCGCCCAGTTTCCGCGGCAGGAATACCACACTGAAGGTGGTGTTGCCCTGAGGGGGCACCTCCCGGGTGCCCAGGAAGCTGCTGTAGAAGGCCGGACTTGGCCCGGCCACCGCGTTCAGCTGGAGCGTTCGGTTGGCGTGCTGATTGAACAGCGTCACCGTCTGGGAGCGCGCCTGACCCACGGACCACGTTCCAAAGTCTAGGCGGGATGGCACGAGCCGAAGGTCGCGCAGCAGTTGACCCAGGTCCTGGACATGATGCGGCTCCTGGCGCCCCAGGTAGCCCTCCTGCAGCACCTTCTCGCCGTGGGCGCCCAGGGTGAGCAGGAAGATCAGGATGAGTAGCCGCAGGAGCGGCCTCATCTGCGTGTGTGTTGACATGGTGAAGTGTTCTCCGTGTGTGTGTGTGTGTTTGTGTGCTTGGGCGGCGGTTGCGCTGCTCCGGCTGGCCCACTTCCTGTTCCTGTCCAGCTGCTAATCTCGATCGCGGTTTCCTTGGCGCTGCTCTTTATTTATATTATCCAATATCGGCCAAAAATTATTATCGCTTTTCAGAGTGACCGTGGCGCAACAGATAAAATATACCATCCGGTTGGAAGTATTTTTATTAAGGAATTTATTTTGAGGTACCTCAAATATACCGCTAAATTAAGTGGTTTTTATTTATTCGATCAGTAGGTGCAGTTTTTAATGATCCTTTTTTGTTATATAATATCGTAGTTAATTTTATCACTCATATAACTATTTTTAAATTGATAAAAATTTAAAAAAAAATAAACAAATGAAGACGAGTTGGTCTGTAGGTCGAGTCACTTTTCACTTTGCTTAAGTAATTTTTATTTTGTGGAACATTTTGTCACTTGCTTTAAAAATGTTGTATACCGTTAAAAAGCATAATACATAATGCAACCATTTTTTTCGGGGGAAATGAACAAAAAATATAAGGTGAAAAATATTGTGGTTTAAGAATATGGATAAACTTCAAAAAATAATAATCGCGCGACTTTTGCTTAAAATATATATATTTTGCACATCGATGTTTTTTTCTGATAATATTACGATAACATTCACGAACGCGATAGTGTATCGATAAGCGTTAAAATAGTTTGCTTATCCCTATCTAGGTGGTGTTGCCAGATCGGCCCGTTATTTTAAAATGATTGTTTACAAGAAACATACTTTGGTTGATATCTCCTTAAATATCAACTTTACCGGAAAAAGTTACTTAACAAAAAATGTGTATTTCAAATAAACCTTGAACTTTTGTTTGGATAAGTTTTTTGATAAAGGTCATATTTTGGAAGAAATTGTCAAAAAACCAGAAATAATGGTTTTTAACTATATATTCCAAGATACCGGTCTTGTCGCAAGCTTTTACCTCTTTATTCGTAATAAAGACTCTAAAATACATGGATCGTGAAAATTTAAAAGTGATCGGGCGTTGGGACTTTTCGGAAGTACAACCAAAAATGTATAAGGTTTTGGCCTAAAAAAATTTGAAATCATTAAAAACTGTTTTTAAAAATTTTAAGTATTTACTTTGGTTTTCTTTTTAAAACGTTGGTTTTTAAGCATAACTATAAAATAATATCAAAAATTAAAAAAAATTTTTGTCTGATAAATTAATTTTGTATTTTTCGGTGATTGCTTGGAATGAATAACTCTGTTTTGTAACCTTGTTCTATTGAAATTTAAAGATGGTGTATTTAGAAAATTTTTATAACATAAAAATAAATTAAATAAATTTGGTGGTCGACTTCTATAGATCAAATCTGGCTTGAGCTTGGTATAAAACTCTTCTTTCAATTTATTTTTATAAAGTAAATATTTTTAAATATGCGTTGTATGGGTTTATAATAAATTGATGCCCTAAGTTGTTATTGTACACGTTTAACAGATCTCACTATATTTAAATTTTTATTTGTTGTCGTCTATTTTTGTCAATTAAACATGTTTTTGATATATTTATTTATTCGAGCAAAATTCTTTATATATTTAGTACACTCTCTAAAGAGCTCACTGTGTTTCAATATTTTTTTGAGATTTCTGTTGCATACTCTTGGGCTTTTTGTATATGCGCTGAAAGGAATGATCGAACTGTATTTGAAAGAGCTATCGAATTTCGCCCATCGCTTCAAACTGCCATCACTAGTTTATAAAAAAAACGACAACCAAAAGAAAGTTGCAGTTTAGTTTACGTGTTAAAATAAATCGCAGGTCGTGAGCTGATATAATTAAAGTGAGTTTAAATCATATCTGAGATTAGCTCGGTAGTTCTTCATACTTATATCCACCCACTAATCTGAGCTAAAATAGTGAACAACAGCAGAAAACATGAGATCGTTCGGCTTGCTACTCAAACACGCACGCACATACACACACGCACACATATCCGCTCAATATTGCAAAAATATTAATGAGAAAATCTGCAAAACGTTTTGCAATAAATAGTGGCGAAGACCAACGGCTATTTTACCCACAAACGGTGATGCAACAGCCTTATTGATTTTGCCCACTTTCACCGCTTACAACATTTCGGTTTTAGTTTCGGTTTTAGTTTCACCAGCGCACACTGCTGAAATCCAATTTCCATACGCATCAGCAAGGCGTGAACTTCGTTTCCAGATGTAAATTAGACCCCCATGTGTACTTGCAAAGTCATCACCCCCTTGAAATGTGCTCTTTTTGGAATTAGATTGGCGAGCAATAGCTTTCGAGGTACTTCGGAGAAAGTTTCAGCCCTTTGCCTGAGTGACCCACTGACTAACTGGGTTTCAATGCAGTGGCATGATGATAACCGGTTCCAAAAGACTCGCATATACATAGGTTGGTCCCCCCACTCAATGGTCCAGGGCCAGATCCCGTTGCCGTTGCGGCCCTAATCTCTGGTTAATTCTCTGGTTAGCTGAAAGAGAGCGAGAGCTACTAGTATATCACCCGAAATTCTTGGGACCCGAAGTCTCAGCCGAAGCAGCGCTCCGAAATCGAAATCAGAATTCACGCCTGTTGCTGGCTCACTTCATTTTCATGGCTGGTGCTGGCGCGTATTCGATTTCAGTTTACTCCCAGACCCACGACGTGCGGGTTGACTTGACTAACTGCCAGACCTCCAAAGTTAAACCTAGCCCGGCACGCACACTTCCAAGCGAACTCGAAACCTATTGCACCTGCACATATTCGACATATTCGCCGCCGCGCTCTAATCAATTCTAAGTAAATAAATCAAAGTTTGAAAGTACAGGCAAAGTCAAACGGTACGCGTTCCTCCTCTATTCGTCTTTGAGACTGTCTTTACTAGATCTTTACCAGACTGTCCTCTGATCTTGCTTGCAGCTCCATCATGTCGGCGAAAGCAATCACGGAGGCCTCCGGCAAGGACATCCTGAACCGCCATCTCAATGCCCACGGCGCCGGCGCGGCCACCTGCCGCTTTGCCACAGTGAACTCCACGACAGACTGGTCCAAGCTGGCCGTCGACCAGCCCTGGCTGCTGACCACGGTGAGTGCCAGTTAAAAATAGCCGCGCAACTCGCTGATAGCATATGCAGGAACAAGAAATGGGGCCAGCGAAAAATAAACGCTTGGCGGGATCGCTATTGACATTGAACTTGACCCCGCAGAGCGTCCACCAACACGACGCCAATGGGTGACTAATTACGCTACCGATAAGCACGATTTGGGCGCTAGTCGGGCGAGTGATTCGCCTGAGTCTGCAGAGTAGACTGAGGGACAGCTCACCCCTGCCTTTATCAGATTGTCCAGGTCGCGTGGCATGGCGTGGTCTTGGCCCGATCGGTTATCCGCCGGCGCATCAGGCTCACCTCATTTGCGAGCACGATAAGCGTGCGTGGGAGCAGATTGGGATAGCTCTGTAGCCAAGTACTTATTTGCGGGTGACGAGGTTGATTGGGCAATTCGGGGAACACTAACATGTTGTGTTTTTTTTAGGATGGGGTGGGAATTCCATGTAGAGGAAGTCTTATCTATAAGAGTTTTGTTTATATTGTTTAAATTTAAGAGGAAAAAGTCATATCTACTAATGAAATATATTTGATGAAAATGGGGTTGAGGTAACTAACCTATTCATGGTGACGCTTTATTATCATATTAAGGAAAATTTTAGAAGGCGATTTGTTATCTATACGTTTTTTGTTTTTGCACAAGCACGTTTACTATTGAAAGTCAAGTACTTGAAATCTTATCTTATTTGTTGATTTTAGAGGGAGCGTCCCCAATCTTAGTCTTATCTAAAAGTTGTACGCGGAAGAAATCCAATTTATTGTGAAAATCCCATTTGATGAATATATGATTATTTTTTCAAGAATATTTTCCAATTCTGAAAATCCAAAAACTGCTGAATCTTATCTTAAACTTCGGGTATTTATTTGAGGGCGAATCCAGTCGTCAACCAGTCGTTGAAAGTGGTCCAAACTTTGTTTGCTATAGTATAATTTAGTTTGTATAGCCAAACTAAAACATAAATGCGTTCCTTAAAGACATTTCTATAATTTTAATATTTACCCCAAAGAAAAGAGCAAATGGATAGTGTTTTTTGGGCTATATGTAATTACAGAACAAAGTTGATCGCCTGACGACTCGAATGACTTTTTGTAGCCGCACTGTTTGCTCAATTTTGACTCGTACGATCTTCTAATAAGCATCCGAGATGTGTTTTTGTGTGGGCACAAGCACAAGTACACAAGTACACAAGTACAAGTTCGGGTAAGGGTACGAGTACGAGCATTGTCATTGCCAATGACGCGGGAACGACCCCTGGCGCTATCGGCTGATCTTGCCGACAGATGCTTATTGTTGGAACCGGCTTTCTGCTGACGTCGAGCTCAAAAGGCTCAACAGTTCAACGATTTGTCGCTTATTTTATTTATTTATTATTTTTAAACATCATATTTAATTAGCACCGTCCTTTTCTTTGTTGCAGCCGCTTGTGGTCAAGCCCGATCAACTGATCAAGCGTCGAGGAAAGCTGGGTCTGATTGGCGTCAAGAAAAACTTCGAGCAGGTTAAGCAGTGGATTGGCGAGCGCCTCAACAAGGACCAGAAGATCGGCAATGCCGTGGGTAAGCTGCGTAACTTCATCATCGAGCCTTTTGTGCCGCATACGGATGTGAGTTCTTAAGAGTTTCCGGCTTGAAATATATTTCTTAATGTTTATACGAAATCCCCTAGGCTGAGGAGATGTACGTGTGCATTTACTCACATCGCGCTGCGGACACCATCCTGTTCTATCACCAAGGAGGCGTTGATATTGGCGATGTGGATGCCAAGGCCGTGAAACTGGATGTGCCTGTGAACTCTACACTGTCGCTGGCCGACGTCAAGAGCAAGCTGTTGAAGGAAGTCAAGGATGCTGGCACCAAGGAGCGCATTGCCAAGTTCATCAGCGCTCTGTACACCACCTTTGTGGACCTGTACTTCACCTACCTGGAGATTAACCCTCTGGTGGTGACAGCCGACAATCTGTACATTCTGGATTTGGCGGCAAAGCTGGACTCGACCGCAGACTTCATCTGCCGTCCGAAGTGGGGCGAGATTGACTATCCACCACCCTTCGGGCGGGATGCCTATCCCGAGGAGGCCTACATCGCAGATCTGGACGCCAAGAGCGGTGCTTCGCTCAAGCTGACGATTCTGAATCGTAATGGGCGCATCTGGACGATGGTGGCGGGCGGTGGCGCCAGTGTCATCTACTCGGACACCATTTGCGATCTGGGTGGAGCCTCCGAGCTGGCCAACTATGGAGAGTACAGTGGAGCTCCTTCGGAGCAGCAGACGTACGAGTACGCCAAGACGATCCTCAACCTGATGACCTCCTCGCCCAAGCATCCTGATGGCAAAGTGCTGATAACGGGAGGTGGCATTGCCAATTTCACCAACGTAGCGGCGACCTTCCAAGGTGAGACACTGTTGATCCCCTATCTTATCAGCAATCAATCTAAATGCGTTTCCCATTGCAGGCATCATCACCGCCCTGCGCGAGTTCCAGCCCAAGCTGGCCGAGCACAACGTTTCGATATTCGTGCGACGCGCGGGACCCAACTACCAGGAGGGGCTCAGGAGGATGCGGGACTTTGGCAGCACCCTGGGCATCCCACTGCACGTCTTTGGGCCCGAGACACACATGACCGCCATCTGTGGAATGGCGCTGGGCAAGCGGCCCATTCCCCAAGCGGCCAGCGTGGAGTTCTCCACGGCCAACTTCCTGTTGCCCGGTGGGCAGCAGGCCCAGGCGGATCTCAAGGCGGCCAGCGATGCTCCCGAGGCCCTGGGCTCCGGTTCCGGTAAGTGGAACGGCATGGAGTGTGCAAGTAGTTGGGTGTTTGATGAGTTTATGTGCGGCTAACCCGGGATATCACTGATCCATTTTAGCTGTAACCCCATGAACTGTTTGTATCCCTGCTACGGACTGTAAAGCATCGATCGTCCTCACTTATCTGATCTCTCTCTCTTTTCTCTCTCTGTATTTTGTATGTTTGCATTGATCGCCCTCGACTGCAACGACAACAAATCTTGTCGCCACACTCACCAATAAATTAAAAAAAAACACAAAAATCCACATAAACCACCACCAAATTAATACCTAAACCAAACCAAAACCAATTTGAAATGCTCGTTTGGCCGACCGATTTGCACCCGATCCGATTCCAAATGACCACCTGATATACCTCATAATCCCGTGTTCGTGTAATCTGTTTGTTTGTGTTTCGTACTGGTTTGTCAATCTTCTACACGTCCTGATCTCGCTCTCTGCTCCTCCATCATCATCCAATCGATCCCCGACATCGATCTCGAATCTCGTCTCTCGACTCGTTCCATTTGGGATAGCCCTGAGCCCGACCGCAGCTAAACCGATTAAACTACCACCTATCTCAGCAGATGAGGGCGACAGCGTTAGCGCCACCGGTGCTCAGCGCAATGGGTCGAGTCTGAACCGCAAGTTCTTCTCCAACACCACCAAGGCGATTGTGTGGGGCATGCAGCAGCGGGCGGTGCAGTCGATGCTTGACTTTGACTTCATCTGCAGGTGAGTGCCAAACAAATTTCGCATTGAAAGGGATAACAAACAAATCGGTTCGATTTAATACTCACATTTCGCACTTTCAGACGCGATGAGCCCTCTGTGGTGGCCATGGTGTATCCCTTCACCGGTGACCACAAGCAGAAGTACTACTGGGGCCACAAGGAGATCCTCATTCCCGTGTACAAGAAGATGTCCGATGCCATCCACAAGCACAAGGAGGTCGACGTTATGGTCAACTTTGCTTCCATGCGCAGCGCTTACGAGTCCACACTTGAGGTGCTCGAGTTCCCCCAGATCCGCACCGTGGCCATTATCGCCGAGGGCATTCCGGAGAACATGACCCGCAAGCTGATCATCGAGGCGGACAAGAAGGGCGTGGCCATCATTGGACCGGCCACCGTGGGAGGTGTTAAGCCCGGGTGCTTCAAGATTGGCAACACGGGCGGTATGCTGGACAACATTCTGCACTCGAAGCTGTACCGTCCAGGCAGTGTGGCGTATGTTTCCCGCTCCGGAGGCATGTCCAACGAGCTGAACAACATCATCTCGAAGGCCACCGACGGCGTGATCGAGGGCATCGCCATTGGCGGTGATCGCTACCCAGGCTCCACCTTCATGGATCACATTCTGCGCTACCAAGCCGATCCGGAGACCAAGTTGATCGTGCTGCTGGGTGAAGTCGGTGGCACTGAGGAGTACGACGTGTGCGCCGCTCTGAAGGACGGACGCATCACGAAGCCTCTTGTGGCTTGGTGCATTGGAACCTGCGCCAGCATGTTTACTTCCGAAGTCCAGTTTGGCCACGCCGGATCCTGTGCGAATTCCGATCGCGAGACGGCCACGGCTAAGAACAAGGGCCTGCGGGAGGCTGGCGCTTACGTTCCGGATTCGTTCGACACGCTGGGCGATCTCATCCATCACGTTTACGGTGAGCTGGTCAAAACTGGTCGCGTGGTGCCCAAGGAGGAGGTGCCGCCACCAACCGTGCCCATGGATTACTCGTGGGCCCGTGAGCTTGGCCTCATCCGCAAGCCCGCCTCCTTCATGACCTCCATATGTGACGAACGTGGCCAGGAGCTCATCTACGCAGGAATGCCCATCAGCGAGGTGCTGAGCAAGGACGTCGGCATCGGTGGCGTCATTTCGTTGCTCTGGTTCCAGCGCTGCCTGCCCTCCTACGTGTGCAAGTTCTTCGAGATGTGCCTGATGGTCACTGCGGATCACGGACCCGCTGTTTCTGGCGCCCACAACACCATTGTGTGCGCACGTGCTGGCAAGGACCTAGTGTCCTCAGTCGTCAGCGGTCTGCTGACCATCGTTAGTTAACAACATCAATTAGATTTAACATCAGTACTCAGACATAACACAATTTTAGGGCGATCGCTTTGGAGGTGCTCTTGACGGTTCGGCCCGGCAGTTCTCGGAGGCGTACGACACCAACCTGCACCCCATGGAGTTCGTGAACAAGATGCGCAAGGAGGGCAAGCTCATCCTGGGCATAGGTCACCGAGTAAAGTCGATCAACAACCCGGATGTGCGCGTAAAGATCATTAAGGAGTTCGTGCTGGAGAACTTCCCTGCTTGTCCGCTGCTTAAGTACGCCCTGGAGGTTGAGAAGATCACCACCAACAAGAAACCGAATCTTATCCTCAATGTGGACGGCGTGATAGCCACCGCCTTTGTGGACATGCTGCGCAACAGTGGCTCATTTACCAGGTGAGTGGATAAAGGTGGCAGGAGTTTAAAGAGCGGGAAATAATCCAAATACATTCTACTTTCAGTGAGGAGGCACAGGAGTACATTAATGTGGGCGCCATCAACTCGCTGTTCGTGCTGGGACGCAGCATAGGATTCATTGGCCACTACATGGACCAGAAACGACTCAAACAGGGCCTGTACCGCCACCCGTGGGACGACATCTCCTACGTCATTCCCGAGCAGTACAACTAGGCGGGCAGATGGAGCCGCCACGATGTTATATATTTACGTATATACAAGCATATATTATTCGGAAGTTGTTGTAGTTAAGCACAGATACAGATGTATGATGTTAGGCAAAGAGGTTCCCGCTCCGCTGGCTGGAAGGATCCATCCCGGTCAATCCGCGCATGTGCCTCACCCCAGTTCTTCCCTTTCCCTCTCTCACCTAACCTGCATTTAAAGTTCTTAAGTTACCATCATTACCCTCGTTGTTTTTGTAAGTGGTGTCGCGTGTTTCGGAGCCCCTTTGGGGTTTTGGAATCTATAGACCTAGTGAAATCTAGAGCTCCGGGCCGCACAACACAGCACAGTACCCAGCATAACACTATTTGATACTTTTATACTTTAGTTTGGATGCTCACAATTGTCTAGCCAACAAGAGAATAAATTGTTGCAAAAGCTTATTTTATTTTGATCCCCCGTTCACTGCTCATGATTTTACTCCCTTTGCCAGCATCTCGAAGAGAAACGGACACTGCACTAGTTCCTGCTGCACTGAAGCACATTTATTTATAAACAATTACACGAACATATTTACAATGCACAAAAATTAGGCGTGGGCGCCCTATTGGGAAATGCAATTTCCCTCGCAGAGCCTGTCGTCTTGGAAAATTCACCGCAATTAAACCGCACAAATGCTTTGACTAAACTAAACCCGTGAATTGTCTTTTGTCTCGAGCAGTTTAATTTGCTGAACATTTAACAATTGGGAAACGCACACACAACTAAGCGTAGAATCTCATTAGAACCAGGAACCCCTTAACCACTAGAGCATCTTGGAAAGGCGCTCCTCCTATCTCATGCGTCGCATCTTGCGCTCCATCTTCTTCTGCTTTTTCTCGTCCACCTCGGGATTCTCCTCCTGGGCGTTTCGCTGTGAGAGCCAGGGCTGGATGACGGTGCCCCAGAGCATCCAACCGGCACGGACTGGCGCCAGTAGCAGCACCAGCCAGAAGTAGTTTGAGATGAGGGCCAGCAGCAGGGTGCCGGAGGTGAGGATTATGAGGTCCTTGACGTTTCTGAAACGGAAGTGGTGTGTAAGCAAAGTGTTTATAGGTTGCCCTAAGTGCACTTACTCCGCAATGCCGCCCTCCATGTTCAGATCGTTGCCGGAGTCCACAAGAGCCCCGCTTTCCGAGTATTTCGCCCGTGACATAAAAGCCATAAACTGATAGGAGCTGCCAAGGATCAGCACTGCCAGGATGTGCATGAACTATTGGGTGGAGAAGTGCATGAGCAAGAATACGGAAAGAGTTCTCTTCCACCACCTTACCACTGAGGTCTTGGTCACTTCAAAGACCAGGAAACTGAGGAGCAGAGCGGGTGCACTGCATCCAATGGCCATGTTGCGGTAGAAAGCCAGTGTCGTCTTGTTTTCCTCCACGATTTGCTTGGCGCCTTTCGTGGCCTGTTTGCCCTTCTGTTGGGGCTGCAAGTGCACAGGAGATTTGATGTAATCCTCGAGAGCATGGTCGTTGTGCTGGATTCACTTACTGCCATGATGGGACTGCTAGTTGTGTGTCAGGAATTTCAAAAGCTAAATCGGACCACTTTTTACGTGGCGACAAATTTTCAACAAGACAAAAGTGTTAAAAAACGGATTTGTGATAGGGGAACAGTGTTGGAAAATGCGAATTGCACCTCTTTTTTGACTGGGGAGTAGAATTTAGGGGGATTAATTTGCCTTTATAAATGAAAATTACAATATTGGTTATTTAAATATTTGTTATATATTTAGTTTTAATTTTTAGCTCTTACAAATCTTTCATTAATAACAAATTGATTCCCCCATAAACATTTCCCCTTACACCCATGGACCCCGCCTTTTTAGAAATGGAAGAGCAGCCATTCACAGCGAATTGCGCAACAGCTGATGCCCCCAGCCAAACATTCGACCTTTGGATTTTGGATCTGGCTTAATTTTGAATTGGCTGCACAAACAGTTCTTTGGTCACAACATGAACATGGATCAACTGGTGCAGCTGAATAACCAGGCTGGCGGTAGGGACAAGATTGCCCGGCTTATCCAGTATGCCTCGCGGGCGATGTGGGACTCCTTGGAGGCCGCCAACTCCAGTCCTGCGTTGGTGGATAACTTCAAAACGATCGAATACATCCTGAGCACATTCCGAAAGCGTGAGTATCCTTCGGAACCGCTTGATGACACAACTTATACCTGGCAATTCCAGTGCTTCGCTTCGGCAAGTGCGTCGATGTGTTCTACGGCACCCTGAAGACCATCCACTATCCGGATGTCACCATCCGAGTGACGCTCACCCTGAGCAAGCTGTCCCAGTCGCTGTTCCTCTTCGCCGACCACTTCCTCTGGCTGGCCAGGACAGGATTGACGACGGTGAACGCCAAGCGGTGGTCCAGCATCGCCAACAAGTACTGGCTCTTTTCGATCATCATGAACCTGTGCCGCGACTTCTACGAGATCCTGAGGGTACTGGACCTGCATCGATCCGGCTGCAAGGGCGGAATCTCGCGCTGCCGCATCCCCACCAGCATCAACTCGCCGCAGGACTTTAAACGCCTGGCGCTGCAGTCCTATGTCCTGATGCAGGGACACAAGGACATCGTGGTGGACACGGTGAAGAATGTGTGCGACTTCTTCATCCCCCTGACGGCTCTGGGCTACACAAGTCTCACGCCTCGGACAATAGGACTCCTGGGGGCAATTTCATCGCTCGCCGGACTCTGGGCTCTACTGGAACCCAAGGCCAAGTTAACGCCTGCATAACACCTGATATTGGAAACCTTGTAGATAAGGGTTCCCCCATTCCTTGTATCTATTTTTTACTTGTTGTATTGTACTTGTAGTTGTGATCGGATTAAGTTGAAAGATAAACGAACGATTTTATGAAACTGTAAAACCCACCTTACTAACCCGCCCCCACTGAAGGCGCCTTCTGGTGAATGACAAACAGCTGACGCCATCGTGCTGCGCTGTGAATGGCGCATTTCTTCAGTTGTGTTTTTTGTTTCGCTTGGCCTTTTATCAAACGCCTTTTGGCTAATGGTCCGCAGTCCGGTCGCGTTATCACGGAATTGACGAGGCTGATGCGTCACCTGTGCGTGGGCTGCATCCGGACACCATGAACTACTCCTACTCAGCGCTGTCGCCCGGCGGCGGAGGATTCGGAGGAGTAGACCAGCACAACCGATGCTGCGGGAACAAGGCCTGGTGTGTCAAGGACATCTGCGGCATCGTCTGCGTTGTGATGACCTGGCTGCTCATCCTCTTCGCCGAGTTCGTGGTCATGCGCCTGATCCTCCTGCCCAGCAATTACACGGTCTTCAGCACCATCAACATGGTCGTATTCCAGGCGCTCGCCTTCCTCGCCTTTGCCTCGCACATTCGCACAATGCTCTCGGATCCGGTGAGTGGGTTACGGGCACTAATGGTAGCGGTAGCGTATCTATATCAAGGTCGATGTACTTTTTTTTTACCTTATCTGTGTTGGTGGTTAAAATGCCTAATGGGCATTAATATTAGAATACAATAATTACTATATACTAATTAATGAAATAAATAGAAAATAATGATTACTATGAATGCAAAAACTTTCAGAACTAGTTAATTATATATTTACCAGATCAATTATAAAAAGCTAATCCTAAATGTAATCTTTTTAAACCTTTATAGGGCGCTGTACCCCGGGGCAATGCCACTAAGGAGATGATCGAGCAAATGGGCTACCGCGAGGGTCAGATGTTCTACAAGTGCCCGAAGTGCTGCAGCATTAAACCAGAGCGAGCCCATCACTGCTCCGTTTGCCAGCGATGCATCCGCAAGATGGACCACCACTGTCCGTGGGTCAACAATTGCGTGGGCGAGAACAACCAGAAGTACTTTGTGCTCTTTACCGTAGGTGCAGCACTCTTACCATGTCGATCTGCCACTTTAATTACTCTTTTTTTAGTTCTATATAGCTTCGATCTCTGTGCACACGCTCTTCCTAGTGCTCACCCAGTTCGCGGAGTGCGTGAAAAACGACTGGCGCACCTGCTCGCCGTACTCTCCGCCGGCCACTATTTTCCTGCTGCTCTTTCTCACCTTTGAGGGCTTGATGTTCGGCATTTTCACCATCATCATGCTGGCCACTCAGCTGACGGCCATCCTAAACGATCAGACGGTGCGTGCTTGCTCTCTCTATCTGCTTGGGATTTGCCGGTTAACTTTCTACCATTTCTCTCTCTGTCCAACAGGGCATTGAGCAGCTGAAGAAGGAGGAAGCCCGCTGGGCCAAGAAGTCACGTCTCAAGAGCATCCAGTCGGTGTTTGGACGCTTTTCGCTGGCCTGGTTTTCGCCATTCACGGAACCCTCGTGCCGCACAAGATTCAACTCGCACTTCTACTCGGTCTGAGGAGGTGACTGGGAGCACGGACTAGCTTAATCGAACAATACTAACCAACAAACCAACTAACGTACAAGGGCAACAAGTAGCCGCCACTTGTTGCACCGCTGAGTGCAATTTTTTATTTGGCAATTGCTACTTTTCGATCAATTGTCAACTATATTTACTAGAATTGTATGTATGTGTGTGTGTTTAGGCCTAAGCAAAGGGATTAAACACTCATTGCCTTAGCCAGTACTTACCTGAGAGCCCTACTAAATGAAATGCCTTGTGTTTATTTTGTATTCGCCATGGGGTGAGAGTCCCCAGAACCAGAAGACATGCGCGGCACCTCTGATCATCTTCAGGAGAGTTCGCTCGCTCGTCTCGGGACGGCCAAAATTATCCGACATGGACAGGCGAGGCTGCTGCTGCTGCTGCTGATCTGTCTGCTCAGTTCTGTTCAGTTCAGTTTTAGTCTGAGAAAAACGATCGGAGATCCAGGAGGTGTCTGCTGGACGTGGTGTGCGCCATTCGAACGTCGATGCTGTGTGTTGTACATATTGTTTATATATAGAAAGATAGAACGTGAGTGTGTGTGTGTGTGCGAGTGTCTGGTGGGTTTCAAATTGGAATTGGAATTGGTTGAGGAATACGTGTATATCCGCTGCACCAAAGGCCGAAAATGTGAATATATCCTAATTACACATTTTCCGATCCATTGTGCCCGAGACGAATACGCGTAATTACCAGAGGAAAATTTCATTTCAGTGAATCGGAAACGGAAAAATTCAAATTTTTACCATCGTTTGTGTGCGGCGCATTCTAAATATAAAAATAAAAAGAAATCGTTTTCGGTTAATGCCACCGCCGCCGCCTTGAAAATCCAATCCACCAACCTACTCAACTGCGCCCTAATCCTAGCCAGCCAGCAAGTCCTGAAGAAAGTCCCATGCCAAAGTGGCCCTGTTGCAGCTAATTATATAGTGAGACCTGAGCATGGAAAGATCGCCAGCAGACAATGCCGCGGGTAAGCATCTAAAAAAGTGAAAAAGTGCCCCGGCGCCGGGAAAGTGAGAGATTCTCCTTTTTTTCTCGCCAAGTGCTCCCGTTCCCGGTTCCGAATAGAGTACTTTATGGCTATTTGTGTGTATTTTTACTGCCTGCCACGGGCTCCGTCTCCGTTTTCCCCTTTCTTTGGCTTTGCGTACGGGGCCACAGTGCGGTTACGTAATTTCGCATTGAGTATGGGGAAATTTTCATAATTGTACGTTGGAATATGCGCTGGTCGAGTGTCATTATTGTGTCCGCATCCCGGCGAGGACCGAGTCGTTCCCAATACCATGCCGAAATACTATTTACGAATCACATTTGATTACGGGCTCCCCATGCAGAAAGATTCGACATGCTCACAAATAGTGCTCGTCGGCGCGTATGAATAATATTTGGAACTATTTTTAGTAAAAATTCCGAATACTCGATGCTTGGGCAGGGTATGGCATTGTGCACGGGACAATCGAATTTTATAGTGTAAACACAAACATTATTATTTGAGTAAAAAAATTTACGTTTGTATCTCCAGATTGATAGAGATAAACAAACTTTTTTAAGGAGACCTCCCATAAGTAGCTCTTTTTTATTAAAACATTATTATATAGAATTATGACTTTTTTGTGTTGATTTAAATTTTATATAAATATTTTCAAGAACTCTTTTGCCATTCTTTCTTTTAGTTTATCAAAGCTTGTTATATTTGTATTTGCTTTTGGTTACTTTATAATTAAAGAACTATTTTATAGACAGTAAATCTTTATATAAATCCAAATGGTTTTAAATGAAAAACTTTAGGGACTTCGTTTTGAATGGGCACATAGGTCTTTCCTAAAAAAGTTTATTATCACAAAAGTATTTTTTATTTAAACATCATATTTTTAAAAAGTATGCTTCAACAATAGGTGTCTACAAACAAAATATTTTTTTTTGTATTATTCTTGTACTTTGAATGTCTTAATTTTGTATAGGTACATGCTTTTTGATTCTTAATTTTTACTACATTATAAAATAGATTTAGGGTATCCTCACGGCGAATTCACTTTGAATTAGCGAATCTCCGCTTTTGTTGCCGGCATAACTATGTGTGTTTATGTCTGTCCCGTGGCTACGGGGCAATTCTTGACATTTCGCAAATATTTATGATAATTTGTTTCCTTCGCCAACGAAACTTATAAAGCGATTAGTCATGCTTATAATTAAATGCTCCTCCATTCGCTTTGCAGAGCCTCCTGGCCAGGATGGAGGAGGATTCGAAGTGGGCCAGCGCCGACCGCCGCCCCGCATTACGTTCAGCGAGAACTCCAGCTCCCTGATCCGCTGCATCCCCAACGAACGGGCCACGTTCTTCGTGAAGATCGACTGCGCCGAGGAGGATGAGCCGGAACTGCTGCCCTTCAAATTCGAGTGGTAAGTCATCATAAATCTATCGAGCAGAAATCTATTTTCCCTACCTGTGCACTCGGCGTGTGAATCACCCGTCCTTGCTCCGCCCGGTCTGCCGTGCATTATGCCAAAATTTGCGCATTAGCATATGACTTCTCCTTCACGGCGACGGATTTGCTCAATTGAGCAGACGGAGAGTGGGATGGTGGGTCCACATTTACCAAAGAGTACTGTGCTGTACATCTCTAGGTTCCTCGAGATTTTCTCTGATATTTTGCTCTTCGGCGGCCAGTTCCACTTTGACGATCGGCGCATTAACATATCCGTTGCCCAGCGGGCGGACATACAAAATAGCAGTGCCATACGAGAGTTCTATATATACACCACTGCGTATACGTACTGGTGCGTGGATTTCGGGGGGCGTCCACGCGGCGGATACTCAATAAATCACCTGCATAACGAAATCAATCAATTTACGCGTGGAATTCCTACGGGACGTGGTTCAAAAAAACCGGGAACACATCGCTGGCCAAGATCTGTAACGAAATTCTATTTTTAGACACATTAACAAATCGCTAGCGTCCGCGGAACTTTCGTCTGTCGTCGATTTTTCGGTGCTTGTTTTTCGACGGTGTGGGTCAAAAACGTTTCCATTTAATGCCCTAAAAGTGTTCAAAATAGTTTTTCTCAAACGAAATCGAAAATTACATAATGCCCCGCTGACGGAGAAACAAAGAGGAACATAGGTAGAGAGTGCGATCGCTTCTCGGTCAGATGTTTGGCAATATCCGTGCGAGAGCAACAGATAAATAAATAAACCGATTCTGGGCCCCAAGACAAAACAACAAAGGAAACAAGAAACAATTTGAAAATTCTCGATCTCGGGCAATACGACAGCGAAACAACAAGTTATTAGCGCTCAACATAAAAAAAAAGAAAAGCACAAGAAAAACACGCAGCCCAAAAATAAATTGGCAAACGCGTTGTTGTCTAGCTAGCGTTTAAATTATTGCAGTCCGCGGTTTGTGCCTAGTGAAGTGTCCGAATGCGAACACAATTAATAGCGTAGCAAGTTCAACCATTTATTTATAAACATTCTTGCTTCGGTTCAGAAATATTTTTGGTCAATTTTCGCTTTCTGAAAAATTGTATTATTGTTATTGTGCAGTGGTATTTGTGGTGTTTGTTTGCGTCTGTTTATTGAGCAATAATTATGCCACATAAATAAATGACTCTTTTGGCTAAAATGTTTTGGTAAATGTTTGCACGTGGATCTGGATAAATTTCCTTACCCTAGCAGTTGACATTAAAATTATGTTGAGAGATTGAAATATGGCAATTATGGAATGTTTATATATCTTTTATCAGTATCAGCAGGCGGTTTGATATGGAAATATATTTGTTTCTTAAAACTATGTAAAGTTTGAAAATAAAAAAATGTTTTGATAAGCTGGAGCATATATTTCATCTTGTGGATGTTATTTAAGACATCAGCTCGACTTTATAAACTGAATTCATTTTAAAAAAGTCAGTGTTAGAAATAAGAAATATAGTGATCAATCAAATTTTCTTTACACACAATATAGCAAACGAAAAATTTATTTGTTTTTTCAACATTTTGCGAAAATATGTCATAGCTGTCAGAGAAATGATTGAATAGAGCATTCCATTAAGCAATATTCAAACAGCAAGGGTGCAGAAACATTTGAATGCCAAAATTTAACATCTTTCTCTACGAAATAATATCCTGCACAGGCTATATATGTCATTTAAACAACTGGAAACATCAATAATGAAATAAGTTTAACATTCCGTGGGTCTTAAATTGGAAATTACAGTACGGTGTTAATTCAGTATTCGATTGTTATCTGCTTTTAACTGCAACCGATTGTAGTTTCGGTTGTGAAATCATAGTCAAACGCCATGGGCAACGGATGTTCGAAATGCTGCCAGTGCAACGAGCACAAGCAAATCAACGGCACACTCTCTTCGGCCTCGTCGGTCTATAGGAAAAGGTGATCTATTGTATACCTTGCCTTAGTATCTCGAATTAAGTGCCTTCTCTTTGCCCTTTGTCCACTCTTTTGGGTGGCCTATAATGCTTTTGCCCTTCCAGGAGCCGTAATGAGATTCCCATCGAGAACTCCGACCGCTTCCGCATCACGGCCACCAGCAACGCCGTCCAGCTTGCCGTGGAGCATGTACAGCGGGAGGACGCAGGCCACTATACTCTGTTCGCCAGGACGAAGAGCCAGGATGTGGTGCGCAGGCACGTGGAGCTCATCGTGGAGGACAGATCTACGGGCGACGATCCGCCGGTGTTCCTGCGCCGCCTGCTCGACCTATCCGTCAAAGTGGGCACCCGGACACGACTCCTAACCGAAATTCGCAGTTCAACAGATCTTAAGGTGAGAATGAAGAAATTTATAGCAATAATCTTTTTAATGCCAAAAGTTAAGAAAACATGTTTTACAACAAAAAACTAGAAGGAGTTTATTTCTTCTTTATCATTAATTACATTTTGATTTAAAAATAAATTCAACTTAATTTAGCAGATCTCAAGCTATTTGAAAATTTGATATATTTTTTAAATTAAATCACTCATACGTACTGTTGCCTTTGATCAAAAAAGTATCCCAGCTGCATTAATTGCACACCAACAATTTTTTTTTTATGTTCTGAGAAAATGTAATTATTAATATAATCGATTAATTATGATTATTTGTATATGAATGTCAACTATAAAATATTTTCTCTTTCACTAGCTCACCTGGTACAGAAACGACCGGAGGGTGTGTGCGAATGACCGCATTACAGAAATCAACGAGGGCACTTTCCACTATCTGGAGGTGAGTCCCGTAACCCTCGATGACGGTGGTCAGTGGATGCTCATGGCGGAGAACTTTGGCGGTCGCAATTCCTGCCTGGGAACGCTGACCGTGCTGGTGCCGAAGGCCTACAAAACCCCTGAGTTTGTGGAGGAACTTAGAGCGGTGTTGACGGAACAGGGCACTGTCTCCCTGGAGTGTAAGGTGGTGGGCGTGCCCACGCCCCATCTGCGCTGGTTCAAGGACTCCAAGGAGATCAAGGCCGGCGACATCTTCGCCCTGACCGCCAACGCCGATGACCCCACCTCGCTGGGAACGTACACGTGCGAGGCGCGCAACTGCATGGGCGTCACCTACTCCAGCTCCAAGGTTCATGTGGTGGGACGCGGCAGTCGCGAGGGATCCCTCAAGCCGGCGGACAGGTGAGTCTCCCTTAAAGAGGAATATATTTACTGGAGTACCTATTTGATCAATAGAAAATGTACAATTTTATACTATTCTAACTACTTGATTATAGTGTAAATAATATTTAAATTACTTGATAATAAATTAATTCGGCCCTAATTTGTTCCAAAATGATTTGAAAATTGTCACAGAGATCCACATTTCCTATCAAGTTTTTTTTCTGTGTGGAGAAACATACTAAGACGATTTTTTACTAATAAGTTGAAGGACTGTTTTTTTTTTTTTTAATTTGTTTTGTTTTTAATATGTTAGATTAGTTGTCAAGACTGAAGAATGTATGTCGCATTCAAATTGTAAATAGCTTTGTTGGCGTAAATCTCCCTGAAGGTGCCACAAATCAGGATCTAATAGCTTATGGATTTCTTCTCTTTATCTTTTCGCAGCGTGGCGAGCAATGCGCCGCCTCCGATATTCACGAACGAACTGCGGGACATGAGCCTGCTCATTGGGGAGACCATCATTCTGGGCTGTCAAGGTGAGTACTCGTAATATAAAAGAGAGGAGATCTCCTGCTGGCACCGGGCCAATGTATTTTTGTTTATCTTCTCTCGGGCACTCGGACGCTTTTGCGAAATTTGTTCCATTTCTCGCCGGCGCTTGTTGTTTTTAGATCGTGCTCTAGAAACTTGAACTCGATCAGACTCAGACGGTTGCCGAATGCCTCGGCTGTTGAGGTGGGTCATCAACATTTGCGGCAAGTGCCGAGCAAAACAAAACCGTTAATTGCCCGCCAGAGAGAAGAAAAACAAAGACACACAGATATCAGCGTTTGAGTAGATTGTTTACATCAGGGGTGCTCACATTTGTTTTTGTAATGGCACACAGTATAGGGAGATGTGAGAGCCATCGCATAGGTAAGCTGGTGGCCATACGTCGATATACACCAACAATGTTTTCTTTCTTCCTTGCGGTCCAATTCGTTACTGATGAGACCGAGGCAAGGCAACAACAATTACATTGGTTTTTTTTGGATGGCTTAGTCAAATGAAATTTGTTTTTGTCTTTTCTTGGCTCTAAGGTACTTGTGTTCGTGGTATTTTTTAAATGTGTTGGTAAATGCACTGCCACAAGGCAGTTTTGAGCACCCTTGCTTAACACTGTCATTCGTTACATGTGTCCTTTTTTTTTGTTGTGTTGGTAAATGCACTGTTCTAAGGCAGTTTTGAGCACCTTAGGCTTACATGATCTCACAAATCTCTTCTTAACCCATTTCCCTTCTCTTAGTGGTGGTACCGCCATGGCCCAAAAGCGTCTGCTGGTACAATGCGAACGGACGTGTCGATACCGGCGAGCGGTACAAGCTAATTGAGGATGGATTGGGTGTCTATATGATCGAGGTGAAGCCCTCGGAATGCTGCGATGCTGGCGATTGGAAGTGCGTGGTGACCAGTTTCGACGGCAGCGTGGGCATTTCATCGTGTTCCGTTGCCATGGATAGTAAGTGAATTGAAATCTCTATCACAGACCATTATTAACTCGAATATTTTTGTAGTTCCCAGGAACTATCGCAAGCCAAGGTTCATGGAAAGTCTGCGTGCCGTGCTCACCGAGGAAGGCCTTGTGTCCTTTGAATGCAAGGTGGTGGGCTTTCCTACGCCCGTGCTCAAGTGGTTTAAGGATGGCCACGAACTCAAGCCAGGTGATGTTTATCAGCTGACGGGAACCAACTCACTGGGCACCTACTGCTGCATTGCCCGCAATTGCATGGGAGAAACCAGCAGCACTGCCGTCCTCACCGTGGAGGATATCCAAAACCAACTCACCGATGAGGAGCGAATGGTCTTTACCCAACAAAGCCAAAACCAGGCGCCAAAGTTTCTAACTGGCTTGAAGAGCACGGATGCCAAGATTAACGAACCCTTCCAATTTAAAGTGGTGGTGAAGGCCACCCCGGATCCAATTCTATCTTGGTTCCGTGACGAGCTACCCATTGATCCGAACGAACGATATAACCATTACCGGGGAGAAAACGAGGACTGGCTGCTGGACATTAAGTCCGTGGAGTTTGTGGACCAGGCGGAGTGGAAGTGCGTGGCCGTAAACGATTTCGGAACAAGCATCACCTCGTGTTTCCTGAAACTGCAGATACCGCGGCACTACAAGAAGCCCAGATTTCTGGAATGCCTACGAGCGGTGCTCACGGAGGAGGGAGCCGTGAATCTGGAGTGCAAGGTCATCGGTGTTCCTCAACCCGCTCTTAAGTGGTACAAGGATGGGGTGGAACTGAAACCGGGTGACATTCACCGCATCATTTCTGGCCAGGATGGCACCTGCTGCCTGGGCACCTACACTTGCGAAGCCAGGAATTGCATGGGTGTGGTGGCCAGTTCGGCCTCTCTTTTGGGCTTCGAGGATGCCCAGAGGAGTCATCAGCAGCAGCAGCAGAAGAGCGAACAACTGCACGAGAACGAGCTGCAGAGGAACTTTTCGTTGTCCACCATCCAAGAGGAGCGTACCTCCCAGCTGTACGAGACTCCTGTCGGCGACATAACCATCGATGAGAAGGGTGACGTGTCCTTCTCCTTCGACGGCAAGGAGGTCTCCGTTTCCCTCTACGAGACTCCCGATCTCACCGAGGAGGAGGCCCTCAAGATTGTGGAAATGTATGCGGACCAAATCTCTGAGCATGTGACGGAGCACAATATAGTGGAACTACCTCCGCTGCGTTTTGTCAAGGAAACCTCACAGTCGGGAAAGCTCCTAATGGAAGCCGTGGTCATTGATATTTCCCCCGAATATTTCACTGTCGAAGACGATATGCGTACTGAGGCGGATATGGATGATATATCCATAAACGAGATCACGGTGCATGGATCTTCAGCAAGGGAGGACAGAGCCGTCGACAAGGAGACGCAGCAATATGTCCAGGAGTCCTTTGACAAAATGGAGGAGGAGCTTTCGCTAACAGCACCGATTAGAAAGCGAAAGAAGTCCAAGCCCACAGAGACAGATGAGTTCTTCAGCTTGTCAAAAGCCTCGGGAGCCTCGGGCAGTCAAGGTGAGGAGGAGGAGACATCTGATTTGCAAACCTTTGCCAGTGCTCAGATGTCCGCATCCCAAAAGGCGGCGACCTCTGAAGCTCAAACCAGTCCAGAAAAGGACAAAGACGCAATGGCTCCGCCGAAACGAAAGAAGTCCAAGAGACCCACGGACAGTGAATCCTCCAAGACCACCGAGGATGACGCCCGTTTGCAGGACATTTCAGGTGCAGTAGGTGATGGACTCCTGGTTACACCATCCTCCCACGCAAAGGCCGTTACCGATGAGAATGAGATTAACAAAAATCTTATGTCCCTCGTTCCACTGGCAAAATTGCTCAAGGTTATTGAGAATCATCTGGTTGCAGTCGAGAACGAGGTGATGGAACAGTCCACCATGATGATGACTCCTTCGGCAGCAGATCAGAGTATTGCCATTATACGCAACATTATAGATCCCATCAAGCAAATCGAATCCAAGCTAAGGGTCTACTCTGGGGAGACCCAAATCGATGCCCTCATCCAATCCATGGACGAGGATATTCGTCGACTTCACATGGGTCTGCAGGTAATCGAGAAGTGTGTGGAAATCGACGAGACTGGAGCCACGCTCATTCAGCGCACCAGTGTCTGTATTATTGACAGCGTGGCCGACCAAATGAAACGAGCCCTCGAGGAACTGAAGATCGTGAGCAGGAAGTTCGAGTCGGAGTGCCTGCGTTCCCAAATCGAACTGACTGCCGATGACATTCAGCAGGGATTGGAGATCACCCAGGGCACCATTAAATCGCAGGCCCTTTTGCAGGAGGCTCAGGAACTGGAAGCAGCCAAGCATTTCTCAGAAACTGTTGAAAAAATGCAAGAAGTTCCAGATTCCATATCCTTTGCCACCATTTCGGAGGCCAATCTGCCCAGCGAAGCAAGTGCTCTAAAAGAGATTTGTCAACCTGTAGCTAAGATACAGGAAGCCCTGGAACGCGTTGAGATGGAGCTTTCCTTGGAGGAATCGGAAGAGCAGATCTACAAGAAGGTGCACCAGAAAGTCCTCGAAAGCATTGTGGAGCCGATTAAGCAGCTGCAAAGTACATTGCAGTCCATAGAGGACAAAACTGAATCGCTGGCAGGCTCCGAGTCAATGGAGCAGAAAATCAACATGGCCATTCTCGACATTGTCACCCCACCACTTTTCGAGCTCAACAAGGGTCTGGAAGTCATCCTAAACGAGAAGTCAGACAGTGTGGAGGGAGGCATGCTAACTGTTAGTACTGTGGAATCGATGGTGCCACCCTTGCAGGAGATCCAAAATGGTCTAGCGCAACTTGGTCAAGATCTGGAAAGCGGCCAAGCCTCCATTCCCCAGGAGGAACTCCGATCTGAGCCAGCACTGGATGTTGCCGACACACAGAAACTTTTGCAGTCTTTCGCCCAGGCTGTTTTGCATTTTGAGACAAACATCGAGAGGATCTCTGCACGACTCTCCTCGAACGTAAAAATAAGATTACTCAATCTAAAGGATGAACTATCTGCTTTGATAAGCTCTATTTTGGAAAGAGATATTACCGGACATCACGTGGAGCTGCTGGACAGACTGAAGCGTCCCGTCGATGAGTTAAACTACTGCATCCGACAGACGGAGGTCAAGAACATGACTGGTTCCTTGGCCGACCTCATTGAACCCTTGAGCATGTTGCAGGAAAACACCCAAAAAGGTCATGGACGTTTGTTGACAGCTCGTGAGCCCGATCAGCAAGCCCTGCAGACCCTGGACAACATTCGCAGCATCATTCGCAACGTGGTCATTGATATTGAAGAGCACGAGTTTAAGATTCTGCAGCAGGAGATTCAGCTGGATGAAGAGCAAGCAACGCAGCAGCAGGACAAATCTTTCAGTGCCCTGCGGAAGGTCTTGGAAACAAAGGTGTCCTTAGAGGAAGCAGTAGGCAACATTGAAACACTGCAGGAAGCTCTAAACAAAATAAGCGAGAGCCCAAAAGCTTCTGAGCAAGTGAAAACAACCTCAAACGAAGCTCAAGTTTACCTCTTAAGGATTCTGCAAATCGCCAAGGGATTGGCTACATTTAGCGAAGCTGAGACTACGCTTGATATCAACGAGGCCAACACAACCAGAATTCTTTTCGAGTGTGGCAAAAGTTTTGCTGACTTGGCTAAAGCCCTGGAAAGTCAAGAATCCTTGTCCAACAATGACTTTATCCTTGCCCTGAATCAGTTTGGTGATATTGTTGGACAACAGAAGCAATCAATGGATGAAAAGCTTTCAATAGCCAGTCCTCTTTCGAGTCTGATCCATGTGCTTGAAAATCTGAAGCCTTCAAGGGCCTCAATGGAGGATTTGTCCACTTTGGATGATGTTTCAGTGCTTAAGTCAGCCGCAGAGTCTTTGCCCACCGAGCCGGAGGTGGATCACTTGAGTGCCGAGAAGCCATCATCTGTGGCTGTTCTCCTATCCGACTTAAACAAAGGTATTACATCGGTTCTTTCCCACTGTGAAGATCCCGATGTCGTGTCCTTATCCGGAAATGCCGCCCAGCAAGTGCAGGCAGCCATTGTCAAGATGCAAGAACTGCAAAATAGTTTGGCACTTGTGCAAGAAATTAATGTTGTGGAAGCAGCTCATTCTCTATCGGAGGCTAGTCAACAGGGCACGTTTGCCGAAGCCCTCTGCAGCTTGGAGAGATGTGTTCTTCAAGTCGAGGAGTGCATGGCCCACAGTGGAGTGGAGAATATAAATGATCTGGAACTTTCCAAACTCAAGACTTTAGCCACTCCACTTCGCGATGTTAGGCAGTACTGCGAACAGATTGACGTACAACTCCTGGAGAATGTCATTGATATATCTACGCAGGGGGACATCTCTGACTTGAAGAGCAGTGGTCATCAACAAACCGTTTCAGATCACATCCAGGAGGTGGCTGTCATCGAAGAAGAGCCAAAAGTGGAGGTGTTCGACATACAACAAGGTGTGGCAAGTGGCATTAAACAACTTGAGGCTTGCTTAGAGGTCACCCAAACGGATACAAACAAGGAGCTACAGCAAGTTGGCAAAATTATGGAACAGCTTAAATCAGATTTAGAGAATATACAGACTGCTCTGGTCACAGATAGCGTTCAGCAGGAAACTGTTTTGGCACAGGCTGAAATAGCTCGCACCATGTTTAAATTAAAGGAGTCCCTGGTGCACACCTATGAATCTGGTTTGGTGGACTCATTGGAGAACGTGGAGAGTGCCTTTGAAGATATATTGCTTTCGTTACCAATTCTAGAGACACAATTGGCAGAGGAGATGTTCGGCAAAATCGAAAAGGCCTTCAGAAACTTTGTTGTCCATTGTGAGCGTCTAGAAGCTGTTGATCATCAGAAGCTGAAGACACTGAAGAATCCTATTGAAAATCTTGTGCGTTCAATCGGAGCTGTGGCTACTCAACCAACCGTGGATGTCGACAAATCATCAGCGGTCGTTGTTCAACTTCAGACAAGTCTTATGGCTGCTTTTCGCAGTCTAAACGAAGTTAGTGAGCAGGTCGGTAACGAGGTATTGGGTGGACTCCTAAAGACCCAAAGTAGCTTAGTAACAGTCTTCGATTTTATTGAGAACAGTGAGAACACGATTCGCGTCATAGAACTTCTGCAGGAAATCGACTCCCTTACAGCGGAATTAAAGGCATTATCTCAAATCCAAGTTGAGCCAACCGTGCCAATCGACATTAGCATAATTATTGAAAATGTCTCGTCTGGTAAAGCATTCCTTACCGAAATCGAGGAGGGACTTCAAGCAAATAATCCGCAGTGCATTCTTTTGCTCGACGAAAACACTGACGACATCGCTCAACTAGAGGCAACTCTTGTGCAAATTGAGAAAGAAATCCTTTCTCAACCGCAACTTACACAGATTACCGCTAAGCAATTTAGCCTAATAGATACTCTGCAACTACAGATAAATATTCTTCAGGCAAAGTTAAACAAACTGAACGTGTTTCTTTCTGAAATTCAAAACCAATCGGATGTCTCCTCGCCTGAATCAGCCTTCGATAGTGAAATAGAAACCAAAGAAGGTTCAGGAAGCCAGGAAGACATTGAACCAGAAGCTAAAAGACCAAAAATTGTGGAAACTGATCAACAACTGGATTCTGAGAAACAACACGAGACTAAAAAATCTTCTGTTATAACTGAGGAAATAATATTAATGAGTGAGGAAACGATTAATGAAACCAAAAAGTTAAATGAAATTGAACCTAAACTTCAACGTGAAGACAAGACTCTAACAGAAAAAGAACTACTTAAGGCGGTAAATCAAGATACTGACCAGAAGGTTGCTCCCGAAAAAACATCTGATTTGGAAATAAATAAACCACAACCATTAGCTGAAGATGAAGAGGTAGTGAATCAAAAAATTATGGAAGCTGGGGCTCAAAAGGTATCTCCAGAAGCAATTTTCGAGTCGTTAACGGAAAAGTTATCCCAGACAAATAATGACGTTATAAAATCTATTATTACTGAGTGCCAAGATATTCTTGAGAATATCAACAACATTGATAAAGTTTCAAAATCTGTTTTCAAACTAAGAGAACATATAGTTCACACTTATGATGGTAGGCCTCCAGAAGAACAGAAAGACAAAGAACTTGTTGAAGAATTCATTGAATCACTTTTCGAAGCCTGCCCAGAAGCCATCCAGCAAGTAATTCAAAACTATATTAAAGAAATTAAAACCAACATTATTTTAACAAAAGCGGCAATTCAACTTATTGACGATAGCAAAATGTTTACTAAGCCCTCTCTCTTAGTTCCAAAATTGGTCAATTTAGAAAAAATATCAGAAAAAATTCAATTGGAACAAAATATTGATAAGTCATCTGAAAAAATGGTTAGTCTGCGACAGAATTTAATGGATATGTTTATTATACTTGATGACCTTTCGGACGAAAAGACGGAACAAATAAATTCCAAGATAGAAGATGTCAAAAAAATACTGCTAAGCGAATATGACTACATTGAAAATAAGCAGGGTCCTTTAAGTACTGCAGTGGTTCATGGAAAAATACAAATAATAACACAAAAGATCCTAAATATTTGTGAAGACTTTAAGGATTTCATTGAAAAACAAAAACAAAGCAAAGTCGATGCAGCCGAAGTTTCCGTGGGAGACGAAAAGACAGAAGACACCGTTGACCATGAAATACCGTTAATATCCGATATTTCAGAACAGCTTTTGAGGTTCGAAATAAACGAAATGGAAACTAAGTCAGAGTCCCAGGAGCAAGCCGAAGAAAAGATTGAGGAACCCAAGAAGTCTGAAATAAAAGAAGCTGAAACGGAATCGGAGAATGCTGAAGCTTTGGAGAAACAAGTTTTAGAGGAAAAGCAATTAGAAGCTGAGGCTCAAAAGCAAGCTGATAAAGATATTGAACAGAAATCACAGAAACCAGAAGTATCTGAAGTCGTTGCACAGAAAATATCCGAAGAAAAGATTGAAGAGCCTAAGAAGTCTGAAATAAAGGATTCTAAAACCAAATCGGAGAAGGCTGAAGCTTTGGAGAAACAAGTACTGGAGGAAAAAGAATTGAAAGCTGAGGCTCAAAAGCAAGCTGATAAAAATATTGAACAGAAATCCCAGAAGCCAGAAGTATCTGAAGTCGTGGCACAGAAGATATCCGAAGAAAAAATTGAACTGCCTAACAAGCCTGAAATAAAGGATTCTGAAACTAAGTTAGAGAAGGCTGAAGCTGTAGAGGAAATACAATTGCAAGCTGAGGCTCAAAAGCAAGCTGACAAGGATATTGCTCAGAAATCCCAGAAGCCAGAAGTATCTGAAATTGTTGCAGAAAAGATATCCGAAGAAAAGATTGAAAAGCCTAAGAAGTCTGAAATAAAGGATTCTGAAACTAGGTTGGAGAAGGCTAAAGCTTTGGAGAAACAAGTTCTAGAGGAAAAGCAATTAGAAACTGAGGCACAAAAGCAAGCTGATAAAGATATTGAACAGAAACCCCGGAAACCAGAAGTATCTGAAGTCGTTGTAGAGAAGATATCCGAAGAAAAGATTGAAGAGCCTAAAAAGCCTGAAATAAAGGATTCTGAAACTAAGTTGGAGAAGGCTGAAGCTTTGGAGAAAGAAGTTCTGGAGGAAAAGCAATTAGAAGCTGAGGCACAAAAGCAAGCTGATAAAGATATTGAACAGAAACCCCAGAAACCAGAAGTATCTGAAGTCGTTGTAGAGAAGATATCCGAAGAAAAGATTGAAGAGCCTAAAAAGCCTGGAATAAAGGATTCTGAAACTAAGTTGGAGAAGGCTGAAGCTTTGGAGAAAGTAGTTCTGGAGGAGAAACAATTCGAAGGTGAAGCCCAAAAGCAAGCTGACAAGGATATTGATCTGAAATCCCAGAAAACAGAAGTATCTGAAGTCGTTGCAGAGAAGATATCCGAAGAAAAGATTGAAGAGCCTAAAAAGCCTGAAATAAAGGACTCTGAAACTAAGTTGGAGAAGGCTGAAGCTTTGGAGAAACAAGTTCTAGAGGAAAAGCAATTAGAAGCTGAGGCACAAAAGCAAGCTAACAAGGATATTGAACCGAAATCCCAGAAAGCAGAAGTATCTGAAGTCGTTGCAGAGAAGATATCCGAAGAAAAGATTGAAGAGCCTAAAAAGCCTGAAATAAAGGATTCTGAAAATAAGTTGGAGAAGGCTGAAGCTTTGGAGAAACAAGTTCTAGAGGAAAAGCAATTAGAAGCTGAGGCACAAAAGCAAGCTAACAAGGATATTGCTCTGAAATCCCAGAAGCCAGAAGTATCTGAAGTCGTTGCAGAGAAGTTATCCGAAGAAAAGATTGAAGAGCCTAAAAAGCCTGAAATAAAGGGTTCTGAAACTAAGTTGGAGAAGGCTGAAGCTTTGGAGAAAGAAGTTCTGGAGGAAAAGCAATTAGAAGCTGAGGCACAAAAGCAAGCTGATAAAGATATTGAACAGCAACCCCAGAAACCAGAAGTATCTGAAGTCGTTGTAGAGAAGATATCCGAAGAAAAGATTGAAGAGCCTAAAAAGCTTGAAATAAAGGATTCTAAAACTAAGTTGGATAAGGCTGAAGCTTTGGAGAAAGAAGTTCTGGAGGAAAAGCAATTAGAAGCTGAGGCTCAAAAGCAAGCTGATAAAGATATTGAACAGAAATCACAGACACCAGAAGTAACTGAAGTCGTTGCACAGAAAATATCCGAAGAAAAGATTGAAGAGCCTAAGAAGTATGAAATAAAGGATTCTGAAACCAAATCGGAGAAGGCTGAAGCTTTAGAGAAACAAGTACTGGAGGAAAAAAAATTGGAAGCTGAGGCTCAAAAGCAAGTTGATAAAAATATTGAACAGAAATCCCAGAAGCCAGAAGTATCTGAAGTCGTGGCACAGAAGATATCAGAAGAAAAGATTGAACTGCCTAACAAGCCTGAAATAAAGGATTCTGAAACTAAGTTGGAGAAGACTGAAGCTTTAGAGGAAATACAATTGGAAGCTGAGGCTCAAAAGCAAGCTAACAAGGATATTGCTCAGAAATACCAGAAGACAGAAGTATCTGAAGTTGTTGCAGAGAAGATATCCGAAGAAAAGATTGAAGAGCCAAAGAAGTCTGAAATAAAGGATTCTGAAACTAAGTTGGAGAAGGCTGAAGCTTTGGAGAAACAAGTTCTAGAGGAAAAGCAATTAGAAGCTGAGGCACAAAAGCAAGCTAACAGGGATATTGAACCGAAATCCCAGAAAGCAGAAGTAACTGAAGTCGTTGCAGAGAAGATATCCGAAGAAAAGATTGAAGAGCCTAAAAAGCCTGAAATAAAGGATTCTGAAAATAAGTTGGAGAAGGCTGAAGCTTTGGAGAAACAAGTTATAGAGGAAAAGCTGTTAGAAGCTGAGGCACAAAAGCAAGCTAACAAGGATATTGATCTGAAACCCCAGAAGCCAGAAGTATCTGAAGTCGTTCCAGAGAAGATATCCGAAGAAAAGATTGAAGAGCCTATGAAGTCTGAAATAAGGCATTCTGAAACTAAGTTGGAGAAGGCTGAAGCTTTGGAGAAAGAAGTTCTGGAGGAAAAGCAATTGGAAGCTGAGGCACAAAAGCAAGCTGATAAAGATATTGAACAGAAACCCCAGAAGCCAGAAGTATCTGAAGTCGTTGTAGAGAAGATATCCGAAGAAAAGATTGAAGAGCCTAAAAAGCCTGAAATAAAGAATTCTGAAACTAAGTTGGAGAAGGCTGAAGCTTTGGAGAAAGAAGTTCTGGAGGAGAAACAATTCGAAGGTGAAGCCCAAAAGCAAGCTGACAAGGATATTGATCTGAAATCCCAGAAGCCAGAAGTATCTGAAGTCGTTCCAGAGAAGATATCCGAAGAAAAGATTGAAGAGCCTAAGAAGTCTGAAATAAAGGATTCTGAAACTAAGTTGGAGAAGGCTGAAGCTTTGGAGAAACAAGTTCTAGAGGAAAAGCAATTGGAAGCTGAGGCTCTAAAGCAAGCTGACAAGAATACTGATCAGAAATCCCAGAAGCCAGAAGTATCTGATGTCGTTGCAGAGAAGACGTCCGAAAAGCAGATTGAAGAAGCGCAGAAGCCTATAACAAAGGATTCCGAAACTAAATCGGATAAGGCCAAAGTTTTGGAGAAACAAATCCTGGAGGAAAATCCACTGGAAGTTGAGGCACATAAGCAAAGTGACAAAGATATTAAACTAAAATCCGAAATGCAAGAAGTATCCGAAGCTAAAAACGAAAAATCAGAAGATTATTTAGGCATTTTAACTATAAAATTAGCCGAGTTATTTGATACGGCTAACTGTGGTTTAAGTGAAATTTTAACAGAAAACCGGGACATAATTAATAACCTTCACGATTCAGACGCTGTTTCCAAATTAATATATAAATTAAGAGAGCATATAGTACACACTTACGATGGTAAATCTGTCGATGATCAAAAAGATCATAAACTCTTGGAATCATTTATTGTATCGCTGTTCGAGGCTTCTCCTGAAGCAGCTAAACAAGTAATGCCCAATTATCTCAAAGAAATTAGGACCAATGTGATTTTAACAAAAGCTGCAATCCAACTTATAGACGACTGCAACATGTTCACCAAGCCATCTTTATTAATTCCAAAACTTGTAAATCTAGAAAGAATTTCAGTAAAAATTCAATCGGAACAATATGTTCACAAGTCATCTGAAAAAATGGTTAGTCTGCAACAGAGTTTAATGGATATTTTCGTAATTCTTGATGATCTGTTAGACGAAACGACGGATATATTGAAACCAAAAATAGAACAAATTAAAATGTTATTGCTTAGCGACTATGACTACGTCGAAAATATACAGGGGCAACTGCATACCGCAGTAATAAATGGAAAGATTCAAATTATTACCCAACATATCCAAACTATTATTGAAGACCTAAAACAGTTGACTGATAAAAAGGCTTCAAAAGCTGATGTCTCCGAGGTTATTGCTGAAAAAATATCCGATGAGAAGGTCGAAGCAAGTAAAAATAATGAAGTCGAGGAAACTGAATCTAAAACTAAGCAAGCAAAGCTTTTGGAGAAGAAATCAGTCGAAGTAGAAATACTGGATGAAAAGAATCAAAAACCGGCTGAGAAGGCTGATGATACTAAGACTCAAAAGCCTGAGGTCTCCGAGGCTGTGGCTGAAAAGATATCAGAAGAGAAGGCTGAAGAAAGTGAACAGACCGAAGTCAAGGACACTGAAGCTAAATCTAAGGCAACACTCCTGGAGAAGAAATCAATCGCAGAACAACAACTGGATAAAAAGGGGCAAAAACAGGATGACATCGCTGTCGACAAGAAACCTCAAAAGGTTGAGATATCCGAGATTGTTGCTGAAAAGATATCCGAAGAGACGGCTGAAGAAAGTAAAAAAACCGAAGTCAAGGACACTGAAGCTAAATCTAAGAAGGCAAAGCTCCTGGAGAAAAAATCAATGGAAGAACAACAACTGGATGAAAAGAGTCAAAAACAGGATGAGATCGCTGGCGACAACAAAGCTCAAAAGGCTGAGGTATCCGAGATTGTTGCTGAAAAGATATCCGAAGAGACGGTTGAAGAAAGTAAAAAAACCGAAGGGAAGGACACTGAAACTAAATCTAAAAAGCCAAAACTCCTGGAAAAGAAATTAATGGAAGAACAACAATTGGATGAAAAGAGTCAAAAACTTGTTGAGATCGCTGACGACAAGAAAGCTCAAAAGGCTAAGGTCTCCGAGATTGTTGCTGAAAAGATATCCGAAGAGACGGTTGAAGAAAGTAAAAAAACCGTCGTCAAGGACACTGAAGCTAAATCTAAGAAGGCAAAGCTTCTGGAGAAGAAATCAATGGAAGAACAACAACTGGATGAAAAGAGTCAAAAACAGGACGAGATCGCTGACGACAAGAAAGCTCAAAAGGCTAAGGTCTCCGAGATTGTTGCTGAAAAGATATCCGAAGAGACGGTTGAAGAAAGTAAAAAAACCGACGTCAAGGACACTGAAGCTAAATCTAAGAAGGCAAACCTCTTGGAGAAGAAATCAATGGAAGAACAACAACTGGATGAAAAGAGTCAAAAACAGGACGAGATCGCTGACTACAAGAAAGCTGAAAAGGCTAAGGTCTCCGAGGTTGTTGCTGAAAAGATATCCGAAGTGACGACTGAAGAAAGTAAAAAAACCGAAGTCAAGGACACTGAAGCTAAATCTAAGAAGGCAACGCTTTTGGAGAAGAAATCAATCGAAGAAGAAAAACTGGATGCAAAGAATCAAAAACAGGCTGAGATCGCTAACGGCAAGAAATCTCAAAAGGGTGAGGTCTCCGAGATTGTTGCTGAAAAGATATCCGAAGACACGGCTGAAGAAAGTATAAAAACCGAAGTCAAGGACCCTGAAGTTAAATCTAAGAAGGCAAAGCTCCTGGAGAAGAAATCAATGGAAGAACAACAACTGGATCAAAAGAGTCAAAAACAGGACGAGATCGCTGACGACAAGAAAGCTCAAAAGGCTAAGGTCTCCGAGATTGTTGCTGAAAAGATATCCGAAGAGAAGGTTGAAGAAAGTAAAAAGACCCAAGTCAAGGACACTGAAGCTAAATCTAAGAAGGCAAAGCTTTTGGAGAAGAAATCCGTCGAAGAACAACAGCTGGATGAAAAGAGTCAAAAACAGGACGAGATCGCCGACGTTAAGAAAGCTCAAAAGGCTGAGGTCTCTGAGGTTGTTGCTGAAAAAATATCCGAAGACACGACTGAAGAAAGTATAAAAACCGAAGTCAAGGACCCTGAAGTTAAATCTAAGAAGGCAAAGCTCCTGGAGAAGAAATCAATGGAAGAACAACAACTGGATGAAAAGAGTCAAAAACAGGACAAAATCGCTGACGACAAGAAAGCTCAAAAGGCTAAGGTCTCCGAGATTGTTGCTGAAAAGATATCCGAAGAGACGGTTGAAGAAAGTAAAAAAACCGACGTCAAGGACACTGAAGCTAAATCTAAGAAGGCAAAGCTTCTGGAGAAGAAATCCGTCGAAGAACAACAGCTCGATGAAAAGAGTCAAAAACAGGACGAGATCGCTGACGACAAGACAGTTGAAGAGGCTGAGGTCTCCGAGGTTGTTGCTGAAAAGATATCAGAAGAGGCGGCTGAAGAAAGTAAAAAAACCGAAGTCAAGGACACTAAAGCTAAATCTCAGAAGGCAAAGCTCTTGGAGAAGAAATCAATCGAAGAAGAAAAACTGGATGCAAAGAATCAAAAACAGGCTGAGATCGCTGACGGCAAGAAATCTCAAAAGGGTGAGGTCTCCGAGGTTGTTGCTGAAAAGATATCCGAGGAGAAGGTTGAAGAAAGTAAAAAGGCCCAAGTCAAGGACACTGAAGCTAAATCTAAGAAGGCAAACCTTCTGGAGAAGAATTCAATCGAAGAAGAAAAACTGGACAAAAAGAATCAAAAACAGACTGAGTTCGCAGATGGAGCTGAGTCTCTAAAGGCTGAGGTCTCAGAGGTTGTTGCTGAAAGGCTATACGAAGAAAAGGCTGAAGACAGTAAAAAGACCGAATTCAAAGATACTGAAGCTAAATCTAAGAGGGCAAAGCTCTTGGAGAAAAAAACAATCGAAGAAGAGAAACTGGATGAAAAGAATAATAAGCAGGCTGAAGCCTCTGCTGATAAAAAGGCTCAAAAGGCTGAGATCACCGAGGTTGTTGCTGAAAATTTATCAGAAAAGAAGGTTGAAGCTAAGGACTCTGAGGCCAAATCTAAAAAGCCAAATGACCTAGAGAAGAAATTAGTTGAAGAGAAACTGGATGTTACGAAACCAAAACAGGCTGATAGAAGAAGAGGGCAAAAGGAAGAGATCGGGCTTATTGATGAAAAGAAATCCGAAGAAAAGGCCTTCGTCGAAGATGTTAACGTTGAGGCTAAGAAGAAAAATGCATTTGCAGATGAGGAAACCAGGGACTTGCATGAAGATTTAGCTGTTGCAAGACGAAAGCCACATGAAATTGAAGAAACTGCTGACTCCATTAGCCTGCAGACGTACAAGTCATTCAGTTCTGAGTACAAGGATAAGAAGGAATCCCGAAGTGCCAAACGCAAGCCAACGATTGACATACAGCTAACCAATCGGAACACGGCGTCCGGCAGCGATCTCAAGTTGACTTGTGGGCTGTCGGGTCACGACATGAATGTGCAGTGGTTCAAGGAGAACAACCCCATCGATAATGGGGCCAAGTATAGGAGGACATTGAACGACGGACTGTCGTGCCTTGAAATTAAATCGGCCGATCTTAGTGATTCTGGCATTTACCGCTGCATAGCGTCCAATCAAAATGGAGAAGTCGAAACTAGCTGTCTTGTGACTATATACGAAGCACCTTCGAGCAAATTTGGCACCCCGCCAATATTTACACGCAACATTCGAGGTAAGTGCCGATTTTGCCTCCCTACCTAGTGATCCAATGCCCGAATTTCAAACTTAATTAGTGCTTAATTGCGAATGCAAATATTTCTTTTATTTCGCATTTGCTTGTACATGTATGTATGTATGTAGTATAGACCTAGTATATAGGAAGCTAGTTTGTAAGGCTAGAATAAATCGAGAATTTTATGACTATTGACTAACTAATCGATTCGCACTTTCGGTTAGCAAAAATGGCAAGTGTTGTGGTCGTGAGTTAAAGGTAAACGATTCACTTTATCATCGCATTTAAATAGATTCCTCTTTAAATAGCCAATTTCATTTAAATGGCAGCCGTGTGCTCTCACTTATATAATTGCGTTTACTTAAATTTACTGCCTGCATCTGCATCTTCAATAAAGTGGCCAGTATTTAAATAGAATTGAATTTTGGCAATCAATGTTGCATGCGTGTGTTTGTGCGACGTCGGCAGCGAACAAAACAGAATTCGTAAAATTGTTTTTAGCATAACAATCAATTGGGGATCGAACTAAGATCGACTCGTTTCGATTCGATTCAATTCGATTCAATTCGAGTGAAGGAATGTATTTTCGCAATTTTCACCACGTTCGGTGACAGTCGTGAATCTTCTTTTGCATCGAACGGACGTCTTACGTCCTAAAAAAATCGATCGAACCGTTGCGGGCTATATATATTGATTTAGAATATCATACATATACGACTCGGACGGATAACAAATTTTCGGTTTTCATTAACGATCATTAATCCTTCCAAAACCGAAAGAGGCCGTACGAAAACAACGAACCGAAATGGGAGAAACAGAGAACGGAGATATAGAGCCGAGGGCTTCGGCTGAGCCGGAGGCGTCAGCAGCCCAGGATACCCTGCAGGTGCCGACGCAAAAGAAGCGCAAGCTTAAGTCCCCCACTCCTGGAAGCCTTCGCGGACGCAGTGCCACGCCTATTCATGGCCGCAGTCAGACCCCGTTCACCCTGTACATGGTGCGACGAAGTGCCACGCCCTCGACGTGGCGCAGCATTACTCCCTTCCTGAAACGCGAGGAAAAGGAGAAGACTCCCTTCGAACTTGGCAGGGACATCAAGAGCCAGACAACCTGTAATATCGCCGTCTTTGATCGCGCCCTTGTCATGGATATTTCCGAACCGGTCGATGTGCAAAAGCCCGTGCGTTACATAACGTCCGATTTGTCGGTGATCGATCGAGCTGCCGTAATGGATGTGTCCAACGTTGAGGTTATCTACGTTGTGGAGGAATACGAGGAGGTCGAGGAGGAGGAGATCATCGAGGAGGTCAAGCCCAAGAAGAAGGAGAAGAAGGCCAGAAAGCCGCGTGTCCAGCGCAAGTCCATTGACAAGGACATGAGTCCTTTAGCCGGTGAGGATAGCGAGGATCCGGGTGATTATGGCGGCGAGGATCGGGAGGACAGTGTCGATTTCGACGACGATGAGCCCGTGAAGAAGGGTAAGAAGAAGGCTCCACCCAAGAAGAAGGAGAAGAAAGAGAAGTCGCCCAGTCCGAAATTGACCTTGAAACTGGAGATCGGCGGTGGCCAAAAGGCCAGCAAGAAGATGTTCGAGCAACAGCAGGCCAAGCCGCCGCCCAAGAAGAGCAAGATGGTGCTCCAGATGGAAGAGCAGGCGAAGGCAGCGGCCAAGGCCGCCGAGGAAGCAGCTGCTCGGGCCAAACCCAAGGGTGAGACCTTCGAGGAGCGCCAGAAGCGTCTCGCAGCGGAGAAGGAGGAGCAGGATCGTCTGGACGCGGAGCAGCGGGCCCTGGAAGAAGCCGAGGCCGAGGCCGAGGAGGACGAAGAGGATCCTTCAGCCGTCGGCGAGGAGGGTGATGAGGCCACTGAGGCTGGTTACGGCGACGAGGATCAGGATCAGGACTATGCCGCCGAAGAGGGCGACGAGCGTGAAGCCGAAGAGGAGGAAGATGAGGTAGCCGAGCCCGTTAAGAAGGAGAAACGTCGTGGCAGTGACTCCTCCGACGAATTCGTTCGCCCCGATCCCCACGAAGAGGAAAAATGGCAACGCATCGCTGCCATCGAGGGCGAGGAGTTCATGCAGCAAATGCGCAAATACAGCCAGGCCAAGAGGATTAGCGAGAAAGAGCGCGATGCCGACTGGCAGCGTCGCCGGGAACAGGCCCGTAATCCCAAGTTCATCAACTTCCTCTCCGATCGAGCCGTCGAAGCTGGTCAGAGCGTCCGTTTGGCCTGCGCCGTAGATGGCCCCGAACTATCTGCCAAGTGGTATCACAATCGAAGGCAGCTGGAACGCGATGGCTGCCACCGCATCATCAACAACAACAACATCCTGGTGTTGGAAGTCCTAAACACCACCATTCTGGATTCCGGCGAGTACTCGTGCGTGATCTCGAACCAGAACGACGAGACATCGTCGTCGTGTATTGTGACCGTCTATGAGATTTTCAAGGACGAACCCAAACCCCCTTCCATTCAGTATATCAAAGGTATTTGTCGTCGGCGATTGCGATTTCCGAGGTCCGCCTAAGAGCTTCTAATTGCACCCCTTTTCAGAGTACTACCATCTGCGCGACGATGAGCTGACCATCGAGTGCCATGTGCACGGAGTACCGCGTCCGGTGATCACCTGGTGGCGTGGTGCCTTCCAGGTGAAGCCCAGCTACAAGTTCACCATGCTGGAGGAGGCGCACGGCGTGTGCAAGCTGCTCATCTACAAGCCCGGTAACAAGGACAGTGGGATCTACACCCTGAAGGCGATTAACTCTAGTGGAGAGGTCCAAATCAACCACACTGTCGAGGTGGCCCGGAATCTGCACTACCACGTCCCTGGAATCTTCCATGCCCGCGACAAGATTCAGCTAGACAGCTTGAAACAGGCCAAGAAGGCCATGGAAGCGGCCCTCAAGTCGAAGGCTGACTCCGATCAGAGAAGGGCTGAGGCGGAGGAGGAGCAGGCGCGTTTGCATCCGGTGAGGGCCACTCCGGAGAAGCTGGTGCCTGCCAAGCAGAAGCTGGCATTTGCCACTCAACTGCGCGACCGCATGGCACTGGAGGGATCGACCATCAAGTTTGTGGCCACTGTGATTGGACCCGACCCCAATACCCGCTGGATGAAGGACGACAAGTGGGTCGTGGTGGGCGGCAACATCAAGAACCTGTCCGAGGAGGGCAAGGCCATTCTCGAGATCAGCAACGTTACAGCCGCCGATTCGGGCGTCTACAAGTGCGTGGCCAAAAACGATCTCAGCGAGATCGAGACCTCCTGCTACTTCAAAGTGTATGCTGCCCAGGCGGATGGCGACGAGTCGGAGCCCATTTTCGCCCTACCCCTAAGAGGTATTTTAACCTGTCCCCAGTTGTGCTGTATATGTGTGCTCTGTGGTTAGGCCAAGTGTTTTGTCTCGGTTACACGATCCTCAAAACAGTTTCACGTACTTGTGTGTTCGATGTGCTACACAAATTGAGGTCGATCGCGTACGAAAATAGACGAAATTGATTGATTGACTTTGTTCTCAGATGTGTATCACGCCTCGCAGAACGATCTGATTCTCGATACGAAGGTGCGCGGCAACCCCCGCCCCGAAATCTCGTGGACCAAGGACCAGATACCCGTGGTGCTCGACGATCGGGTGGTGCAGATCGAGCACTTGGACGGCATTTGCGAGCTGATCATCAACAAGCCGACGATCAATGACAACGGCATCTACGTGTGCACAGCCAAGAGCAAGCTGGGCAGTCAGTCGACCACCCACACGGTCGTTGTCGACACCACCCACACGTCGCGCCGCTCGAGCATCCTGTCCGCCATTGCCATGCAAGAAGGAGGAGGTGAGCCCGCCGAGGGTGGCAAGGCCAAGGGCAAGAAAAAGAAGAAGGACGCTGAGGAAGAGGGAGCCGCTGCCGGTGGAGAAGGTGGCTACGAGCGACGCAGCCGGATGCCCGATCCTTCGCCCAAGCAGATGCTTTACTTCACGGTCAACCTGTCCAATCGTTACGTGGCCGAGGGATCCAAGGTCAAGTTGCAGGCCGTCATTGGAGGGCCGCAGCCCATGATCAAGTGGCTGAAGGACGACCAGCCGGTCACGTACGGCAACAACATTCGCAACATGAACCGGGACAGCCTGGCAGTGCTGGAGTTTACCAATGCCCAGGCGGAGGACTCGGGCACCTACTCCATCATAGCACAGAACGAGCATTGCAAGATCACCACCTCGGGCTTGCTGCATGTCTACCAGCCGAAGGTCAACACGGATGTACAGCCCGTCTTTATTCGCTCTTTGAAAGGTAAGATATTGGGATGTTAAACAATCCATCTATAATTAGCCATCAACGTTGTGTATCTGGTTGTGCAATGCCATTGATACAATCCATTATGCAATGGGTTCTTTCTTGTTGGCAATGTTTTTATGTAACCCGTCTCTCGGTGTTTCTCTCCCAGAAACCTACCACCTGAACACCAACGAGCTAATCCTGGAGACGGCCGTAAGGGGACAGCCCACGCCCGAGGTCCAGTGGTTCAAGGACAGCATCGAAATCCAGAGCGGCGGTCGTTACCAGCTCATCGAGCACCAGGACGGCACCTGTGAGCTCATCATCGATCGGCCGGACAACAAGGACTCCGGCAAGTATGTGCTCAAGGCCGAAAGTCGCGCCGGCAAAATGGAGATCTCGCACTATGTGCTCTTTGAGGGTCAGGCCCATCACATTGCGGACAACATCCATGGCGTGTTCCATGCGGACAAGAGTCTGCTGCGTCCCAAGGAGGTGGAGAAACCGGTGGAAAAGAAGCCGGCGGCACCAGCCGCTGCTGCGGAACCGGAATCGGAGGCTGAGGATGGCAAGGGAAAGAGACGTGGTCGCAAGGAGGAGGATGAAGGAGCTTCCTCTGCCTACGCATCCGACTATGCCTCTGATTCGGGCAGTTTGTCCAGCAAGCGTCGCGAGAAGAACATTGCGATTCACTTCAGCACCTCGATGCGAGATCGTGTTGTGGCCGAGGGGTCGAAGGTGAAGATTTCGTGCTTCCTGGAGGCCAAGGAGCCGCAGGTCAAGTGGTTCAAGGACGGCGAGCAGATCCAGAACTCGCCCAAGATCAGGGGACGGTACAGTGAGGGCTTGTGTCTTTTGGAGATCATGAGTGCCACCGCGGAGGACAACGGCGAGTACAAGTGCTGGGGTCGCGACGAAACTGGAGAGGCTTCCACCTCATGCAAACTGGAAGTGTACGAGGATCCGGGCACCGGTGATGTGCCACCCACCTTCACCCGAAATATTAAAGACACAATGCACGGCAAGATCAACGAACTTCAGCTGGACGTCCATGTGCGTGGACTGCCAACTCCGTCGGTGACGTGGGTGAAGGATGGCGTCAAGATCGAGAATAGCGAGAAGTATCAGCAGGTAGACCACGACGACGGCACCTGTGAGCTGTTCATCAGTCATCCAAAGGCCTCGGACAGCGGCAAGTACGTGTGCCAGGCGGAGAATCGCGAGGGCAAGACGGAGATCGTCCACATGATCACTGTGGAACCACGCGTAAGAGCTCCACGCATCTCGCCGCCCAGGGAGGGTAGACCACCACGTCCGGCGGGGGATGAAGAGGCCCCAGCTGGTGAAGAAGGCGCCGAAGGAGAAGGCGGCGAGAAGCGTCGCAGAAAGCCAAAGCCGGATCAGGAGGAGGAGCAAACCACTTCCAGACGCGAGGTGCCACCACCGCCGGATCTAAGGAAGCGCCTGTACTTCAGGAACTTCCTTTCCAACCGAACTGTGAAGTCGGGCAGCAATGTCAAGTGGATGGTGAACATTGATGGACCGGAGCCAACGGCCAAGTGGTTCTTCGGTGATCAACCAATCGCCTTCGGACCAAAGAGCAAGATGTCCATGCAGGATGGCATCGCCTGGTTGAATCTCGTTGGTGTTACCGAGGAGGATGCCGGCGAGTACACTTTGCGAGTCAGGGGTAGTGAAAACGAAATTGTGAGCACTTGCAACTTGTTTGTGTACAGCACGGGCAAGCCAGAGGTTATCTCGCCCACCTTTGTAGTGGGCATCAAAGGTAGGAGGCTCCATGTAAAGGTTGAAGTCGTCTAACTAGGTGCGTCCAGGTGAATGTTTTTGTGCCTATGAGTTAAGTGTATCTATATATATAGAAATATCATAAGAAAACTAACAAACCTTAAGCTACCTTCCTAAACCTCTATTTGTACTTAGTCTTATGTGTCTTGGTGCTTGTCTTTTATCGTCGTCCATGTTTCAGATGCATATCATTCCCAGGGCAACCAGCTCACATTGGAGTGCAAGGTTTCAGGAAGTCCCAAGCCTCATATTTATTGGCAAAGGGACAATACTCTCCTTCCCGTTGAAGGTGCGAAATACCAGTATGCAGAGCAGAGTGATGGAGTGAAACTCCTCACCATTACCAACTTTGGCAGCAATGATTCCGGCTTGTATACTTGCTATGCAGAGAGCGAGAATGGCCAGATGAAGATCAGTAAATTTGTTCAGGCCTCCGATTATGTGAGGGAGCGAACTGCTGAAAAGAAACCGATTGACAAGGTGATACAAGAGATCAAGCGGGATGAATCCTCCCCTGCCTCGACCAACGACAATGCTGCCGCCAAAGCAAAGGCCCGTGAGGCCAAATTGCGTCTTAATTTGGAGACCAGCCTTAAGAATATGACCATTGGAAGTGGTAACAAGGCTCAGCTCATTTGCTATGTGACTGGCATCATCGACGATGTACACTGGCTGAGAAACGATGAGCGTGTTACCAAAGATGCCCGGCACAAGATCTACAACATAAACGGAGCCATTAGCCTGGAGATTTACGATGCTCGAGTGGAGGATAGTGGTCACTACAGATGTGTGGTAAAGAACAGCAGGCAGACGGTGGAGAGTGCTGGCCAGCTAAGCATCTTAGATCAGTCCAGTGGAAAGCTGCCAGAAAGCTTCTCTAGTTTTATAACAGGTAAATAATAATTTGGCATCTGTGAAAAGAAAAAATAGTACTCAGCTAATCATTATTCTCTCCACAGAGTCCTACGATGCCCAGCGAAACGAGATTGTGCTCAGTTGTCAGGTGAACGGACGACCCAATGTCAGTTGGATGCGTGATGACCACTCCATATGCAACAATCGCTATAGAACAGTAGAAGAACCCGGTGGCTTTAGGAAGCTGATTATCCGCAATCCCATATCGTCCGACTGTGGCATTTTTGCCTGCTATGCCGAGCACGAGGACCGCATTGACTCGACCAGTACCACTATTAAGGCAGCAGATCTCAAGCGTCTGATCAACGTTAGCCAGGAGGATGTTCTAGCAGTAAGCGAACGCGATTGGTCCCGCAGTCAATCGCACTTGAGCACCGGCAGTCAGGTGAATGGCAATGGCGAACTGCATCGAGCCGGAGATCGAGTGCTGCGCAGCGTGGGCAAAGCGAAACCACTTTTCCACACCCTTTTGCACGATCGTACTGTTTCGGAGGGAGCCAATCTCCGACTGCTGTGCGCCGTGTCGGGAGACGAGAACACTCACATCGAGTGGCTGAAAAATCACAAGCCCCTCCCCAGGGGCGATAATCGCTATCAGACCCTCTTCCTCAACGGAGAGGCTTCGTTGGAGATCTTTGCCGCGGTGGCCGATGATAGTGGCAACTACACCTGCTGTGCCACCAACGATTTTGGTGAAAGTTTGACACATGCCCAGTTGCGTGTGTACAAGCACTTCAGGGACTCCCCATTGCCAAGTACTTTTACGCAGCCCATCCGAGGTATTACCCACCTTAAAAAAAGATCTATTACTTTCACCATCGCTTTTGTACATATTTGATGTTCTAACCGCTTTTGTCAACCGCTCCTTAGGAGATAAGCAAACAATCTAATTTCTCCCCTTTGCAGACACATATTCTCTTAACGAGAATGAGTTGGTTCTGGATTGCCGCGTACGAGGCCAACCGCGTCCTGAGATTCAGTGGATCAAGGGCACCGAGCCCATTGAAAACGGCGAGAAGTACAAGCTGAGCGACCAGGCCGATGGCTACGCCAAGCTGGTCATCCTGAATCCCACGGAGAAGGATTCGGGCGTCTACTGGTGTGTGGCCCGCAACGAGGGAGCCGAGAACAAGATCTCCCACCAGGTGGACTTCAAGGGTCGCCAGCACTACTCGCTGCAGAAGACGCATGGCTTCTTCCACCGCGACCCCAACAAGCCGCACTTCCTGCTGCCCCTGGGTAACCAGACCGTTTGCAATGGAGGCACCGTGGCCATCTCGGCCGAGTTCATGCAAACCAGCACACCCATCGAGGTCAAGTGGTACCGCGATCGCCGGGTGGTGGACGGACCCAATGTCAAGGCCTTGTCCGATCGCGGCGTCTACACGCTGACCATAATGAATGCCGGTCCCGAGGTCGAGGGCACCTACACCTGCCGGGCCTCCAACGCCTTTGGACGCATTGAGTCCCATGCCAACATCGATGTGGCCGTTGGAGCTGAGAAGGACGAACGTCCTCCGTTGTTCCTGTCCCGCCCAGACACCGAAATGAAGATCGCCGTTGGTGATCCGTTCTCACTGTCCTTCCGTATTGCCGGCGAACCGAAACCAAAGCGTAAGTGAAAGTTTCCCAACTGATTTGGAGTAGACGCTAAATTCTCCTTCACAGTCACCTTTATGAAGGGCACGAAGGACATCACCCAGTCGGATCGGGTCAGCAAAGAGGTGTCCGACGACTACACAAGATTCTCAGTACAGCAGGCCCAGATCTCCGACTCTGGCACTTACTTCGTGGTGGCCCGCAACAACTTTGGCACTGACAGGATATTCGTCACTGTGACGGTAGGCTGAGTGTCTAAACCCCGAGTCTTTCGGGATCTGTATGTCCCTCTGTTGCTCTGTTGCTTGTGGCTGTCCCTCTATCGCTTTCGCTTCACTAACCTCTGCAATTCTCTTCTCTGCTTTTCTTCTCTTATTACAGATTAAAATACCCAAAAAGAAAGAAGAAGCTTAAAGCCTATTAATATACAATTTATTTTGCAAAAATTCGAACGCCTCCTCCAACAAAAGCACCAAATACAATTACAATTATATCATATACTTAGCCCTCAGTCTACTACTTTCCTGACTCTATGTGTTCATTCAAAGCAATATAATATATCGTTCTGACTACAAAACTTATAGGTAAACCCGCGAGCTCGCTCCGCCACGCCAACACAATCACGCTGGGGCCTTCCCCTGGACAGTTACAGCGATACTTCGTACTTCAGAGGTGAGTTGTGGAGTGTTAAGTGGGTCTTGCTATCCTGTGGAATGTCCTTTCTTGTCTGTTACGTTCCGTTCTGTTGTCCGTTTGTGTCCGTTTATGTCCGTTTGTGTCCTTGGACGATGCCAAACCTCATTTGCATCTCTTGCAGATCGGTTCAACAACCGCCACAACAAACCACAAACGACAAAAGAAATTTCCTGTGAGATCGTAGAAACCCAGCCCACAGAAACTATTCCTGTATTTATCTTTTGTTAGTATTTCTGAACGATTGACTTAATTACTTTTATTAATAATGTATTATATAAAGCACAGCAATCCAGCTTATACATTTACGTAGTGGAAACAAGAAAATAAAAAATATATTTCTCCGGGGCGTGAAGAGTTTTAATTGAGGTCACCCATTGAAATACACCATTTGCATTTGCCCATTTGAGTGTCATTCATTTACGAGTTTTGTTTTGCCATCCCTCAGATCCACCGGGTTGCATTTCCACCGAGCCCCTGGTCGTCGATTCCGGACCAACCCACATCTCCTTGTCGTGGGGCAAGCCCGTCAGTGCAAACTCGGCTCCGGTGATGGCTTACAAAGTGGAGGCCTGGGTTGTGGGTCACGAGGGCGGTGCATACTGGCGTGAGCTGGGTCTCACGCCCATTAACTCCTTCGACGCCTTCAACCTGAAGCCCAACTTGGAGTACCACTTCCGGGTGACGCCCAAGAACCGCTACGGCTGGGGTCCCACCGTCCAGACCAGTTCGCCCCTCCAAGTGGGCGGCGTTGAGTGCCTGCCCGAGTTCGTCAAGATCCTGCCGGGCCAGGCCAAGGCTCTGCTGGGCTCCTCCTTCACCCTGCAGTGCAATATGCGTGGAGCTCCTCGGCCGCAGGTCACATGGTTCAAGGATGGCATCCAATTGAGCAGCAGTTCGGAGCGCGTCAAGATTAGGCAGATTGGATCCACCTGCGCCCTCACCATTGCCACTGTGAGTGAACTGGACTCGGGTCGTTATACGTGCGAGGCCACCAACTCCAAGGGCAGAGTCTCCACATTCGCCCGCCTCCAGGTTGTCTCCGATTCGAGGATCTATGAGGCGGACTCGCGCCTGAAGGAGATCGCCCACGGACGCAATGTGGCCGATGTGGGTGACTCGCTGCCCATCTTCACCATGCGCCTCAGGGACCGTCGCGTTCAGGTCACCTATCCAGTGCGCCTCACCTGCCAGATTGTGGGCTATCCTGTGCCGGAGATCCTGTGGTACAAGGACGATCAGCTCATCCACACTGATAGGAAGCATTTGATCAGCTCCGAAGGACAGTTCTTCACGCTGGAAATCGCAGCCACCACTTTGGAGGATAGTGGCACCTACACCTGCCTGGCCAAGAACGAACTGGGCTCCGTTTCCTGTCACTGCACCCTGGTAGTCGACAAGGGCATCCGGGCGTACATCTCACCAGACTTCTATGTGCCTCTGGATCCCTTCTACATATTCCGCGAGGGCTCCGAAATCCGTCTGTCCACCAAGGTGGAGGCGTATCCATCCGTGGGAGTCACCTGGCATCGCAACGGGATGCGCCTGCGTCCAAGTCGACGTCTGACCGCCACCCTGGACTCGAATGGATTCGTGGAGCTCATCATTGCCGAGGCCACGGTCCGCGATGCCGGCATTTATGTGTGTGTCGCCTCTAATGTCGTGGGCAAAGTGGAGACCATCTGCCGGGTGGCCATCGAGGAGGAGGACAACAAGACGGTGGCTTCACAGCGATCCCTGGAAATACCAAGCATCAAGACTGACGACCTGCCGTGAGTATTGCTTATAATATAATTCAGGGTTTTCACTGATCTCAAATTTCTCGTTGAATTTCCATGTTTGACTATTTATTATAATGGTACTAACACAAAAATGTGCCTTAATTGTTGGCCCTGTGCCTAATAATATACTTAAAGATTTTATATCAAAATTGTTGCCTTCAACAAATGTATTGAAAACAGCTTCGAAAGGCTGGGAAAATCAATATATTATTATTATATTTAATTTGTATTGATTGCCAACATTCAACATTTATTAAAATATGTGTCAAAATATTTTATAAATTTAAGGGTTTAATTTAAATATTAAATTTAATTATTCATGTCAAAATAATGAAAAATGAAGAGGGACTTTAAACTAAACATTTGAAGTGAAACCCGTAGAAGACCCATAAGAAACCCTCATCTAATGAATCACTTTTCCCGCAGTTATTCCAAGGAGCCCCTGTTTGTGGTCAAGCCGCGATCCAGCGAAGCCTACGAGGGCGACAACGTCATCATATTCTGCGAGGTGGTTGGCGATCCCAAGCCCGAAGTGGTTTGGCTGCGCGATTTTCTGAATGTGAGTATGAGTATGAGCATGAATACGAAAATGACTGTATGACGTTGCACGAGAGAATAGTCGACATCGGCATGCTGCGCATGCGCAGTTCTCCGGAGAACTGGCGGTCGGTTAGTCAGTTGCATTCGCGCCGTTAGCAAATGTGGGTCGTTCTATCACCACCTCCTCGCGATTCCAAACCCGTTGCCTTATCAGAAGCTCAAGTTCAGGTGAACCAGCAACGTGGGCCCTACTGCCATCAGGAAGTTGGAACATACATAGTTTCCGCTTAAATTTTAGTATAAAAAGGCAACTCCCAGTGGGCCAGACACTTTAGTAGACCGTTTTTTTTGAGTTGTCACAGTTGCTCGCGCGGATAGAATTTAATTTTTTGATTGATCCGCGAGCGCGAACAAAGTGTCCAAACAGGCGGAGCATCCCTCTTTGAGGTAACCAAATACGACTACAAGGTGGCTGGAAAAGCACGTGAAGAATAGAGTGCAGGGGCAGCTGACGCTGGCTCGGATTACGGACAAGTGCGTCATAGTGAAACGGTGCGCGTTATACAAGACCACAGATCTTACAAAAACCGATTCGCTGTCAAACGCTAATTCAAGTTCAACCCATATCAAATAACAGGCTTGTTCGCAACAAACAATTACGCGAGAGCCAAAAAGGAAAAAAGCTAACAAAAAAAAAAGTAAATATAAAAAATATTATTCGCCACTGTGTCGTGCACTGACGACCAAGGAAGCTGGAGGAGTTGGAGGAGCAGGAGGAGGAGGAGGAGGTCAGGGTGGTCAACGTATACCCATTACCAGTTTTCCTATTCGACAGTCTCGAAACTGAATTTTGTGCTTATATGGCCATAAGCTTAACACAATAATAACAACGGCAGCAGGCAGCAGAGTCAGCGTCACCGACATTTGTGTACGGGCAGTCGTGATTCATGCTCTGCGGCAGCCGCACAAGTCCTTATAGACGAAGCTCATCTCGGCGTGACCTTGAGCCCGCTTGAGCCCAGTCCCACTGATCGTACATCGTTCTCTTTCGCCCGCAGCCGGAGTACTACAAGGACGCGCCCCACTTCCGCCGCATTGGAGACGGACCCGAGTACCGATTGGAGATACCCAGCGCCAAGTTGGACTTCACCGGCACCTACTCCGTGATAGCCAGCAATTGCCATGGCGAGGCCAAGGCTGTAATATCGCTACAAATCTTCGCGAAAGGTAAGCTCTTTATTGTCCAAACTGCGGGTAGATACTCATTAGGCGGGGAAAGGCCACGTCGCGCCAGAACTCCTCGGCCATGGCCAGCAAACTGGCCACGAATTCCGGATCTGCCTGCACCCAGACGTAGTGCAGCGCTCCGTTGACCTCGAACGTGGGACTCAGCACACAGTAGAGTGCCTTCTTGACATTGGCCGCAAACATCTGGATCTGTATCTGGGCCATGTACTTGGGTGCTATGGATTCGCGAGCCTCTAGGTACTTTTCGAAGTCCTCCTCAGTCTTTGGCGATTTGATTTCGACGATGTGATCGTCCGTAATGCCATCGGGGGCGGCGCACAGGAAGGGAAAGCTCTCGTGGATGATCAGTCCGCACTCGACGTAATGTTTGTTCTCCAGCTTCTCCGTCTGCTTCAGTATGAATCGCTTGTGCTGCTTCTGCTGCACCCGATCCTCGTTGTTCTTGTCCCGTCCCTTGCAGAACATCATGTTGAAGATCTGTTCGTCGTCCTCGCTCCTTTTGCGGTTGATGATCAGGTGCATCATGGAGCAGCGAATGCGCATGTACTGCACCTCCACCCACAGCCGGGATTTGTACTGGTTTCGGGTCACATCGTAGATGCTCTCGATGATTCCCGTTTGGGCCTGCGCCTCCATGTGCTGCACATAGCTGGCCACATCGGAGATGTTGTACTCCGCTGCTCGGAGCAGCGCATGGTGCACGAACAGGGGCTCGAACTCATCGCTGGTGTCCACACACTGGCGATAGAGGGCTGAATCCCGCCCACAGGTGGCCAGTTCTTCGAGTACGGTCTCCAGGAAAGCCTGTCCCTCGGGGGGCGTCAGTTCCTGGGAGCTCAGTTCGCTTTCCATTCGCACCTCGTCCTTGGGCAGCATATCACAGATGCGGGTGGCTGTGCTGGGCTCCGGTTGCACCAGGGTCTCCAGTTCGTGGCCCCAAAACTCTACCACAGCGGAGGGATTTCTATCGGTGCTCTTGCTTAGCAGCCAGAAGGCGAAGGCGACGATATGGACACAGGTTCCTGAAAGGGTTTCGCATTTTCGTTACAAGTTCATCTCCTACTACTAAGAGTAATCCTCACCTCCGGTGGGACACAAGCTGCACTGGCCATCTGTGATGATCCGGGCACTTTCAACGACCTTGAGCGCCACATTGGCGTGTGTTTCCGTGTTGGCAAAGTCCAAGGCGGAAAATACCAATGCCTTGAGCTCGCAGACATCGCCATGTCTTCGCATCTGGACATAATCCGTCAGGAGATCACTTTTATCCGTTGGTCTATTGGGAAAGAATGGGAATACATACATATATCGAGTATACCAGGTAAGGGTGCGAAAGAGACGGCACTCACATTGTTTTCGCGGAGGCGCCGGATAGGCAAAAATTATACACCATTCCGATGTTTATAGCGGGTATATTGTGAATGTCCGCCTTGCGGAAGCCGGGCTCCAGGTCCATCGGCACAATTATCATGCCCCTCATTTTAAAATTCCAAGTTTTTCGGCAAAAAATAGGTTGCTAATAATAAACATTGGAGCGGGTAAGCAAAGTTAGAGGTGGGAAGCATCGATGTTGAACAATTTATCGATAATAAAACTTGTATTCGATTTAGTCGATTCTTTTTACTTAGCTAAAAGTAAGCAGTTTAAAGCAAGCAGTTGTAGATGGGCGCCAGATTCAAACCATTTAATTAGTTAACAAAATGTTCTTTTAATTTACCAGATATACTCAACAATAGCCGCATGGATAAAGTGTACACGCGACATGGGTGAGTTTATACACCATAGATAAGCAGAATTAAGTAACTAAAACACATATTTGTATAATCGACAGCAACATCGAGACTCTTCCCCGATTCGTTCGCAACTTACGAAACCTGCGCTGTTGCGATGGGGATGCGATATCGCTCGAGTGCCATGTGGAGGCCGATCCGGAGCCATTTATCATCTGGGAGAAGGATGGGCATGTGGTGCCCAGCGATCGCGACTACGTGATGTCGTTCGACGGAACGAAAGCGACGCTTAGTATTCCGCGCGTTTATCCGGAGGATGAGGGCGAGTACACATGCGTGGCCAAAAACTCGGTGGGCCGGAGTCTCTCCTCCGCGTGCATCATTGTGGACGTGCCCGAGGAGAAGGAGAACATGCTGAGTCGCCAGCTGACGCGTCCCAGTGGCCTGCTCTCTGCCCACTCCACGCCCCGTTCCACGCCGAGATCGACGCCTGCGAGGAGCTTCTCCCCGCTCCGCATGTCATATCGCACTAGCAGCATCGATCTGAGCGGCGTGGCAGAGCGGAGGCGCAGTGACGCCCGCAACGCCATCACGGCGCCCAAGTTCCTCGCCATTCCCTACAATCGCGTCGTCGAGGAGGGCGACAGTGTGCGCTTCCAGTGCGCCATTTCCGGCCATCCCACGCCCTGGGCCACCTGGGACAAGGATGGCTTCGTGGTCACGCCCACGCCGCGCATTGCCGTCAAGGAGATCGACGACCTGCGCATCATCGAGATCGATGAGGTCTCCTTCGACGATGCCGGTCTCTACCGCGTCACGTTGGAGAACGATTTCGGGCGGATCGAGGCCACCGCCCGCCTGGACGTCATCCGCAGCTCCCGCTACTCCAAGTCGCCCTCGGTGCGCAGTGTGCGCGCCTCCTCCTCCCGCCGAAATGCCCACCTCTACAGGCGCTTAATGGGTCCATCCACAGGTGGGTTTGCAACTATTTTCCTTAAAACTTTAAACAAAATCTAAAGATAAATTTATTTGATGGTATATACTAAACGAAATTAACTCGACCACATGATAAATTTGCTGATTAAATTCATTGTTCATTACTTACTCTTATTATTTTAGTACATAATCATAATACCCTTTATCTCAATTTTGACTTAGTCACAAAACAAAATAAAATTGATAACTTTTTAATATAAACATATTTAACTTTCATTTTAAGATTTATTATTATTATCTGCTATTATATAATTTATATTCTCTAGTTTTTTAAAATTTGATTTAATATTGTTCACCCTAATCCCACAGCAATTGGCGGACGCATGGCTCTGGCCAGTGGCTATCGTGGCTCCTCGGTGCCCTCGGTGAGATTCTACCACAACAACGTGGAACTAGAGGAATCGGAGCGAGTGCACATCCTGCTGCAGGAGGAGGACTCGATGGCCCTGCTGATCGTGGACAATGTGACGCGAGAGGACGAGGGCCTGTACACCTGCATCTTAAGCGGCGACTTCGATCCCCTGATCAGCTCTACCATGGTCACCTTCCACGAACCCAATACCGATGTTCCGAGAGGTAGAGCCATCATCGCAGAACCACTGCCTGAGATTACTAGGGCGCTGGAGGGCGAGGTGATTGATCTGTGCTGCGAAATCCATTGCGACGAGCCCTACAGCTACCTATGGCTGAGAAATGGCGAAATTCTACCAGACAGCGACGAGTTCAAGTGAGTATCTGGTGGATATAATAATAGTACAGTAGATGATTTTAAAATCTAAAACTTTCTAGGCCTAAGTCAAAGCATTCCATAAATCTATTATGTTTTTGGCCAAATATTTTTTATATTCAACAGTCGCGTTACTAATAGAGTATCATTGACTAAATGGGGTTTATTATATCAAGAATTTAGGACTACATATTTTTATCTCATAACATTTTCCAAGTTAAAAATTTTTAAATCACTATATTTATTATTAATGTTTAAATTATGTCAGACATTAATGCAAATAATTGTTCTTATACTTCAACCCTAAAGACAATTCTTAAAGAACATTTGTTTACCAACTTATTTTATTATCCATTTTATATAAGTAATTTTTTCAGAATTCACTGAAACGTTTTAACTTACAATTTAGTAATGTTTTGCGTTTTAATAAAATCGTGAGAACCAAGTTAATTCACCGACCGCAACTGAACGTTTTCGATTGAATAACAGCAGTACTTTTTGCTGCCTTTTTGTTCAGTTCACCATACGCAATGACAACTATTTATCGCACTTTTATTGCACATTGCAATTGCAGTTACATTGATCATGGCAATGGACGACTGGGCCTGCGAATCAACGACGCCTTCGACATTGACTCGGGCACTTACAGCTGCCAGGTGTTTACCAGCGACATCAGTGACATCTCATCCGTATCCAAGTCCATCTTCGATTCCACCTCAATTTCCAGCGGATGTGATTGCAGCAGCAGCGGGGAGCTGTGCGTTTTGGAGCGAGACCTGAGGCAGCAGGACGAAGAGTGTGTCCAGTTGCTAAAGACTCCTCTTCCCGTGGTCTGTGGATCCGGTGAGGAAGCCCTGTTCTACGCCCGTGTTTTCCCCTGCGAAGCGGAAGCCGAATGGTACCTCAATGGGCAACTATTGGCCCAGGCGAATGACTCACTTAACATGACGGTGCGTATGCGTATTTATCGTAATAAACCCAAAAGTGAATCGCCGCGTGCTTGCTTTCGGCCCAAAAACAAAACAAGAACGAAGGCAGACTTTGGCAAGCCGAAGTCTGTATACCCTTGCAGTTATTTTACAAAAATTAAATATTATATTATACGTATAAAATCAATGAAACTAAGTAGCTTTTCTGATTGTTTCTATGGCAGCTATATGTTTTCGTTGTCCGATTTTTATTAATTTTATTCCTTTAAAAAGTAAACTACCTATTATTTACTATATTTGTATAAAATCAAACCAACGAAATTATAATTTTTTTATTTATTTTTCTGATTGTTTCTATGTTGACCCATTTAGAGACTAGTTTAAGTAGAAACGAACAAACGGGCAAACGGACATGACGTGATCGACGCTCCCAGAACTGTTGAACAAGAATATATATACTTAATATGTTCAGAAATGTCTTCTTCACTGGTTGCAATCTTTTCACTGAAATTACAATAGCCTTTGCAAGGGTATAATAAGCTCAAAGTGAATTTGGCCCCAAAACAAAAAACCGAAACAGAGCTCTTCATTTTCAACTCTTGCCTTGCCGCAGGCTGCTTGTTCGCACTTTTGGCGGAGAAAACAATAATAATAATTGTGTATACACATTCATATAATGTGTGGTCGAAGTGTGAGAGCATATGCTCATTTGCATAAGCCACATATGGGAGGCCCAAAAGATTGAAATACGGCGGCATCGGCATGCGAGCTGCATGCCAACGATGTTGCTGGCCAGACACTCAGACACTCGCTCGTCGGCGCTCAAGCGGCGCACATCTCGGTCCGAAAGTTCCTCAGTTTTATTCCGGACACCACCCCCTCTCCAGATGATTGGAAATCTAAATTCCCAATCGACATCCCAAACCCAAGCCCAATCTCAATCTCGAACCCAATCGAAACCTGACGGCGGCACAAGGGCGTGACAAGATGTCACAGGTAGGCGAAGCAAATGGATTGCATCCGATTGAGTATCAATATCGTTGGCATTCGATGGACTTGGATTCCGATTCTGATTCTGATTCGGTTTAAGCCCCTGTAACAATTCCCATTCGATAAGGGTGCACTTGTTTGTGCCGCGTGTTGGTGATCGTGCTCCAATGAAAATGAGAGCGAGCGTGAAAGTGTCATTGTCACGATCGTCCGATCGTCCGAACGTCCGCTCATGGAATTCGAATTCCGTTTGGCCGCTCGTAGTTCCATTCCCGATTCTCGCTTAATTGGTGCGTGCCACGGAGAGGCCGCCTCAGTTGTACGGCAACCTCAGTCCGCGTCGCGTCACCCTGCTCCGGAATCGAACACGGAACTCGGAATAGATATAGGTATAGGTATAGGTTTGGGTCCTCTCCCGCGTCAGACACTTGTGCATACAGTATATAATTGTTTACCCATGTGTACGGCATACACGGCGAGAAACGTTCCCAACTCGTGATTTTGTTGTCGAAATAGACAGGGGAATATTACGTTAATCAACAGCGAAGTGTTGTTATTGAATCAATAAACGTTGTGCTTCATCGACTGAAATTTCCTTAAAATACACAGAGGCATGTTTTTGTTCCCACTTTCACCCCATGAATGCAATTATCACAAATGTTAATATATGGAAAAACTGATTTCACTTTAAAAATAAGTTAAGAACGACTGTCAATGCCCTTTGAGATCATATGAATAATTAAAGTATATTTTCTTATTAGATAAACAATAATCTGAATTATAATGGAAATTCATTCCTTAAAACATTTAAATACATTTTTCAGTCTTGATTTCGCACCTTAAATCCAACCAGAACAAATGTAAATGTTTAATGGAACTAATTTCCCCTTTTAGATGCTACAAGTAGTTGCCTTTCACAAATACAGAAAAGAAGAACAGTGCTTGAAAAGATCAACTAAATTTCATGATATTTACGGCCCAATAAACCTTCAATTAATGAAGCTCTGATCTCGTTCTATAATATTGTTCACTTAAAAGAGAATTCTTTAATAAATTCCTTAATCAAGAATTTTATTTCCTTCATTAAGAAAACAATAATTGTGAAATTCCTTAATCAATTTGATTGCTCAAATAAATTTAATTTTTTCCCAGTGTATATAAGAGTTTCGGTTAATCTTTCATATGATTTTTTTTCCTTTTTTCAGTTGGAGTCATATCCAGAGAACGGCATTCGGCTGCTGCGCATGCGTGACGTCACCGCTTCGAGGAGTGGAGAGATCTGTCTGCAGGTGAAGCATCCCCAGACGGAATCGAGGCGCATTCCCGCCACCCGCACCTACACCAGCCTCCTCGTCCTGCCCGCCATCAAGGGAAACAGCTCCTGTTCCTCGCTGGCGGCCAGAAGCTGCATATTGACACGCCCCGAGGACTGCACCGCCCTAATCGGTGGCCATGTTCGGCTGAGCGTCCGCTACGAGCCATTCCCGGGCACCAAAGTCGTCTGGTACAAGGCGGTAAGTCGGAATCAATTTTAGATTGGATACAAATTAGTTTCATACCCTGTACACTGGCTTTTGGCAGAAGGTTTTAAAATGTACAATACAACAAAAAAGGTGACCGATCGAACGAATGGGTAAAGAATGGGCTATGGGATACCCTGCCCTGAAGGAATTATGCTTACTAAAAGTTTTAAATTTTTAATCCTTATCATTATCAATAGGAAGTATTTTTTTTTAACTTAAACTTATCTACAAACATTTTGATAGGGGTTCTCTTGCTTGTGCCATAAAAACGAAGATAAAACTTAGAATCAGTTGAAGTAATGGTTGGACAACAGAAGCTTATTAAGTTATTTTTACAAAAGCTAGGCTACTAATACATCAAAAATCGACCAAGAAACTCCTTTTTTCCGATATCTGCGCAGCAATGATTTCAGTAATCCTATAAATTAAATTCATAAACAAAAACAATTTTAATGCTTTCTTATATAAATACACCATAAACAATATAAGTAATTCAAAGGGACAGTAGGCTTATGGTAATTGGTCCGGTTTTTGAGCCCCAGCGAAGTGTTGTGCAATCTTGACCTAATTTGGACTGGGACTGAGACTGAGACTGGGGATTATGGATCCATATTCTTTATCTGCTCTGCTCTGCTCTGTCATAAGCCCACTCTGCACCCCAGTGCGATAGCTCACTGACTCGCTTTGGGCATTTAGCCTAGGCATCTGAATACCTGACTATCTGACTATCTGACTGTGTCACGATCAGTTTGCGGTGCTGTTCGGTTGGGTTTGCTGGGCTAGTTGGGTTGCTTGGGTTGCCTAGACTGGCTACGTAATGGTTGCAAACCGCAAATGCTGGGCGAGCCGCAGCGAAGGTTGACTGCCAGAGCACCAGCTACACTACCTGAACATTGGCTAAATAAATCATCCAAAATTTGAGCAATTCGTCATACTTTTGTCTTCGAAGTGAGCCCAAATTTATCTACTATTCACAATTCGAAGAAGAAGGTAAACAATGTGTTTAGATAAGTAATTACTTATGTTTTGTTTTCTTCTTATGATGGAACGCGTTCCAAATACTTTTAAAATATTATCCGCATTAATCCTTTCCTAAAGTATTTCTTTAATTATTATATTTGTTTGTTAATTAAATAAATCCCACCAAAATTGAGTAATTCGTCATACTTCTGCCCAAAATGATGCTATGCTTTTATCTTTGAAGTGAATCCAAAGTTAAAATTTTATATTTTACACATAGGATAGTTTTAAAAATCTGTACCCTTTTAACGGTGTATTTTTCGTTTATTGTATTCATACATTTTTGTTCCACAGTGTCATCCCATTGTTGAGAGCTCCAATGTGACAATCCGGACTACGGGCCAACAGTCTACACTCTACATCACGGACATCTCGGCGGACGACAGTGGCAAGTACACGGTGGAGGTGATGAACGACTACGGCGTGGAGGCCTCTGCCGCCTCGGTGGCAGTGGAGGGTCCTCCGGAGCCACCCAGTGGCCAACCTAGCGTGTCCCTGGGTCCAGATCGCGTGGCAGTGGCCTGGTGTGGTCCACCCTACGATGGTGGTTGTATGATCACAGGATTTATGTGAGTATCTATGAGAATCCGCTAAAGATATATTATAACTAAAATTTCCAACCCCTAGCATTGAGATGCAAACGATTGGAGGAGACAACGAAGCCTGGACACAGGTGACCCGAGTGGTGGACACCTTAGCTTACACCGTCAAGAATCTCGAGCCACAGATGCAGTACCGATTCAGGGTCCGAGCTGAGAACATCCACGGACGCAGTGCACCCGGCCAGGCCAGCGAACTGGTGCAGATCACCAGCAAGCCAGCGAGGAGCAGCACATCGGATGTCACCGATCATTTCGGGCAGTCGGTGAGCGTCCAGTCCGGCGGGGACTTCAAGTCCCGATTCGAGATCATCGAGGAGCTGGGCAAAGGTCGCTTTGGCACCGTCTTCAAGGTGCAGGAGCGCGGCCAGCCGGAGCAACTGCTGGCCGCCAAGGTGATCAAGTGTATCAAGTCCCAGGATCGACAGAAGGTGCTCGAGGAGATCTCGATCATGCGCTCGCTGCAGCATCCCAAGCTGCTTCAGCTGGCCGCCTCCTTCGAAAGTCCCAGGGAGATTGTCATGGTGATGGAGTAGTAGGTATCCCCCATTCTCCCTAAAGGATCCTTCTGATCCGATCTTCTTATTCCCCAGCATTACTGGCGGTGAACTATTCGAGCGTGTGGTGGCCGACGACTTCACCCTGACCGAGATGGACTGCATCCTGTTCCTGCGACAGGTGTGCGATGGTGTGGCCTACATGCATAGTCAGAGCGTGGTCCATCTGGACCTAAAGCCTGAGAACATCATGTGTCATACCCGCACCAGCCACCAGATCAAGATCATTGACTTTGGCCTTGCTCAACGACTGGACACGAAGGCACCCGTTCGCGTTCTCTTTGGAACCCCTGAGTTTATACCACCAGAGATCATCAGCTACGAGCCCATAGGTTTCAAGTCGGACATGTGGAGCGTGGGCGTCATTTGCTATGTGCTGTGAGTGGATAGACTTAAATATTACACGAAGGATACTCTATAACTCTATTTGTTTTCCAGGCTTTCGGGTCTTTCGCCTTTCATGGGCGATACCGATGTGGAAACCTTCTCGAATATTACAAGGGCGGATTACGACTATGATGATGAGGCCTTTGACTGCGTGTAAGTACTTGTATTACTATATACTAGGTAGAGACATTCTTAAAATCTAAAAACTCTGTCATGTCACTCTATGACATGAAAGTGGCGGTATATGTTTATTCGGTCAATATCTATCGACACATCAAAAATCAAAAAATCCTGAAAAAATCAAACCAATAGTTTACAAATTATTGGAGTAGTTTTAAAAATGACGTCACTGCACATTTTTTTAATGGAGCGGAAGAACTGTAAGTGGGGATCTCCTGTCTTGATCGGCAGATGGCGCCACTTTAGCCCGTTTCTTTATTTTATTTTTTAAATTGGTTAGCTTAGTAAAGGGTATCTGTTTTATGTCTTCACCTGTAACTTATACCCTTAATAGTTCCCAGGAGGCCAAGGATTTCATTTCCCAGCTGCTGGTTCATCGCAAGGAGGAGCGTTTGACCGCCCAGCAGTGTCTGGAGTCCAAGTGGCTGTGTCAGCGCCACGACGACAATCTGAGCAACAACAAGATCTGCACGGACAAACTGAAGAAGTTCATCATTCGACGCAAGTGGCAGGTTAGTAAATGCTCTGCTCCAGCTAATCCCAAAGATCGTAACCCAATGCTGCTTACGTTTTTAACCCTGCTTGCTGCCGCTAAACCAGAAAACTGGCAATGCCATTCGAGCTCTTGGTCGCATGACCAGTTTGTCGGTGTCTCGACGGAACTCCGCCATTGCCATGGGAGCGCTGAGTAGTCCCAGGCCCTCGATTTCGGGTCTGGGCATGCTGACCGCCAGCGCCATGGGCAGTGGCTTGGTGACCTCCCAGATGACCTCACTGCACGAGGAGGAGGATGACTTCAGTGTGGAGATGCCGCCGCTGGTGGAGAAGCGTTCGGTCCTGAAGCTCCGCGATAAATCGCAGTGCAGTGAACGCAGTGATTCGGGCTATAGCGAGTGCTCCAATTGCAGTGGAGCCCAGGAGACGCTGCTCCTCTCGCTGGCCAAGTCCAAGCTGGAGGCCATAGCCAGGGCCAGCACTGCTCCCACAGTGGTTCAGGATGCAGATCAACCTGCCAGTCTGGAACTGCCCACCACGGGAAATGCCATCATGCGATCGGACTTCACCAACACCGTCAAGATGCGCAAAAAGTCACTGGAGGACAGCGCTGCGCGGGAGAAGCCCAAGTCCAAGCCCCAAGTCAAGCCTCTGTGTGAGTCCAAGCTGAAGGTGTCCCAGCTGAAGGATAGGTTCCAGGGTAACCCTGCTCCTGCTCCTGCTTCTGCTACTGCATCCGCTGCTAACAAACCTCCGCTTCCATTTGAGCCCTTCAAAATAGCCAAGGTGGCGAGTGTGGGACGCATCAGTAGAAGTAACTTTTGCCTGTGACCCAACAACGGATCTTTAAAGTATTGCTCAAATTCTCAAGACAATGATTCTAAAGGGGACCAGTCTAGAAATTGTTTAAATTTTACACAGTGAAATAACTATTCGGTTTAACATACTGACAAATAATATCTTGCATATAATGTCTTAAAAACCACAGTTCTAAAAACTACTAAAAAGTTCTCAGAGCAAAGGTTTTGGTAGTTCCAAAAAACGTCAAACAGTAACCCTAATTTTAAATAAAATCATATATTTTAATTTAATAGTTTGTTTAAATCAAGCTAAAATTAAATATTCCTTTCATTATCGATTCGAATTGTCAAGAAACAAATATATATTATTTAAACATCTAATATAAGAAATGCTTACAATTGCTCATAAATAACGTAATTTCATTATTTTCTATTTGGAAGTAACAACATATTGTTTATTAAAATATGGTAGCAGAATTAACCATTATTTTGTTTTTAGTCACCCTGATAAATTTAAAGTTTATACTTATTAATTTGGTAAACTACGTTAATCCTAAAAAAAATAGCCCCAATTACTTAACAAAATATGGTAGCGAACTACTTTCTGAAATTAATAGATTAAGTCAAAGAATCAGATAAATCCTAATAACAAAGACAATTGGGATAAGTAGTAGTTCTGTTACTGGTCAAAATACGCTACCATATTATTTTGCAATTTTATTGTGGTAAATAACGTCATTGCTAAAATATTGTACCATTACCTATGTTAGTGGAGTGATATTTGATATTTGATTTACCAACGTGAATCCCTAAGTAGAAGTACTAAAAGATTATAACATTACTTTTTAGAATATTATACATATTGTAGCAGAAAAGTATTTGAATTGAATAGTTTAAATGTACTTTGAGTTGGGCATATTACAAAACATTTTTTACTGATATATTTTAATGATCATGACCTTTACTTTGGGATCCGTTTAGGTCTTAAATCAAAAGCTCTTCTGCAGCACTAACTCTCTGTTGTTTTTTCGTTTTGCAGCAGAGGAGCCGAGGAAATCCGAACGAGGCATCGTCACTGGCATCTCAATTGGATCCTCTAAAGGCAAGCCTCCTCAGGCACGATCCATGCCCAGTTCCCCGCTGCCCCAGCGATCCGCCACGCCGACGAGGCTGATGAGCCACCGGGTCCGGGAGGCGACGGAGCGTCTTGCCCAACATCACACTTTGGCCAGTGCTCAGCGGCAGTTTGGAAATGGCAGCAATGCCAACAGTAATGGCAGTGGTAACAACAACTTTGGCAATGGCAGCACGATGGCAATGGCGGAGACAAATCGCGAATCACGCGCACGACGTCTCATCAACCGATTCAACAACGAAACGCAGCATATCACGTCCTAGATTAAGTCGGTCATGCGACCGATCAACATAACTTTATTACAGATTTAGCAGAGATATAGCATTGTTTAAGCAGAAACCCCAGAGAAACTCTACGAACACTCGAATATGAAGCGAATGCTAAGCGACTGCGTACCAGAACGCACCCACCCAGCATCCCACATACCGCACACACCCACTCACAGTAGGATATGTCTGCATCCGGATACGGACACGGATTCGAATACGGATGCACTCCCTCCAGTCAGAGGGACTGTACTTAGGCTAGAGGAAGCTAAGTGTTTAAATTATTGTATCGATTTATATACATATTTACCATACTAATTAAAGTTAATGTGTAACGAAAACGGGGGATCTCTGGGATCAGTGATCCTTGAGCGGATGATCGCGTGGCTGGAGGTGCACCCACAGTCCACCGGAGGCTCTCAAAGTGATTCGGAAGGTGGGTGCAACGGTGGTCTTGCCCGGAACCGGGAGCAACTGGAAACTCCGGAGCAGCCTCGAAACAACCGTCTTGATTTCCATGATGGCGAACCTATTGCCAATGCAGTACCTCGGTCCGGCGCTAAACGGGATAAAGGCGTAGGGATGGCGCTTCTCCGAGTTCTCCGGCGAGAACCTCTCCGGTTGGAACTTCTCCGGATCGGGATAGATGTGGGCCAGACGATGGGTGGCATAGGGGCATATAAAGACATTGCTGCCCGCGGGCAAAGTGTGATTGGCCAGACGAACCTCCTCACCCAGTTTGCGGGCAATCAGTGGGACACTGGGATACAGACGCAGTGCCTCCTTGATGCACATTTCCATGTACCGCATCTCGTGGAGGTCACCCATCGAGGGGGCGCGATCACTCCCCTTGAAGATGATCTCCAGCTCCTGGGTACATCGCTCCTGGCATTCTGGGTTCTGGGTCAGCAGGAAGAGGGTGAAGGCCATGGCGGCCCCCACCGAATCCTGGCCAGCCAGCATGAAGGTGCAGGCCTCGTTCACAATGTCCTCCTCCGTGAAGTCCGGATTACTCTCGCAGATCTCGATCATGTGGTCCAAAAGGCACTTTCGCTCGCCATTGCCGTTGTTGTTGTTCTGGATCTGGCGACGTCGCTGGATCATTTTGCGGGTGAAGTCGTTGAGGCGCTTCTTCTGGTTCAGCTCATCGTTGGCCATCTTGGTCCAGTGGTAGATCCCGTCGAGCAGCAGCCAGGGCTGGGTAAACCGAGTTGGCATCATGAGCTTGCCCTGGCGGAAAGGTGACTCCTCCATGTTGACCATGTCGTCACCCCTCCTCCTGATGGGCACACCCAAAACGGCCTCTGTAAGCGGATTAGGGATTTATTCAAGAGCTTATCAAGTTTCTTGCTAGACCCTCAAAGACTCACCATTAAGTATGTCCAGCACGCAACTGTTCACATAAGTGGCAATGTTGATCTCTGTGCCTTCAGCAGAAGCATCCAAGTTCTCGTAAAGCGACTGTGAGGCATCCACGAAGGTGTCAATAAACTTCTCCAGCAGATTGTGATGGAAGGCTGGCTGGATGAGCCGACGATGATTGCTCCACTTGGAGCCACTACTGGTTATCAAGCCATCGCCAAGAAAGTTGTGCAACAGCCGGTAGAAAAAGACCTTGTTGGTGTGCTTCTTGGATGAGAGCACCATCTGCAAGTCCTCCGGCTCGAGAACGGCAAAAAACGGGAAGAGGAGCACCCAAATCCGCACTAGAGAGCCATAAAGATGAAAGGCTTTGCCTGCGCATTTTCTCATTACTGTGGAAAGGTTAGGGGTTTATATGGGTTTTGATACTGAAAGGTCGAGTCAAACTTCTTCGAATATTCAGAAATGTTGTTTGGGGACTTATTATTAAAACCAGTGACCGTAACGATTATAATTTTGTAAACACAAAAATTTAATGGAAATGAGTGTATTACTAATGATTGTATTACAAAGAACTAAACATTTTCGTAATCTATACCAATGCCTTTATTTAACCATCATTCGTTCTTAAAGGACATGCAATTTCCATATGAAATTAAGGTTGACGAGGTTCTATTTTCAATTTCTTTTTATAAAAACCCTATTGAGATTTATTTGTATATTTTAATATTAATCTTAAAGAAGTTTGACTGAATCTTAGGCTAACTAAAGGATCTTACAGTCTTTATCCGTAACGAGCAGGCAGTTGCCCAAAAATGGCAGCGATGGAGGACCCGTGAGCTTCAGGGATAGAAGCACCGATCTCAGATACGTGTTGAGGGTGGCGTAGAAGGTATAGATACTCAGGCTGACCACCAGGAGGATCAGGATCGAGCAGAGCTCCAACCTAGTGGCGCGTTCCAGCTGTGGATGATCAAAAGTAGAGAAAAGGAGAATCATTAGGTGGCATATTGGCATGCATGGGTCAATATTTAGTTTGCCATTGAGAATGCGAACCCTCGAAACGCACTTCATCAGCTACGCACGATTCAGAGTATTTGGAGTCTAATTAACTGAGATCTCGGAGCACTCAGATAGTCGTACTTGAATGTTGGAAGTACTTGCCCTTGCCGCGTGTCGCAAGTTTTTTTTTCATATTTTTTTCGGCAAACACCACTGCGCTATCGTAATCGCAACGAAAGTATAAGTTATGTATCTAACTGCGGTGTGAATTGCTTGGGCCAACACGGCGTATGGGCGATGCCAAACGATGCGATGCGATCTCTGGCATCGAAATAGATATACTCGTAGATACGGGTATGAGTATTTGTAAAAATGAGTACGAGTACGAGTGTACGTGTGCCCAAAAGATCGATTAAAGCACCTCGCCGTACGTGTTGGTTTGCTTTGGTTTTCTGGCTCATTCGTGTCAGTGGTGCAACAGGTTACGATGCGAGCACAAAACATGACAAATGATGATGATCATCCAGGGACAGTTGGCCATTGTTGGCCAGTTCCCACACATGTCACCCCCTGTGTCCAATCAACCTTTTGTTTGGTTCTGGGAGTAAAGGCCCCCAAACCATTAGCCATATGAAAGATGCCATATGCCATATGCCAGGCGTTTCATGGCCAAGTGAAACCACAACTGACTCAGATCTCAATGACTAATTTATTTCTTGCAAAGAATCTGCAAAAATTAAGTCCCAAATTCACAAATTATAATTTACCAAAAAGAGTGTTCTAAAGAAAAAAATCGTGGATATCTAGACTGCACCCAATCAGGTTGATCTCAGCAAGCAGAGCGTTCAAAAATGTTAGAGAAAATGATATCAGACTAGTCTCTTCTTCCTGGACCTCATCCAATTGTCTCAGATCTTAGTTATAGTCACAAATCCATAATTTACCAAAAAAGGATGTTGTTCTAGAGGAAGAAACTCGGTTAACCATCCAATTACTAATCAGATCGATCTTACCAAGGAAATTGTGTAAATATTCAAAGCAAAACCAAATCAGACTACTCCTCTTCCTGGACCTCATCCTCGTAACCCTCGGGCAGAGCATTGACATCGGCATTGTGGAACAGGCTGCGATTGCCATCGCCCCAGGGGAATCGCTTGGTCCTGCGCCTCAGGTACTCATACTTGGCGAATGGCTCCCTTTCGTGATGTTTGTGGCCGGAAAAGGCGTTCACGGCGCACAGGACAATGGTTGGAAGGGCCAGCAGGAAGGTGACCCTCTTCCAGAGACCAGCGGTATTCGCGGGCATTGTGCCCAACTGCCGAATGTCGAGTCTCGGCATGAATCAGGAAAATCTCAATTTTTTACTCAAATGCTTGGTAAGGTTTAGAACAACGGATCGAATGTAAATACTGGAGCAGGAAACCCACTTGGAATTTGATTCCAAGTTAATGTAAAACACCCACGCCTGCTGCTCGAAAATAGTTTGCAAATTAGATACTCTCAAGGAGATCGGAACACAAGGTCCAACAACCCCCGTATCTTTGTTTAATCAGCTCAATATTTATCCAAAAACCGGCGAAGCGTCAAGAAGGCTTCCGCTTCTATTTCTTATATTTTTCTTTCTTTTTCTTTAACTTTTTTGGGCACGGCGTATCCAGGCTTCGAGGTGTGCAGAACCCGCGTGTTTGCCCGCCAATTGGCACCTGGTTACTAATAAATATACATCATGATTATTTCTCACTAATTTCATAAATTATCATAATGGTCTTCCGAAACGAGATGCTATTTGCTGAGAGTACCTGCTCGGATCTAACGCCCCAAAGTGATTGCGGCTAAAAATGCTTCATATTGAAACGAAGAAACGAAAACAGGTGAGATAATTCAGTCAAAAACTTAAACTTAGAACTGGGATTAGTGAATAAAGGTATATTTAAAATTATAAGTTAACCATATATTTGTAGAAGCTAACGTGTGGTAAAGAATTCAATTCCGTTTTAATTCTGTTTTTTAACTTAACCAATTTTTGAATGGTAAATTTCAGTTTAATTTATTTTGAAACCATTATGTTTACTTCCTTCTTATCGTAAAGTTCATGAGTTTCATAAGTTTGGTCCAAAGTCCTTAGTTAGATCTTTAGGCTAGATCTTTTTGAAGGTCAAGACTTAAGAACCACTATCACTTCATTATTAAGTTACTTTGAAAGAACTTGATTTAACATTTCCCAGATATAGAAAATGGTTGTCTTTTCGAATGTTTTTTTTTAGATCCTCTGCAAAAACCAAGATTTTGTTTAGGCTTTTCTCACTCACCACTTTTTCCACAAACATATTGTTTCACTTTATTTTAAGTAAATGTTTTTTAAATATATCCACATGAAAGTCCTTGTCACAGACACTTTTCTGAGCCGCCCACACACGGTGAAATCGGTTGAAGAGTAATTCCGTTTTTAGGTCTAATTATCCAGAGTCACATCCGCCGACTGGTGAGCTGCAAATGCGGGATTTCCGCCGGGCGGCGTCTATTTATAACCGATTTGGGCCGATCAAGCTCGGTATACACATGCCGAAAAAGATGCGCGGCGGCTTAAAATGCTTCCGAGCGTACGTGAGCTACGTCTCTGACCCCCTGAGTCCCCTGAATACACCCAGATACCCGAGAGTATCGAGTACCGAGTATAGTGGGTAATTGCCAACTAGTCGGCACTCGAAGTGCTAAGTAGCTAGAAGTGGCGGTGATGCTGGACGCTAGATGCTAGACGCTAGATGCTGGATGCTGGATGCCCCGGCCAAGTGGCATGGCAATCAATTATCCGTTTTGCGCCCTCTCCGAATCCGTAGATGATATATGCACATACCTGGATGGGCCCTTCCAGATCTCAGTGGCACTTCATCTTCAGTCTCAACGATTTGAGTGTGACTTGGGGTATAGATCCCGATCCCCCAGACGCGTGTCATCAGCTCGAACTTTGCTCAGATATTCAGCCCGTCAGACGGGCCTCTTCAATGTATTGATTACATCAATCTCTCTACTCGGGCTTTTAACGTCATCATAAATATTTAAAATCATATTCGGGACCTATTTCCGCGAAATTTCTTGTGTCAATAATGGGCTGTTTACGGGATTCGGATCTATAGACTTTTATTATTCATTCATAAGATCAGTTTATTTGTTTATTTATGGGGTGCTTCAAGAAATGTTCATTTTTAGTGCACTAGTCACAATAACAATAACAATTACTATGTTGCAGTGTTCCATATCTTGCTTTTTATAACTATTTAACTATTTAATTTTACGAGAGAAGGGTAAAGAGACCCTGTGCCAGAAAAGCATTTACACATGCTAGGAATTATATTTGTGATATACTTCCGCGGAATAACTTTGGCCAATTCTGGGATTCGGAATTAAAGAATTTAGTTATTAAATCTTTAGACAAGTTTATTTTCGTGTATTATTTATACAAACAAACATAATTTTCCCAGAGAAATTGTAAAGAATCCCCGAATTCCTGCCGCCACCTTATTTTTACCTATTTTCCTTCTAAAGGAGCCGTTAACCCATTACCAAAGTAATCGTTATTGGCAAAACAATTATTATTACGGTTATCAAACTGATTAGACGTTAAATTGTTGTACTTGTGATTAAGCGTTCCCATGTACCACCGATTAATATAGTAAATAAATCTCTGCCTGTTCGAACGCCACTTATCTGACGGCACGATTCCGGGGATTTAGCGACAAAGATTACAGCTGTTGACTAGACGTCTTCGTCAGTTCTGAGGGGTAAAGTTCAGTGAATAATGAAATGAGTTAGGGCAGTGACTCAACGGAACGATTTGCTGATAATCCCCGATGGGTTCTCCTTAACTTTGTGGTCATTGGTGGTCTTTAGAAGACCACCGCCACCCAGTTTATAATGGATATAAAACGCTGTGGGCTATGTGAGTCCTATAAACTTTACGATATCGTGCAGCATTTTATGAGAAAATCCAAAATACCTATCGGGGATGATCGCAAAATTCGTTGTTTTGGTGTTAAATGATAAGCAGGCGAGACTATAGCCCTATAAAAGGGGTGCGAAAATCGAACCACTCTTCAAGTTTCAAAATGTCGTTGCGCTTGGGACTGTGTCTCTTGGGCCTGCTTGGCCTGGTTGTCCTCTCGGAGTCCGGAATCATTAACCCACACATTGTGGGTGGCGATCAGGCGGATATCTCGGACTTTCCTTACCAGGTGTCGGTTCGCCTGGAGACCTACATGCTGCTCCACATTTGCGGCGGAAGTATCTACGCCCCCAAGGTGGTGATCACTGCGGCGCACTGCATCAAGGGACGCTATGCCTCCTACATCCGGATTGTGGCTGGTCAGAACTCGATAGCCGATCTGGAGGAGCAGGGCGTAAAGGTCAGCAAACTGATTCCCCATGCTGGCTACAACAAGAAGACGTATGTGAATGACATTGGACTGATCATCACGAGGGAAGCCTTGGAGTATTCCCCATTGGTGCAACCCATTGCCGTGGCCGTGGATGCCCCTCCTTCGGGAGCTCATGCCGTCGTGAGTGGATGGGGCAAGCGGACCGAGGAGGATGAGGCTCTGCCCGCCCTGCTCCGAGCCGTTGAGCTGGAGATCGTGGAGCGAAATATTTGTGGCGCCCAGTATCTGACCAAGGAGTACACCATTACCGATGAGATGCTCTGCGCCGGATATTTGGAGGGCGGCAAGGACACTTGCAACGGTGACTCCGGAGGACCCCTGGCTGTGGACGGCGTTCTCGTGGGAATCGTCTCCTGGGGCGTAGGCTGCGGCAGGGAAGGATTTCCTGGGGTCTACACCAGTGTCAATTCACACACCGCTTGGATCGAAGAGCAGGCGGAACCCTATCTGGAGATCTAGAGGTTCTTTAGACAAAACAATGAAAAACATTTTCTTAGCATTTGACTCTTTGCAATCGTTGATTAAACACGATTTATTTTATAAATTCATAATTGTAAATTATGATTTTATAAAAACATTTGTGTTTATCTAAAGGTTGCTTAAAATTCATAGCTAAAAAGTGATTTCACATATAATCATCTGTCTTACGATGAAGTACTACAAACGAACAAAATAACCGAACAAAATATTTAATATCTTAATAATAAATAATATGAAATGAACATTTAAAAAAAACCAAGACATAATATAATCATTAATCAATACCCTTGGGCCTAACCCCTTTTTTCTCCTCCATTTTCTCTTGAATGTGTATCACTTAAGCAATTATAAAGTAGAATTGGGTTATTTTTATACCTTAATTAAGAATAATACAAAATGAACATTTACAAGAAATAAGATACACTAATTTACACCTTTGAGTAAAGTACAAAACTATTTATGTTAACCTGTTTTTCTCCTCACTTTTCTATTTTATTTCACCTTTGCAATGGAAAATATGGGCTTGCAATGTATATTTATCTGCTAAGGTATATAGTCAATCACTAAACAAATCGGTTAATTAAAATTTTGCTGGGTAAGGTGCAAAAAAGTTGTGCAATTAATTGAACATTTTATTTTTGGTTTTTTTATTTAGTATATTTATGTGCCAATGTACACATAAATCTCTCGATCATTGGGTTGAATAGAAATAAATAATGGGAGAAAAGTGCAATTCATTTCATTTTAATTCATATTTGTGAGAGATTTTGTTCTGTATCGATTGCTCGGTGTGAACAAAATCAAATGCCTAACCGTTTTAAATAATGCATTTTCTTTGTGTTTTTAAAAAGCCAAAAAAGATTTAATTTAAAAAACAAACCGCCATAGACTTTGGCTTGGATATGGTAATTCAAAAAACAATACTATAACGGCAAATGAAATATTTTAGTGAAAAACCACACAACAAATAAAAACATCAACATACAATTTAAAATCCTATTTCAAACAGTTTTGGTGGAATTTTATAACACTACGAGGTATTTTTTAGTACTTATTAGTCGCCGGTATTTTCTAGCCGTCAAGCCGTGGTCACACTGATAAGGAAAACTCGAAAATTCGTGAAAATTCTGCGTACGGAAAGAGGAAAAACTCAAGCGACTGCAAGTTAAAAAACAAGCCAGGAAAATGTCTTTATTCGGAGCGCTGATGGGAGACTTTGACGACGATCTCGGACTGATGAAGTAAGTGCGAAAACTAGGTGAAAAGTGGAAAAATCATACGGCGCTCCTGCCGAAGCCCCATTTATTGCCATACGTGTGCACCCTGTGACGCCTTTTTGGGGCGTGGAAAAGGCAAAGTAATTGCAATAAATGGTGTAAGTGAGTAAATGGCCGAGTAAGTGCAGATCCAGGTCAATTAATAGCCCAAAAATTAGCAATAAATAGCGTGCCAAAAATGTACGGTACCCAATCTAAGCGTGTGTGTGTGTGTGTATGTGAGTGTGCAGCATGCGTGAAGAGAAGACGTAATAATCGATAATTTGAATCGAGCGACCGCAGGGAAATGCAATTGGGAAAATGTTATTTCTAAGGTTTCCCCCTGCTTTTCCGCCTCCCTGATAAAGCTTAACCGCAGAGTGACCCATGGGTAGCCAGTCGCACCCATTGTAACTTAGCAAAACAGTAGGCAACGTTGCCTTTATCACTTTGCCCCAAATCTGGCCACAAATCTTTCGGTAGAAACTATTTTTAGGCTCAGTTTAGAATGAACAGCAAACGCAAAAGAAAATCAACCAGTAGTAGAAACACACGCACCCAAATGGAGCCCAAGTAAAACCAAAAGTTTAGGCAAATTGCACTAAATACTCATTTGTTTTTCGACAGCAACCACATGAACCACACAATGAACGCAATGAACTTGCAAATGCGCTCGATGAACCGCCTGATGAACAGCTTCATGCCGGATCCCTTCATGCAGGTCTCGCCGTTTGACCCCGGATTCCAGCAGGGCGCCTTGATGGAGCGTCCCCAGATGCCGGCCATGCCCGCCATGGGACTCTTTGGCATGCCCATGATGCCCAACTTCAATCGCTTGCTGAATGCCGGTGGGTATTTAATGTGATTTCCCTCAAGAAACTCGGTTTAAACCTACCCTTCTCAGATATTGGTGCCAGTTCGGGCGCCTCCTTTTGCCAGAGCACTGTGATGACCATGTCCTCGGGTCCCGATGGCCGCCCCCAGATCTACCAGGCCAGCACCAGCACCAAAACAGGCCCAGGAGGCGTTCGCGAGACCCGCAAGACGGTGCAGGATTCTCGCACCGGCCTGAAGAAGATGGCCATTGGGCACCACATTGGCGAGCGGGCCCACATCATTGAGAAGGAGCAGGACATGCGCTCCGGCCAGCTGGAGGAGCGTCAGGAGTTCATCAATCTGGAGGAGGAGGAGGCCGAGCAGTTCGACCGCGAGTTCACCTCGCGCGCCTCTCGAGGAACGGTTCAGCCAGGACATCGCGGTGGTGGAATGCAGGCCATCATGCCCGCCCGTCCGCCAGCGGCCCACACCTCCACGCTGACCATCGAGCCGGTGGAGGATGACGACGAGGACGATGACTGTGTGATCCAGGAGCAGCAGCCGCCGGTTCGCTCCGCCGCGGGCCGCCATTATTCCACTGCGCCAACGGCACCGCTGAACAGGTGAGTTTGAAGGACTCTCCCCCCATGAAGAGAATTCCCAATTCCGAGTTCCCCCGTTCCGTGCGCGTGATTGAGTAGGATTAGCCGAATAGCATTTGCTGAAGCCCAATCCAAAAAGATTCCCCCACCAACTAACTAACCACTACTCCCCCACAACTGTTGCTAAATTGAATCGTTTGTATTTACTTGCAGATATAATTACTAAATCTAAAGTACATACAGTATATTTTACTAACTATCCGAACAAAAAACAGAAACAGAAACAGCATTGCATACAATAAATTTCTGCTAATTACATTCCCAACTGCGTTCAAACGAAACGAAACGAATATCGAATCGAATCGAAATATCATATAATGCACAGAGGTAGGCGGCAAGTTAAGCTCTCAACATCTTTCGTTTGTTCAGTTTTCGTTTTGCCCACTCGACTCCCTTCGTTCGCCATGATCAAACCCACTCACTACCCGCGTTGAATGAACTACTATTGGATTGCCAACTGCCAACTACCAACTATCAACTAGCAACTAGCCCCGCACCCCAAAAGTATTGTTGTAATCTTTTCCAAACTTTTCTTCGACTCGATTCCATACTGCGACAACTACTACGCTACTACGACATCGATAATCAGTGGCACGACAGCAGCAGCAGCAGCAACATCTTCGCCAGCTATCTACGATCTAAGCAGCGGAAACAACAATAACTACGTGAGCTCCCGTCGTTCGTACCTGCGAAATGGGCATGGTCATGGCCTGGCCACGCCCCGCCGCCCCCTGCGGACGCCCCCATCCTCGCCACTGGCCACCGTGTCCACTTCTCCAAGGTTTGTGCGGGAGCCGGCGATTTGGGATTAACCTAGACTACTACCATGGCTACAATAAGCTTCGAACATCATACCAGTCTGCTTGTAAAGTCTTCGGCCAGCCGAAGTTTAATTTGAGAGAATCGTCATCCGATATAAGGCTGAAATAACCCAAATTTAAGGCCTCTTTGGTAACAACACGAACTTCATTTGTTTTTAACAATTAAACGCCTTCAATTGACACACAGTTTCCCTGCGTAGCCAAGAATTGAACTTTTAATATGCCATTAACCAAAGTGTATTAACGACATCTCGCTCTCTCTTCTCTTCTCCATCAACATTTTTGTACTTTTCAATTCATGCAGAGATTGGCGACTGTATAATTCACGGTACCACCGCAAGTAGAGCGGAAACCGAACCAAATATCTATGCTAATCCAGTAAAAATCATATGTAATCAAAAAACAACGACGAGAGAAACACGGCTTTCGGCAGGCCTCGACGTAACCACATGCACGACTTCCACTAACCAAAAGGGGCCACCAACGCTCATCGCCACCAGAACTTCTTCGACCCTGCAGCAGCCACATCTCCGTTCCGGCAGCGCAGCACTACGGCCGCCAGCTACGTGTAAGGCCGCACCTTCCCATACAACACATCTAAAACTCTGTCTGCATACTCGCATTCTGACCTGCCCGAAAGAGCCTCGCCAATCCGTAATCTGTAGTCCGTAGAGCCGCACTCGACGACTCCGACTCCGACTGCGACTCCTCCGACTCCCAATTGGCCATCCATCGACGCTTATCAAAATTCTAACGTTGTTGCTGCTGCTGTTGCTGCGCCCACTCCACTAACGATGCTCCGCGCGAATCCTACGAATCCTCCGAATCCTACGACTTCATTACTCGCTTGCTCACATCATATCACCATATCACATCACCACCCACCACCCATCCATCTTCTCTTCCTGTCATTAAATTTCCACTTGCGTTCGAATTGGCCTGTGTACGAATGATTATGTGTATCTTTTGTTTGTTTTGTATTCCGTTCGCCAAAGATTTGTAAACCATTTAACTAATGAGTTTCTGTTTCTGCTCCTCTTCGACCAGCATACACCCACATCCCTATGCCGCCCATTCGAGGCGCCAGCAGCAGCGCGTCATGAAGCATCAGCACACGGAGGACCAGGAGGCGACCACCAGCTCCTCCAAGGCGAGCAAACGCGGCAAGAAGCATTAGTAGATCAGCTGCAGGCTTCATGCCCACATCTTCCAAACCGCACACTCAAAAACACACTGGGAAGCAAGCGTTGGGTCCTGTTCCAGAGCATCTTTACGTTACAGCAGAATAGCCATTTCAAATTTCGATTTAGTTGCTTTTATCACGTCCTGCGTGCGTCCACCTCAATTTAACATTTGAATCTTCTTTTTATGACCACGCAGGACACAGAACAACTATTCTCTTACACAATCCAAATTGTGACTATTCAACGCCGGAAGCATTACACTCTCTCTCATACCTAATCGATGTTTCAATGAAAGTAATGGAAAATATATGAAATCGTAATTCTAAGTTTGAATTATTTGATTAATTCTCAAGTTTATAGATTTCGTTAGCCACTAAGCTTTAAATAATGGAGACCAGATCCACACACAGGCGATCCGATGGCTCCAAAGAAACACACTATAATTACCAATTACCAATTCCCAATACATGTAATTCGTAAGGCTTAAGTAAATGTTGATGTGAATTTAATTAAACGGTAATTACATTACATTAGTGAACGCAATGAGTTTTGAATTAAACTAAGCTAAGACATAGACTAGTCGACCATCTCCATTTGGGTCTCCTCCGATTCCCGCCAGTTGCGCTGCACCATCTCGACCAGCTGCTTCCAGAAGACAGTCTGCCGCAGGTAGTTGGCCAGGCAGGCCAGGATGAAGGCCCAGGCCAAGCCCAGATAGTAGTCGGTCTGCACGATGGGCACGTTGGACAGCGGCTCTCTGCGCGAGCGATTGAGGATGTCCGGATGGATGGCCTGCGGATCCACAGTCCTCACATTGGTGTGCCGCATTATGAACTTGCCAAAGCTGCGCTTCTCCGAGTCCGACCACGAGGGATCGTACTTGATGAGCGGCCTGCCCTGGTGAAAGATCATCAGCGTGGGCAGCGACACGATCCCAAACTCTGCATTGAAGCGCCCAAACTCATAGGCATCCACATAGGCGATGGGCAGCGTGGGGAAGAGATGGGGCAGCAGGTTCATCACCGGAGCCACCCGGGCGCACTCCAAACTGGAGGCCGTGCAGAAATGGACCACCACACAGCTGCCGGGCTCGTGGCGCTTGGTGGCATTGCCAATGGGCTTCAGCAGGTTCACAATCTCCTTGGCACTGCGCATTATCAGCAGTCCCGGCTCCGCGGCGGTCCCATTCTCTGGAGGATCCAGCTGCTGCAGGCACTTGATCAGCAAGGGTGGCTTCCTCACCGGCGGCGCCTGGGTCAAGTGCAGGATGTGCTCGTCATCGGGGGCACAGGTGCGGCGCTCCTCCAGGAGGGCATAGCTCTCGAAGCTGTAGTGGCACTGACCCCGCGAAATTCCCAGGGAGTCCGCCGTTCCGTTGAAGTAGAGCCCAAAGTAGTGGAGGGCACTCAGCAGGCCGGAGAGTTCCGCCCGGGCCTGCCCTGCACAGAGCACTATAGGAATCGGAAGGTGTTAATGTTAAAGTTATTAAAAAATAAACATCACTCACCCAAAATAAACAAGAAATTTGGGTGCATTTTATTTTCGTTCTTTAAACAGCTGTTAAAATAGTAGGCTGTGTTACGGTACCCATTAAATACCTACAAAATACTTGGTACTAAATAGACTGCAGCTCAATTTGAACTGCTTGTACATAAGTAAATTCGGTTTTATAAAACTAATAAGCAATTATTGGCAGCAAATACTTAATTTTCTGTAAATGTTAAATAAAAATTAATTAAAGATATAAAATGTTAGTCAAAATTCCGAAACAAATATATATTAATGGTATATTAGCTAAGTTTAGTGTTATGACTGTGTCATACAGCAAATGATTTTTTTCGAAGCATACACTATTGTAGATTTAAACAATACAATTTTCGTATATTATTTTCAAATAATATTTCGAAATGCATTCTTTATGGTAAATACTGCTTGCGAACTGCTTGGGTGTTTCCATTGCCCCACATTCGGTTGGCACATTCGTGGCCTTCGGTCACACTGTCGCTGGGATCAATAAGTTTACTTTTCTTCTTTTGCCTTGTTATTATTTCCCTCCGCGTTGGCTGGGGATTTTGCTGGTCTGGTTTCATTACATCATTGGAGAGGGTGAGGATCACCGCATCCCGGCCAGACGCGACACACGATGACGGAGCAGCACATGGAGCTGGAGAGCGTGCGTCTGGCGACGTTCGGGGAATGGCCCCTCAATGCCCCCGTTTCCGCCGAGGACTTGGTGACCAATGGGTTCTTCGCCACGGGTAACTGGCTGGAGGCGGAGTGCCACTTCTGCCACGTGCGCATCGACCACTGGGAGTACGGCGACCAGGTGGCCGAGCGCCACCGTCGCTCCTCGCCCATCTGCTCCATGGTCCTGGCCCCCAACCACTGTGGCAACATCCCCCGGAGCCAGGAGAACGACCAGGAGGGCAACAGCGTGGTGGACAGCCCGCACCAGGCGACCACCTGCGCCTGTCCCGATCTCCTGCTGGAGGCCAACCGCCTGGAGACCTTCAAGGACTGGCCAGTGAGTAACTTGCTCCGTTTGCGCAGGGCTTCCACGCCCGCTGGTGATTCACAAACATATGCTTTTTTTATCAAAATTGGTTCCCAGTTTCAAGTCGAGTTATTAATACATATGTTTACGCAGCTGATATGTGAAATTAATAGGCTCCAGGGGAATCCCATACGAAATAATCGGAAATTCAATGCAGCTTAAACTACAATGTTTCAAGTACATCGTAATCAGAGGAATTTAAGGGATAGAAATAATTACGGAATATTTTGAAATTTGTCGAAAAGTATATCGTATTCCTAAAAGAAGAAGAAACTGAACCAAAAAAGCGTTTAGCTTTTTTCCATTAGCATAATTTAATATTTGTTTGAGGAATGTGCCAACTACATTTTTACCATACAATGGGTTACAAAATATTATTAATCCTATAATTCTAAAAGAAAAACTAAGCCTAGCATTTTTTAGAAATGTTTTGAATCCCATTAACCTTTTTTCTTTCCCCGTCCAGAATCCCAACATAACGCCCCAGGCTCTGGCCAAAGCGGGTTTCTACTACCTGAACCGGCTGGATCACGTGAAATGTGTGTTTTGCAACGGGGTGATTGCCAAGTGGGAGAAGAACGACAACGCCTTCGACGAGCACAGGCGATTCTTTCCCCAGTGTCCGCGGGTGCAAATGGGCCCGCTTATTGAGTTCGCCGCCGGCAAGAACTTGGATGAGCTGGGCATCCAGCCCACCAGTCTGCCGCAGCGTCCAAAGTACGCCTGTGTGGAGGCCAGGATGAGGACTTTCGCCGATTGGCCCATTCCCAATATCCAGCCGGCAAGTGACCTGGCCCAGGCTGGTCTATACTACCAGAAAATAGGCGACCAGGTGCGCTGCTTCCACTGCAACATCGGACTGCGCTCCTGGCAGAAGGAGGACGAGCCGTGGCACGAGCACGCCAAGTGGTCGCCCAAGTGCCAGTTCGTGCTGCTGGCCAAGGGTCCGGCCTATGTGAACGAGGTGCTGGAGGCGACGGCAGCCAACGCCAGATCCCCGCCAGCCACGGCTCCGGCTCCGTCCCTCCAGGCAGACGCCCTGATGGACGAGGCTCCGGCCAAGGAAGCCCTGGCCCTCGGCATCGACGGGGGCGTGGTGCGCAATGCCATTCAGCGCAAACTCTCCACTTCCGGCTGCGCCTTCTCCACGTTGGACGAGCTGCTGCACGCCATCTTCGACGAGGCGGGCGCTGAGGTTGCCCTGGAAGTGCGTGAGCCCCCCCAGCCGAGTGCTCCCTTCATGGAAACATGCCAGGCCACCACCAGCAAGGCAGCGGCAGCAGTGCCAGTCCTGGTGGCTGATTCCATCCCGGTCAAACCGCAGGGAGTGGCCGAAGTCTCTAGGCTCACGGAGCAACTGCAGAAGGTGTCGGTAGCATCGGCTACGCCGAATGGCAATCTGTCGCTGGAGGAGGAGAACCGCCAGCTTAAGGATGCACGCCTCTGCAAGGTGTGTTTGGACGAGGAGGTGGGCGTGGTGTTTCTGCCCTGCGGCCATTTAGGTGAGTCTATAAACTACCCATCTAGTATGAGCTGTAGCCAACCTACTTCCCCATAGCCACCTGCAACCAGTGCGCCCCCAGCGTGGTCAACTGTCCCATGTGCCGCGCCGACATCAAGGGATTCGTTCGGACCTTCCTCTCGTGAAGCGGATATCCACACCACACCGAGTTTATCAGCTAGTTCTTAAGCTAAACGATTGATTGCACCCAAACACACAAACTACTACAGCGAAGTTCAAATTATCCGGTGATTAGCTAATGGAATACCTTTAATCGTCTACTAAGTACTTGGCCAACTGCAGCTATGCGTTTTTACCTTAGCTACGGTTTGTCAGCTGTCGTTACTAATAACCGCCCTGCGTCCCAGCGAGTCCCTGATAGAACAGCTCTCTATTTCGCACGGAAAGGGTATCAATGCTTCGGCACGACCGCAGATCACTTATTTCTTGTTATCGTACTCTTATTAACACATGTATGTATTTTTGTTGATCATGTTTATAAGCCGCTGATAGTAGATGGTCTACACAAAACTAAATGCAAAATACTGCGAAACCGAATATATATGTAAATGTTGAACGTGACTTCGTCAATGGGTGGTATAAACAGAGTATGTTTTGTTGTATAGACAACATGTAACCAATTACTTACTTGTAGGTATAGGTTTTGGCCCATTTTTTCTAATAAAACAACACATTCTTATAATTGTTCTATTAGCAAGATTTACTTTTAATTTAAATATATATGATAAGACAGCATTTCAAATTTTGCGCCCATCGTTCACCTGTCAAACGATATCGATTGGCAGAGTGACCATTCTCAACCCTTTGCCAAATCCGACTACTTTGGTTGCTGAGCAACACTTGTTTTGTCGTTTGCAACATCGAGTTCTGTTGTGGTGGTTTTGTTGGTAGTTTATTTAACTTTTATTAAAAAAAAGTGTGGTCTATTGGTATTTCAAAATGTCCTTAATTAAAATTTATATATTATGACGTTTATATTAGCAAAAATTTTTTCCAGTGCTGCCCGATAGAGATGGAAAACCATTCACCCAAACATCGATATTACCGATGCTACATCGATGACTTCGATGTTTCTCCACCTCCATCGAGTTTTGATTTGTTGGTTTTGTTAGTAGTTTTTAAAAAATTTTCTGCTCCGCGTAAAGTCGTGTGCGCTGCGTCCGAAAAGTGAGCCCCAATGAAGCTCTGGTCGCGCAAAACGCACAAGCTCCCTCGCCAAGCAGTGCAGAAGTCAGTGAACGAAAATTAAAAAAAATTAGAAGAACCGAAGCTACGGAATATCGAAATTACCAAACGCGTGCACGAGTGTGAGTGTTGACTGCATTTGACTAGAAAGTGTGGGCGAGAGCGAGCGGGAAGGAAAGTGCAGCAGAGTGCGGTGTGGCAAGCACTGCCTTTACCCCTTCCAGGCCGTTACCTTTCCATTTTGGAATAGGAATCTTCCTTAAAAAAACAGTTTTCGTACGGTGAGAAACAAAGCGACGCACGCACATACACGCCATGGCTGGAAGGGGGGGTGGGAAGAGAGACACAGAGAGCGCGACACGTATCTGGAAATCTCAATCTGGCTTCTACCCACAAAATACACACCGAAATTTCGGTTTTTTTCGAGCGTGCTGCGCATACGCGCTGCTTTTATTCCATTTTCTTTTTGGGGTCAGTAGCTGGAATCAGCTGTGAGTCGCCTCTCCCCCGCCCCTTTCTTCCCGTGGAAATGACCAATGCGCTCATTAAGGTATTCCCCAGCGAAGCGCAAAAGCCCAATCAGCGTTTTTTTATTTTGAACAGTTATTCATTTAAAACTCTGGATTACCTGCGCGCCTATGTATGAGTGCTGGCAATGTTTTGCAAATACATACAATTTCAACAGCGCAGAAAAAAAAAGAAAAACAAAAGCAGGGCGGGCTTTTTACCGTTCTCTTTCTCTTTCTTCCGCCTGCCAGAAGAAGAATGCAAAAATAAACAAATAACAAATTCCCGCTATCTCAACTGCGAATGTGTTCAGAATTTACATATATATCCACATCCGCACATAAGCGTCGTTTGTTTTGCAATTGACCCAGTGCTTCCCTTAAATATTGAACTCAATTGAAGGCGCAGTTGCAGTCTCGGAACTGTATTTGCTGCATTACTCATGAGTTGAAAAAGGGGGAACGAACAGCCCCTACTTCACCACTTACTTCTGCCATCTGGGGAAACTTGCATAAAAACGTGCCGATCTCTGCGTTTGATGTTTTACAAGAGTATCTGTTATCGTAGATACCTCAAGTACAGTGAATATGAGCAAAGTGAAACTTGGGCTAAGAAACAGCATGGCCATTTATTTCCAATCCATTTATTTCCAAACTGTAATCAATTTTTATTAAGCCGCTCTACTTGCAAACAACTTTTAGTTTCCTTTTTTTATTTTAATGTGTTTTTAACGCACTTATAACAATCTAAAATGGAAAATAACAACAACAAAAACAACTTTTGGCCTTAAGCTCAAAAGAAACTTTATTTAAAGATTACTTTGAACGCGTTGATTGCTAATATGGGCTAACAGTTGCCTTAAAATTACACAATATTGTTTGGCATAAACAGCAAGCTATATAGTCGCCCAAAGTACATTCGATGAAGATTTTCTATTCAAGGTAGGCCTGTTCAGGTGTCTTTACCTGGCCAAACTGATTGTTCACACATAAAAATTCATAGGACTGCTCTCTGATAGTTTATCTTAAGCCGGAGTCCACTGTGCCAGGGTTGGGCCACCTGCCCGCATCGGAGATTTAACCGTTGAAAGCCTCGCATCTCGCGATCCGCAGGCGATGCAACCCTAGTCTACCTACTCATACACTCACAATCTTTAGCACACCGACGACTCACGCACAATGGAGCCAGCTCCCCAGCTCTTGCGAGTGTATGTGTGTGCGTGGCTGAATTAACTAGTTTTATTTGTTTGGTGAATGTCAATTTCATTGTAATTGCACATAGAAAAGGAAAACAAGTTGGCTAGCGATGTTTGGTGATTAGTGCACCTGGGTGTTGCCATTTCAGCCACATTTTTGTTAGCCATTTGCCGAAGGTCAAGTGGCCAGAGTTGCCGATCAATGGCGAATTGTGACTGTTGCACTTGATGCGGCAGCTCTAATTGTTTTGTTTACTTTTGTGCGGTGCGAAAATGCGAGAAATGCGAGAAAACGAGAGCGCCAGCGAAATTTAACGGTACGTGGTAGCTCCACATCGTTGTTAGTTGTTGTGTGTGTAAATTTGCGATCAATGGCGCTGCTTCGCTAAATAATTTGACCTCTGGGCCACCAATTAATGTGTGGATGCTGCCCATTCTATTACTACTGTGATATATATTTCCATAAACCAAAAAGAAGTGCAAGACAAGACAGGTTGAGCGTGCGCGTGTGTGAGTTTTGGAGATTTTATGGCGGCACCGAAGGTCACGGCTAAACATATGCAAAATAAAATAAAACCAGACCCCAAGTTTCAGACTCTGTGATTCAGTGAGATCGCAGCCCAAAAGATAAATAAGGGGAAGTTAAAGAAGTCGAAGTTTATATACCCTTGCAGTCCATACAAAAATACTAACAGAATTCAAATTCCGTCAGATCTAATTGATATAGTCGACCATGTTTCAATCGTGTAAATATATGGAACTATAATTAATAACAAATAAGTTATTTAAATTAGGAGAAATCGCAAAAAAAAAATTGTTTTTAATTTCAACCGAATACCAAGTATCATTAAAAAATCATGAAAAATCAACAAAAAAAGAAAGTATTTTTAAAATATCCAATTTATGAGATACATAAATAAACAATTAAACCCGTATTGCTGCAGTACTATATCCCGTCGTCGAGTAATTATTTGAACATATTTTAACTAAATGATATAAAATATCGTTCACCTGCTTTCCAAGAATGTATAAATTTTATAGTATCAGAGATTTCTCCTTCTAAATTAAAAAAAAACCTTTTGCGCAAGCGTATTAATAAACAGAAACAGCGGCAATAAAACAATTTTGACTTGAATCGAGGTAACGTGCCAACAACTTCCCCCTTTAAAGCCTAGACTCCAGCACTCCCTTTCCGATTTGATTGTTTATATCGTGTTTTAAAAAAGTTATTAACGGAAGTACATTCACCTGATCAGTTGAATGAACATGCGCTCTGCTCTTTTCTACTTTTTTTTCTCGCTTTGCTCACTTTTATTTATTAACAATTTTTTCATATTTTTTTCTCGGCTATTTGACAAGCAGCTGCTCTTGGTTTTTTATATTTTTTTTATTGTCGGACGCGATTCACTCACGTGCAAACATCCGTAAAAACGCAAAGCACGCGCTTGTTTGCATTTGATTGCATTTTTGCATGTAATGCATTGTGATCTCCCCACTGACCTGTCTCAATTGCTGGTTCTAATTTGATTGTGGGTTAGAAAAACGTTTATCTCGGGTGCGCAAGAGGGTGATAGTTACAATCTCTACGAGAAGCTTGAATTTCCCAAAACAAAACAAAACAAACAACCGATTTGCTTTGGTTTAATCATTTTTTTAATGGAACAACTGTTTTGTCGGGCACTCAATTAAACTATAATCTCATGGAGAAGGTGGAATAACTCATAAAAATAATTTGATTTCGCCTAATTTGTATTCCGTATAAGCTTAATGTTGTATCATTTTTTTTTATTTCAAGCTCGTTTTTAGCACATTTTTATTGGCATTTTTCTTTGCTAATTATTGTTTTTCGCTTTGGTTATTAAGTTTTATACTTTCAACGAAATAACTCGTTTAATTTAGAACAAGTAAGTTAATGATTTTAATAGCCAAAACAAATGGCTTGTCGCTCTTGTTAGTATTTTCAATGAAACTAAATTGAGAAATCTACCTCCACCTATTTTGAATAAATAAATATTAGTCACTCAAGAATTGGTCACCGCAACGAAATATCTGAATGAGTCAAGCTTTATTAAAAGGTTTTAACCAGGATCTTTGTATGTGCTTTCCCAACTTTCACTTTTGAAATATTCTGCAGAAATTAAGCTTGAAGGGAGTACAAAGAGAGTATAGAGAATATTATATTCTATTAAGTGATGTATCTATATATTAAATCTTTGTGACTCTCTAATTGAGTCAGCCTTGACTCTCACGATTAGACGACTCAAAAGATTAATAATAGTTATGAAATGTTAAGCTATTCAACTTTATAAAAATTGTATGTTAATAACAATGCTGCTTAGTCCGTTTTCGTGACTTATTAACTGTTTAGAAAAGCCTTACCTTTAAAATATCAGTTAGTCTAAATACTTTATTTTTATCGAACTTTAAACTTTACAAATGTTTTGCAATTAACATTGTTCTGGGGGAATAATTTTTTGAAGTCCGCCAAGTTCGTTATTTAGTTCTTGACGTAAGTGAGTTAATCACTACTAACCATCATCTCCAGAGACTTTCTTTTAGAAACAAAGAGAAATTGGTTAATGGCCACTTTTTCGCATTTCTACCTCTTTTCTTTTTGTATTTCTGCAATCTTTTCGTTTAAGAAGTTACTTATTTAAATCAGATATAATTAGTTTGAAATGTGCAACGTTTACCAACCCTATTCGTTACCCCTTGCAGTAACGAACCTAACGTTTTGCAACACTGCCGGCAGGACCAAACAGCTGTGGCAGTCGGCAATGCACCAAGATGAGCAGTAAGGAGCAGCAAGCAGCAGGCCGGGATTTCAAGCGCAATTCGAACGCCTACGCCAGTCTGCCGCCCTCGGGATCAGGAGCCGCATCCTCCGGTTTGGGATCGGGAACGGGACCGGGATCAGGTGGCAAGGTCCGCAGCAGCAGGCAACAACAGTTGGAACAGCACGAGCAGTATGGACTCTCGAACAGCCTGTCCAGCGAGTCAATTCGACAAGCTTGCGCCTTCTTCGACGACGAATTGAGCGACGAGGACCTCATCGAGATCCAGCAGACGCCGCAGTCCTTCCACCAGCAGGCCAAACAACCCCTCCAGCTGCAGCCCATCAGCTTCAGATTGTGCGGTGGCGACCTGGGGGACGAGAGAAGTGCCTTTTGTGGCAGCCAGGAGATGCAACAGGCCCCGTTGAGTACGCCCATCAAGCAGCAAGCACCTGAAACCGACGAAGCCTTATGTGTGCTCAGCGAACTGGACGCCATTCTGGATGTGCACGATGTCTCGCAGCTAAATGGTACCTGCTCAAGCTCATCCATGAATTCGGGCAGCGACGATGACAAGGTCGAGGATTACCTCATGGACCTGGACAACTACCTGGAGGAGATGGACAATGCTTTGAGTCGCGAAGAGTCGTTGATCATCATGGGCGGCCAGTCCAGCCTGAAAAGGGAACCGAGAACCAGAACTCTGCCTTTGAGTAGGAAAAAGAAGTCGAACAAGAAGATAAGTGAGGAACAGGAGGCGGCTCAGGGGGATTTTCAGAGGGAGCATCAAATAAGGAAGACCTTCAGCTGCTCACTGAGGCCCACAAGCCAAACAGGTAGGTGTTAACTTGATTTCATCCTACTCTTGGGTTAGCAAGGCAGTTGTCTGGCACTTTTTAATATCCTAATCGCATATACTTTCCAGCTTCCTCTACTGCCTCTCTAGAGGCATCGACGGAACCAGCAATGGATGTTTGGAGGCGTCAGTCCTTGCGTCGCGCCGTCGAGCAGGATGAGACCAAAGTCACAGCGGACGAGAGGGAGGAGGATGATCTACCCACTTTGTTGGTCGAGTTGCCGCCAAGACGCGAGGCTGAGATGCGGCGCTGTTTCTCGCAAGGCGACTGCCAGACTGCAACTCCTGGTGGCTCTCAGATGCTCACAGAGGCGCACATCTTCGACAACCTGCTGCAGACAACGGCCAGGGCTTCCAGCGAGGAGCCGCGTCCCCGCCAATATGGTCGCCGCTTGGAAGGACCGCCCACACCGGTTCGATCCCTGATCCTGGCCCAGAGTCGGCCACAGAGTGCTCCCACACGTGTGCAGATGCGAGAGCCGCAGCTGCAGGAGACGCCCACGCACCCCATCATGTCCACCTGCTCGGAACTGAGTTCGGCGCGCTCCTCACGCATGCCCAGCCCGGTGTCCCTGCCCTCGGACAGCAGCAGCAGTGGGAGCAGCTCCGCTGAACAGGACCAGGAGCAGGACGGGCCGGTGCAGACCACGACAATGTGCAGCGCCAGCAGCACCACGCCCCTGGAGCCACTGCACCAACTGCAATTGCTGCTGCGCGAGAAGTGCGGCTTCAACAGCCAGTGGCCACATGCCGGCAGTCGCACTCTGGCCCTGATTGGCTGCACTTTGGGAGTCTTCAATATGTGCCGATTTGCCGTGCTCACCATGAACTTTGGTGGCAACTTTCTGCTGCAGTTCCTGCTGCTCTCGGTGGTCTTCGGGATTCCACTGCTTTGGCTGCAGATGTGCCTGGGCGCCAAAATACGCGCCGGTCCAGTGTCAATGTGGAAGATCAGTCCGATTTGCGCCGGCGTGGGCATTGCCCTGGTGATGCAGCAATGCTTTCTGGCCTTGTACTCCACTGTATCGCTGGCCTGGATTCTTGTTTACCTAAGGGATGTGTTCCCCACTGCATCGAGCACTGGTTATCGCTGGCAGGAGCTGGCGTTCCCCTATCGCTATGATGCCTCGAATGCCACCGGCAATCTCACGCAGACGGTGGCCGAGTACTTCAACGTGGTGGTGCTGCAACGGCTGCACCTGGCCAAGCATCCGGATGCCAGCGGAATACGCTTCCATGTCAACGATCGGGTAAGTTCCGCCCACCCCCACTGTCCCACTCCCCATCTAACTGACTCACTGCCAATTCCCTCAGCAGCTGGCCTTCTATCTGGCCCTCATCTGGGCGGCCGTGTTCCTCATCCTCTGCAAGGGCCTAAAGTCCTTGGGCAAGCTGGCCTACATCATCTACACTTTGCCATTGCTGGCCCTTGCGGTGGTGACCGCCAAGTTTGTCTATGTCGTGGACCCCAGCAGGATACAGGTGAGTCTGAAGTGATGGATCCCTTTTCAACTCTGTTTTGCGTAACATTTTGTAGTTTCGCCCATTAAAAACCCAAACCATCAAGCTATATTGATTTATCCTTGAAATGTAATGCAAGGGCGCTTTATATTTTAAACAAATTTAAATTTAATAAATAAATAAATAAACAAAAAGAAAAGTAGCCTCACAGCTAATTCTACTTTACTTGCCCAATTTTTTTATAGAACATCTTTGCTGCCAGCGATTTTGACGACTTTCTGGTGAACTCGAATAGCTGGACGGCGGCTACTCAGGAGACGTTTCTCACCTGGGGTCTCCTAGGAGCCTCGGTGATCGCCATTACCAGCAGAAGCCACGCCAATGCCAACAAGGCGGCCCTGAGAAGGGATGCAATTCTCCTGGTTCTGTTCACATTGATTGGATTGGGTTTGATGGCCCTGCTAGCCCTGTGTTGTGCCCAGATTTTGTGGCAGCACGGCTACGTCTATGTGCCAGGATCCTTTGGTGAGCTTAAAACTCGTCTTCGAAAACCTTCAACTAATTGTAAAACGTGTTGTTTACAGAAAACCCGGATTGCTACACGTCCATTTACTCGCTGCAATCGAACACTAATCCTTACTTGCTTTCCTATCCGCGTTCGCTGATTCCGCACTACTCCTCGTTCATTGGAGAGACGTACAGAAGGAACCGCACCATGATCCACGTGGAGAGTGGTTTCCAGGCGCTGCGTTTCATCTCGGAGATCTTTCCGGCCGTTCTGTCGCTGGCCAGCGATAGCATCTCGTGGGTGTGGGCCGCCGTGGCCTTTGCCACCTTCGCGGGATTCGGACTGGCGCAGCTGTGCGTGATGTGGAAACCAATCTCGAGTGCCCTGGGCAACTCCACGAGTTCCGTTCTGCTGAGCTGCGTCACTGGCCTTCTGCTGAGCATCCCCTTTGCCACCGAGATGGGCATTTCGATACTTTACTATGTGGATTTTCTGCTGGGCGGCTCGTGGTTCGTTCCGATCATCTGGACTGCCCAGATCTTTGGCGTGTTCTTGATACGGGGACGTCCCTACAACGGAGATGATCTGGTGAACGACTTGCGGCTATGTGGCTCCATGTCCGCCTTCCTGGCCTTGTCGTGGAACGTTCTGCTGCCCATTGGCCTGATCACGCTGTCAGTGGTGGACTACAAGGCCTCGTTGTCCAATCAGTTCTACTATTGGCGTGGCAAGTCCTACTTCACTTACTGGTCCCGGAAGATGGGCAGTCTCATCCAGATTGGAGTGCTTTTGGTCATTCCCGTGACTGCTATTATTCAGATCTACCGGTATCTGGCCCACGGACCTCCGGATATCCTGGAGGTGAGACATTATTTATTAAACTCTTCAATTTTCGTAATGATTTCTTTGCCTTATTTGCCTTAGCGCATTCAGCTGCTGTATCGACCGCCGGAGGAGGGAGAGGAGCCTCGCCGCCCATCCGCTCGACAAAGTGCGGCCCAAGGACGTCGCAATGCGTTGGGTCAGACGTCGGAGGGCACCCAGCACGATGCCCAGAACGACGCTCCGCCCAAGTACACGCCCCCGCCGTCCTACACCACGGCCACTGGAGCTCGCCTGGCCAAGCTTCTACGCCAGAGCATTCGACGTAGTGTGCGCAGGTAAGAGGCGTAGTCAGTCTCCGATGAGAACCAAACACTTACTTAATGGATAACCAACGCACAGGGTTCTGGGAGACTCCAGTCGCACGCGACCCGTGCTCTCCCTGGATGCGGAGTCCGCTTCCCCAGCGGCGCCACCTGATTACTTGACCATACTGACCAATCCGGCGGGCAGTAGCTCCAATGCGGATCCCTCGCCAGCGTCCAGCAGCAGCAGTCCCGAGTCCATTGAGATTGGCCAGCGACCCGCTGGCTACGCCCAACGCTCGCAATCGCTGGGCAGGAAGCTGCATCGCTCCGGGGCCTCCACACTGGAGAGGCGCCAGTACACGGCGGAGGATGTGGTGACCATACTGCGCTCCTCGGTGCGACACCGCCAGTCGCAGGCAGGCGGGAGTGTGGGCACTGCCAGCACCCTGCCCCGCCCCCAGGCCACCGCCATGTCCTCCATGTCCACCCACTTGGAGGACGCCTCCTTCCGATCCATAGAGAACCTCGTGCTGAACGCCGAGCCGCCGGACAGGACGCCCGGGGTGGAGCTGGAGCTCGAACTGGAGGCTGGACGGTCGGAGGAGTGCGCGCAAAATAATACATCTGTGATCTAACTGACTAATATCGTACCGTACACATATCGTAACTCTTATGCGATCCACATATCCGCTTGCTTTCTTAGACTTGATTAGCGCTAGTTATCTAAAATACGAATATACTTTGTAGTTATGCGAATAATAACGAAAACAACTAGTTGGTAATCCCTCCACTGTCTGATCGTGAGCCCTATAACCGTTATTCCGCTTCTGCCGCGGTCAACCCACCCTTCATTCGTTCCATATTTCAAGCTTACGGATCGCGCCTGTCGACGCAGTTGCCCTTAAAATTATCCCAACAATGGGCGGTCTACGTGCCCTTCAGTCGAGGGCCGGGTATTTAAGGAGAAATGAACTGAGCCCAAAGCCGATTAATAAACGTGACCGGTCGAAAAACGTGAAAGAGGAAGTCCAGGAGGGCCTAATGAGCCGGCGGCACAGGAAGTTGGTTGCGTATTTCGATTACAGTATCACGTAGTTTCCCTGCCCTTTCTTTTGTGACTTGCACATTGCATTGGTTTTGGCTGCAAAAAAACGTTAATCCGCGGAATTTTCAAATTGGCACGTTCTGGCTGGGCTTGGGTAAGGTATAAACAATACAGCTATTTTTTAAATTTAGTAAACAAACTTGTAGCACTGATATTATATCGATTTATAAATAAGCCTGGCTCAAAGAGATGCCTAATTTTTAACATTGTCTACCTCTTAACATGAGTGATGTTAAATACCGAGTGCATTGTAGCAGAGATTACCAATTTTAACAGAGGTTGTGCAAGAAATGGAGTGGAACTGGCCTAAGTATGCAAGAAATTGAGTGAAGTGATCAAGAACGAGTGGTATTTTCAGTGTGACCCTCGTTACAGATTGACTAACATCGATGACTCTGGCCAACCATCGATAGGACCGATAAAAACATCGATGACAACGACGACGTTTCCAAACTTGCCTGGTTCTGGCCACACTTCACACATCTAAACAAAAAAAAAAAGTTTCGAAAGGCAACGGATGCGAGCGGACGGATCATTTTAAAATCGCGTCGCGTCGAGCGTCAAAAGTTAAAAAAAGAGTGGAGTGCTGGGATTATGAAGAATTTGCCATTGCAAGCAACCAAAAACCGACTATTGCTCGCTTGCAATTAGAAGCGCGCCATTCAAATTCACTCTGCACACACAGCCATTTTTAAGTTAAAGCCGAAGTTAAGGCCAAAGTTTTCTGCCGCGTCTAAAAGTGCTCAAACGAGATTTCCACTTGAAATTCCTGAATTTCGGTTGTCTGCGCGAATCGAAACGAATCAAATCCGCAAGCACAAGAGTCGAATTTAAATTGCGGCACCAGTTTTTCCGTTTTTCGCCGTCTGCAAAGTGCCGAAATTAGTGTCTTTGTGTCAGTGTTTTGTTCTTCGTCTGTGTGGGTGTTACCAATTTGGATTAGCGGTGTGTTCGCCTGACTAAAACGGTAAGTGTCCTTATACATGTCTCCTGCGAGGCAAGTTAGTTTTGTATTAGTTGGTGTTAAGTAGTCCTGGCACTCGCACATCTCACAACTTATTTTGCCGCAATTTGCTGTAGTGTTTTGTATTAGCATTTTTATGTCCCGCCTCGCCAAAGTTGACAAACAAAACGCACACAAGCACACACACACACGTAAGTCCACGCACACAAAGGATTTCATTACATTTTGGGTGGGACGACGCATAACGGTATAACCCTCCCTGTGCTGTTTCTATCCCTTTCCCTCCCGTTGCCCCGAATGCTGTGCTACCGAATTTGTTTTCGCCTTCGCTCAGTTCCGTTCTCTCCTGTTTTTATTTATTTTGATGGCGTATTTTGCCATTCCGCTTTGTACGAATTGCGTAGCTTGTCGCCTGCTCTATCTTTCGACAGTCCGACTTGCCTAAAACGAACTTCCATGAGTCACACTTTCCATGACTCTATATAAAAAGGGTGACTAAATGACTGAAACTTAAGGTGTTTAGTAAGCTATGGTTCATCCAGAAATCCTTAAGTAAAAAGGATATTTATAACTAAACTTTTTTTTAATACCACAAAATGTATCTCATGCTTTTTAATCTCTTTTGATTTTATAAAAATTATATTGTTAAATTTAAATCCGTTGTAGAATTAAAAAAGCGAGTAGATCTTAAAATGTACGTATAAGGTTGTAATGAACAGCAGCCAGTTTTAAGTTAGTTATCTTTTCTTTCAAATTTCAAATATTATTTTGTATACTTTATAACAAGTTTACAAATTACAAATCCAATAAAAATAAGTTTAATTGAGCAAATGGGGACCCCCGTCACCAAGTTTTACTGTATATCCTTTGGTGTCAGCTTTTCCTGCTAGTTTCTGCCTGCATTGAAATGAGTTCGCAATAAATATTGCCCAATGTCAAATAAAAGGGCGATGAGCCAGCCTTTTTCCGCCGCTGCCGCCCTGCCATCTCGGCCTATCTTTTCTCTATTCGCTCTAATCTCGGGGGACACTAATGTTTTACGACAATTCCTATGCCGCCCAGTACAAACTTAATGCACACATCAATGGCAAATTAGATATACTCCTCGGCAAATGTACTAATAACAATCATCGAGTGTGTGTTGTGTGTGCGGGCCTCCACCTCCACCTCCATCTCCATCAGCCAGTCCTCTCCAGACGATTGTTTTGTTGATTCGACTGTTACTTCCAATACATTGGCATTTAAGGGGCAGAATTGGGATCCACTTATGCCTGCCTTATGTCTCATTTGTCGTCGGGCAAATGGAAATCGTTTTGTTTTTGCCTTGTCAAGTGACAAATTTTCATTGTCTCCCGCCACTAATCGCTTACTTAAAAAAAATAAAGAAGAAAACGCACCGAAGACGCCAAACAAGAAATAAGACATAAGACAAGTGTAAATAAACACTTGAGGAGGGAGCGAGGGAATGGGTGCAACGACTAACCGATATCCTCGGTAAAATTTGGGTGGAGGTAAAAACAAAGTGACATTATCGTACAAAGGTATGCCACAAGAATACTTCCCAACTTTCTGGTATAACCTTTGTTATTTGCTCCAATAAAAAGCTTTTTCATTGATACTCTTAACTTTCTGTCAAAACGTTTGGTAACCTCTGCTCATTTACTGCTAATGGAAATAAGGCGGAATACATTAAAAACTTCTCATTCCTCTTGCTTAACGTTTATAAAAAGTTTGGCAAGTGACGCAAATATATTCCTCCCATTTGCTGTACTTGCTCGGTAACTTTCCATATAAGTGATTTTAAAATGTGCCTACATATATATGAACCCAAAATATCACCGCCTCCTAACTATAAATGTATAACTTAACCTAGCAAATTAATGTTGACCTTTAACAAAAGGCAATTTTTAGATAAAAACTTTCCAAAACTAATTTTTAATAGGACAATTTGAGCAACATTCTCTACTATATATACCCATCCATACCCTCTAAATTCGAATGTACTTACTGTACGTTCACGTACTTGCCTCTTTTGGTGGCATTGCCCGCGGCACCTTCACTTTGCGCAGCTTGCTTTAATTTCCAGCGGACAAACCACTTTGTTATCGCCCCGGCCAAGGGCCCTTTAATCTGTGGTTCTACTCATTCCCGGGTCTTCCCCCACTCCTCCGTCTGCCCATTGATTTACGTCTCTATTTTCCGAATGTAGTGCAATCGATTTAGATGGATTTTGTTTAAACAAACTGCACAGGGCAGCAAAAGCAGCAGAAGTAGCAGCACAAAAGGCACCAAAAAGTGTAATAAATAATTGGAATCGGAATCTTTGGGCCGCTTTTAATGCCAGTGTTAATTGCGAGAGCCACCCAATTCCAAACCCAATTCCATTTCCATGCCCAATCGAAATCCAAATGCCATTCCCATTCCAAATCCCTTCGATGCCTAGGCCAATTTCGATTCCTATTCCATCGATGCTTTGGTAATTAGTTGTGAATTGGATTGGGGATCACATAAAAGTGTTGATTACACACTCCGATGGCTGCGCCCCCTGCCACGCCCCCCATCTCCCGGCTGGGTGCCAAGTGTTTTGTTTGTGTTTGCCTCGACTTCGATGTGTCTTTTTGGGGTTTTCGGGGGAATTAGGGTTAGCCGTGCGTAGTGAAAGTCTTTGAGACTGCAGCAGGTGTTGCTTGGACCGACCAAAAAAGTTGGTCAGCAGGAAGCGCTCCAATTAATCGCTTTTATCGCAGGGAATTTCAACTACGCAGCCAATTAATTGGGGCAGTTTAAGATGCCAGATACAAATAGAGATACAGACACAGATACACAGAAGTTCCCACAGTTAAGCGACTTTAATTGAAATTGCAGTTGGACATTCAAATTATACAAATGCCTCAGCAGATTTGATTAGCAGGGAATGTTGGGTAGTCTCTAGACCTAACAAAACCCATTTTGTCAATTACAAAAATGCTAAAAATGTTCTTTGCAAGTCATGGGCATGGGTTGAGGGTGAAAAACAGAGGAAAACATCTCCGCATAGTTGCAGCAGCAAAAACATCAAAGTCATTTCATGTCTTCATAAATTCACTCACCAAAAGGCTAAAATAAAAGGCGAGGAAGAAGAGCTCTTTCTGGCCATCAGCTATCTCCTTCTGCTGCCCGTCTCTTTCTCACCCTCACTTTTGGCTAAGTGAAATGACCTGCCATTTTGTAAAAGGCTAAAAAATAAGCAACAAAACCCGAAAACAAAAAGCTCAAGTCACAACTAATAAGATTGAGTTAAAAAGAGGGGACCGTGCCGTTCGCTGAGGAGAAAGAGCGATCTGCGAGGGAAGGTTAATGTCTTATCGACATGCTGCAATCTATGTATTTAATTGACTCGACTGCAATTATAGTGTACACTCTATATATACATATAAATGGGTATATATATTGTGGTGTCTTCTTCCTGCAGATAAAACGTCGTAAAATGAAAAAGAAATACTTGCCTATAATGATTTCGCATAAATCGTGACTACTCGCCAAAATGAAAGGCGAGAATTTATACTAACAGTGTACGAGGTTGTGTATTTGTTGGAGCTACAACAAGTTACAATGTAGGCAACGCTCCATTCGCAATTCAGCGTGGAGTGTCGGCCGATGTCAGAGGCTAGTATCCCCCATTACCTTCCCCGCTGAATCACCCTCTTTGAGCCCCTCAATTCGCTTGCCAATCG